GCTTTTTTCGGATGGCCTCATCAGAGAATCGGCACCTCGCCGCTAATTGTACGAGGAGATTGTCGATTTGTTCGACTGGCAACGCACGTTTACTGTTGAAAGTGCCATCCCATGGCCTCATTGCTCGTTCGACGTATGCACCGAGGTCTCCAAGAACTCCTGTTTTCCAGCCATCGAAAAGTGCACGTTGACTATGATTGAAGGCAAGTAGCTTGAGAATTTTCTTTGCCAGTAAGGGCGGCTGCAGGCCGTAGACTCGGTCTTTCCTTCGATGTGGAAAGAGAGCTGATAGCACAGCACTACTGTTCGTCGTAGGGTCATCGAGAGCATCTCTCTGATCAACGAACCAGTCCGAGATTATCTCGCGTATATTACTCTTCTCTTGATTTGTAGGTAAACGTGATTGCTGTGTCGTGGCAATCTCGATATTTTGCAGGAGGCTACAGATTGCGCGGAAAGTAACGGTCATGATTGGATACCGATGTACGGAAGCGTAAAATATCGTGATAGGCCGCAGGTGTTTATGTTTCTAACGTCGAGCTGGTAAACACAAGACGTGAACCCTCCGAGGTAATAGCGAATAAAGCGCTTGCGTCCGGGTGCACTTGACCAAAATCGCGTATAGGTAATCTGCCACTGCTCTCGAGTACCAACGCGCTCGACATCCGCGCGCATGAGATGGCAGTGTAAAATTATGGTATGTGCAGCTGCGTACTTGACTGTGGTTGCATGCGCATCTTCGTAGGCCTCAATATTCTGACCATAACCGCACAAATGTTACCACTGACACGGGTGACACCGGGCGGACAATCAAAAGTGGAAAGGAAAGTCAAACTGTGGCATTGGGATTCTGGTTCTGCCATAATATTGATAAGAATAGCAATGAAATCATTGTTGTTGAACGAAAAAAGCCTTAGAGCGTCTCAACAGAGTAAAGGTAGGACGTATGGAGGGACATCTGGGAACGCGCTTTGACTGACGCGCTAATGCAAGTCGTCACGGGAACACGCGAGGACCAAGCTTGAACCAGACAGTAACGGAGTACGTCCCATGTGCCTCGGGCTAACAGTAACCATTTCTTCAAGCGGATCATGGCCGTGTATTGTCGTATCATATAGGCCTTGAGTAGCCCAATGTTCAGAATGAAGGGTCAATGATGTTCTGATCGTGTAGCCAACGGCATTTCCAAGGTGGATGAAGCCGAGCGAACGGCTAGCGTGTACGTCATGACCCGTCGTATGATCCTCCACCAAAGCCGTTAATCAGCCTCGCGCTTTCAAGTGCCCGAGCGCACTTCAACAGCCCGAAGAGAAATTGTACATATAGCTGGCGCTATATGTAAGTGTCTCGGTACCACTTACTGCGATAGTTTAGACAAGGTAACCCCACTCTACCCGAGCTCTCTCGACGACTGTACTGACAGCGACAGTCCCAAGCAATTGATTCACAATGGCGCCGGGTCAAGGCCAGAAGGGGAACCCGAACGACCCTCGGTCGGACGCATCAAAGAAGAAGGACCTCATCGCGCGTGGTGACTACACACCTACACCACTAGGCAAAGCGACGTTCTTCATCCTGCGCGGCATCGAGCCTGTCCTTCAATATTCAATCCTCGCACATGGCCTAGGCACCTCCGTCCTGCATCGTGTAGGTTTGCGAACATTGCCTCCTGGGCTTCCAACGCATACCGGCATCTCTCTGATCGATGGCTTGGGCTTGTCACCCTACCGATTGGTGTTGCTTGGAATGGCGGTTGGCGCTGCTGTGAAGCAGAACATCTGGGTGACAGCACTCTCTGGAGAACCCATGCCAGTTACAGGTGCCATCGCCGTAGGTGTCTTCAATGCTGTATTCAACAGTCTGAGCACATACGCTTTCCTTACCACTGCTACTTCTGCCTCGACCGAAGCCGACTTCCCGCAACCAGCGCTCCTCATTGGCGCCTCGCTATACGTCGTGGGTATTATGACTGAGTTAATTGCCGAAGTACAGCGCAAGCGTTTCAAGGCGAACCCAGACAACAAGGGCAAGGCGTACACTGGAGGTCTCTGGAGCTTCGCCCGCCACATTAACTACGGCGGCTACACAATCTGGAGGGCGGGTTACGCCATGGTCGGTGGCGGCTACACGCTGGGTGCGCTGGTGGGAGCCTTCTTTGCCTGGGACTTTACCCAGCGAGCGATTCCAATTCTTAGTGAATATTGCGAGAAGCGCTACGGAGCGCAGTGGGAGGAGTTCAAGCAGAAGACCCCGTATCAGCTGATCCCTTACATCTACTAGGTTGTGAGCGACACTGTACTCGATACGGCGAGGTGTTTTTGGAAATTCGATTCCCATGTATTGAATTCCATGTTATCTCCGCACGTGCGGTGCGTGCCCCTCATACGATACTTAGTGTACTGCAAGAATGCAACTTGTGCATGCACAATTTCAACTATACTCGTACGATGTTAAAGCTGTCCAAGCATCGGAGAAACCCCTCATGCAGTCGGCACGTCTTGATCACACACTTATCCAGGACCACAATGTACCTTCCCGATGACAGCGGCACAAGACCGACACTAAGACCTAAATGCCGGATCAGCTGCCTACCGAGCGTAAGCCTATTGCCCAAAGCAGCAGTTGACGATAACAACTACCCCGTCTGGAGATACGATACCCAGTCGTCGTAGCACGATGCAGGTGCGGTTCTCGTCAGCACGGCAGAAACCGAGCCTTGTATTGTGCTCACTGCTCGCGCTGTCGTAGCCAAGGGGCATTACTCGTACACAAGCCGCTAGAGAAAATGAGTATGCAAATTGTGGTGTGCGATCTTGTATGCAGGTGAGAGATCTGCGGACGTTTGTGTAACCCTCCAAACCAAGGTCTTGGGTCTCACTGGCACTGTGGATTCTGGTGGTGTGGGTGGAGGGGTGGATGGTCACGAATCATGTGCCGTTGTTGTATTGATCATTTGCGCCTCCAGAGGGATGATGCCTGGTAGCGCGTCGTCGGCCTGTTAGGCGTGCAACACCATCATGGCAACGGGAGCAGGCGTCTTATAGACGCTGAGAGCGTGTCGGCGGCGCACGGTTTGCCTTTTGAGGATTGAGGCTGGCGATAATCATATACGACCGAAGGCGGGGTCACAAAGACCCGAAGGCGGCACAATCAAGCAATGATCTACAAATTCAGCTCTTCAGGGTCCTTTTCGGTGGCGGCGTTTGCAGGAGGATGTTGCTCCAGGATGCTGCTACGCGATGCTACGCCACAACGCAGAGTCTGGTACGCTTGTCCTCTGTACGGGCTGTTCTCCAATTTTTCCTCCATGAATACCCATCGAAACCCGTATCTCCACAGAAAGTGTTTATCGATAGGTATTATCAGAAACGCAGCGGGTTATTGACAAGGATGTACAGGAGGTGGCAATGCTAATTACTAGAAGATTCTCGGCGAAGGCCGAAGCGGATCTACCGGGCAGAATTGACCGAAGACGGCGACGGTGGATGTGGTGATGCAGAAAAAAAGAGCCTCAACATTTTTCGGACGTTCGCAGAGATCACGATCTGGGAGAGCTCGGCTGGCGTTGCAGCGTGTTCCATGGTTGAGTGCGCAGTGCTAGAGAGCGGGGAACGGCTGATGGTGCATCAACGTGCATGCAACCCCACTCTGGCATATAGACGAGAGCGAGGGAACGAGCAAGGACTGTGGGCGGGCTGTTCAACACATCACGTTAGATGAAACGGTATCAGGGCCTTGGTTGTATCCTGGTCGGATGTGCGCTGGGGTGAGGTCTCGCGATGATGGCGCCGGCAGAGTTGGCGATGGGCGCGGGTGAAGTTTGACAGTGGTTGCGGCTATTGATCGATTTGCAACCAAGATGCCGGCACGCTTGGAAGAGAGTGAAACAGCATAGCGGGTGCAGTAAGCGATGTGTCAAACGTAGCACTGGCAGGCCGTGCAAAGTGAGGTTCAAAAGCAAAAAGGCAGCAGCATGCAACCAGAGGCGATCATGCACAGCTAACTGGGTCCTGCAGCCCGCAATGCTCGAGCCACGTTTGCCGATGATTCGACGCGGAGAGCATATGCTCGGCAGCGAGTGGGATTCGTGAAGTTTGCGATATGCAGCAGCAGGTCAGCCAGGATGCTCGGCGCACAAGGCTCAAGGTAGCAGTGGTGAGCCGTATACGGACTGGGCTCCGCTTCACTGGGGCGGCTGTTTTGACTTCAGTGTGCCCTCTTGTACACGGCGGATTCAGGTTTTGTGGCGTTAACAGCAACCTACTATGGACGTGCTCTGGCGCGCGTGGGTAATCGTATAATAATACGCCATGGCGACAGTGCAGAGCAACCTTTCGTCATTGACACTTGCGTGGTGGAGACGTGGTTCCCAAGTGTCGGCTCACCCATTTCTAGCGCGATCGCCCTCAACGGCAAGCACGGAGAGTACCCAAGATACAAGACACGGCCTCTTCCTCTTGCGGGCGCATTCCTCCCGATTCTGCTGCTATCAATTCCTACCATTCCACACTATTCCCTTTGTTCCCCACCCACTTAACCCACTGCGCTCGACGTTTCTTTTTTGTAATTCCCTATTCAAAAGCTGAGTGTGTGCCGCTGCTTGCTGCAGGACCGGCTTGGACTAGTACAAGACGAAGACGCCGCATCCATATGTAAGTCAGCATTTCGCGCACTGCAACGCCGTGCATGCACTACGGCTCAATTGTCGCAAGCCAGCGGGCGTCTGCTCTTCTTCTAAAACACTCAAATGGCTCGTGTTGACCTTTTCTTTCTTTAGAGTAAGCTTTTCTAGCGTCTCTGGCTGGACTGGACCATTTGCTATTAAGGACCCTTCCCGCCCGCGACTCGACACGGCAACCCAAGCACCCCAAGTCGTCGCAAATCACCCATCCCTCCACCTGCAATCTCGACTCCTCCCGCGGGGCGTCGACTCTCTCGCCCCCGCCGTCGCTGCCGCTGTCCCTTGCCCGCATATCATAAGCATCACCAAACTTTGTGCCTCACCTCACATCAGCCCATTGCCGGAAGCCGTGGGAAGTCAGTGCATTAGCATCACAGGGCTGCAGAACACCTTTCTCAGCGGGGCGCCAAGCGAGCTCTCCCGCCAGACCACGACTGCTTGCTACATAAACACCGGCTCCTCTTCACCGCGAGCCAAGAGATTGCTAGTTTGCCAAAAAAGAACGTCATTGTCTGTGTTTCTTTGACGCTGTCGCCCCGACGTCAGCCCGCTGATCCGTGTTTCACTTCCCGTGATTCGTGACGCGAAGCAAGCAGAGTCAATCAAACATGCAGGCTGTCATGGCGCAACCCCCACAAACCTCTGCCTACGGGGCTGTTCCTCTCCGCCGCAAGCCCATAGCAAACCCCGGCATTTCGGTACGACCCCCGCAGCATCAATACCACAACGACGGCCAACTAGGACATTCACGAACACGCACAACCAGCTCAGGCATCTTCCCCGCTGCATCGCCTACCACAAGCACCATGAACTCGCAATATCCAACCCAGTACCAGAGCAGTCTCCGCCGCACGCCCACCTCGTCCACCAGCTCTACCACAGGCACCCCGAACCGTTCCAACAGTGGCGCCCTCCGTCGCTCCTCGTCCACACGCTCGGGCGGTAACTCACCCACCTCCTACGTTGCCCTTATGCGGAAACAAAAGGCCACAGTCTGGTGTGACAGGGCCCAGTACGAAGACCCGCGCATGCTCGCACAGCAACGGCAGGCCAAGATGCGGGCAAACATGGAAGTAGCAGGCGGCCCACACCACGTCCCGCCGCGAAGTGCCTCGGGAGGATCCAGCATGGCTGGCGGTGTGCGGTCCAAGATTGGGCGTCATCACGGTCTACCAAAAGCGTCGTTATACGCACCAGTCACATACGCAGGTTCAGGTGTGCCTATGCGCCTGAGTGCTTCAGAGGTAGACGAAGGTGACGACGAAGACGCGGGCTCAGTCAAGAACGGCCAATACCACCACCGCACAGGCTCAGGCCGCTCCTCGCTCGGTTCAGGGCGCCGCATGTCCTACGCCAATCCCACCGGCCGAATATCCTCCAACAGCACACCCCCGCAGAACTCATCCCCCGACGGCGAACTTGCCGACCTGAAGGAAGAACCCACTCCGTCCCCCGCGGAATACGACGTCAACGCGCCCAACGACAACAGCTACTTCCAGCACACCAAAACGAACACAAGTACGGGTAGTGGTAGCAGTGGCGAACGCAATTTCGGTGACATGGGGCAATTACCAGCGCCTGGAATGCTGAAACCACCCGCTACAACGGACAAGAAGGGCAGTAAGGACGACCTAGTGCGGAGGGGCAGCGTAGACGAGCGGACCATGACCATGGGGACAAGGTTGTTCGTTGCAAACCCCGACCTGAGCGATTGATCACGTTTGCCCACCAAGGGCAGATGGATGAGAGGCTACTTTTTCTGCGATACCCGAAACAACGATTTTTATTTTGCCACCACTACCACAGCATACACGATTACCGCATACTCAAGACCGAATTGGTTTCACGGGAGCCACGAATCACCGCTTTCCCCCTCTTTTGAAAATCTGAAGCATGTTTAGCATTTCACGGCTTTTTACTATGGCATATTTCCAGCGTACTATGGTGTTTTCATATTTGGATGGCACATGCATTTTTTCCTTTGTTGCTCAAGTCTCATGGTTGGAGGGGCACTCGATCTTGAGCGTGCAGAGCGACTGCCCTGGAGGTTCTCGCTCGTTCGATACATAACGCATAGTATCTGTACATACCATATCATACCCGCCGCCAACTGAATGCGAGGATTGAATGAACGCACAACCAATGATTCACATTGCTCATCTCCACACTTCCCTTGTCACCATCGTCATCGCCGTCATTGTCTACACATCATCTGCAATCTTTCGTCATACATGAAGATCTTCATCTCCTCTCTGCATACACGCCGAGCGGTTACCCAGTCCAGCTCTACGTATGTAATGAAGTCATGCCTCCATGAGCCTTCCCTACACTCATCGTCGATCCAAAGCTTCGGTCTCGGATGCTCCTATGTTCCGCCAATACGAGGATTAGTGATCTGTGCGTTGTGTTGCGCGCGAAAGTTTGAAAGGGGGCGGGAATGCAAGCCTTGCGCGAGCCGAGTGGTCAACTTTTATGTCGATCACGCGCCTCGCCGCGGGAGTGCCTGCCAAGACTGATTCCCGCTGTTGAGTCAGGGGCGATGCCAGGCGAGTGGCTGTGTATGTATCGGGACTTGTGGTATTTGTGATGTTTGAGAAAGTTTGGAGACGCGTAGGGGATGCTTGGATAATAACGGCGTGTGGCTTTGCAATGGCTTCAAGATTCCGTGGTGGTAGATAACAGGGGTGCGACGATGATGTACATTGTAGCCAGGGTCTAGGGGATTATGTGAGATGGAAAAGTTGACGCGCGCAAACCACGTTTACACGTAGGCGACCTGAAAGCATATATCTGAAGTTCCATTCTGTTAGCGCGGGAATGTAGTTGCTCAGCCAGTATGCCGGATGCAGCGACTGGCAAGGCCGTTGTCGCCTCTGATGGCGCGTCCTGCCAAGACGCCCATTTCCGGGGTATCTCGCCGCACGAGGCGCATGCCAGATCTACCACGTCTTTCACACGTGAACGCAACGTGTAGGACGACGTTCAGAACCACACGAACCAAATACACACACAATGCCGCATGCCATTGAGAAAAGCAATGGCGCTACGAAGCGCGGCGCGGCGCAAAAGATACTCAACGACGCAGTAGGCGTGACCAAGAGCAAGGACGGCCATGAGAAGACCGACTACACAAGGTGGAGGTTGAAGGATGACCGGGGATGTCAGACATGGCACTACCTCGAAAGCGACAAGGACATGAAGGCATGGCCACAGAGTACAGCGGATAAATACTTTCTAGGCCTCGATACGGTGAGTTGGTGCCTGTTCCAGTCGTCTTTTGTAAATCCACACAGGACCTTTGAGCTGATTGAACTCATAGGAACAACCTACCCTGAAGCCTGCAAAGACTCCCCTCGAAGCTGCACACAATGGTCTCGAATTCTTCTCCCAACTCCAGCTCCCACCAGGAAACTGGGCTTGTGAATACGGCGGCCCTATGTTTCTGCTACCTGGCCTTGTGATCACCTGGTATGTCACCGAGACACCAGTACCAGCGTCGCATGCGACCGAAATCAAGAACTACCTCTTTGCGCGGGCCAACCCCGAGGACGGTGGCTGGGGGCTACACATTGAGGGCGAAAGCACCGTGTTCGGTACCGCGATGAATTATACTGTGCTTAGGCTTTTGGGCGTAGAGGCAGAAGAGCCTCGGATGCAGAAAGCGCGAGACACGCTTTGGAAACTGGGTGGTGCGCTCAATGCACCACATTGGGCAAAATTCTGGTTGAGCGTGCTAGGTGTGACGGAGTGGGATATTGTCAATCCTTGTCCACCTGAGCTATGGTTACTACCTGATTGGGTGCCCATCGCGCCTTGGAGATGGTGGATACACATGCGACAAGTTTTTCTGCCCATGTCGTATATCTACTCCAAGAAGTGGTCGTATCCGCTGAACGATCTTACACGTCAATTGCGCGCCGAGCTGTTGATGCAGCCGTTTGACACGATCAATTTTGGTGCGCACCGGAACACCATCGCCTCTACGGATAATTATCATGCCAAGTCATGGATGCTCAAACTTCTGTTTTGGTTCTTGGCTGCTATCTGGTTTCCATACATTCGACCCACTTGGATGATCAAGCGTGCCGAAGAACACGTATGGTGGCTCATTGAAGCTGAGGATGAGAACACTGATTTCGCAAACCTTGGTCCTGTGAACGGTCCCATGAATACGCTGGTCGCATACATCAGAGAAGGACGTGATTGCCATGCCGTTCGCGAGCATCTCAAAACCCTCCCGGAGTTTCTTTGGGTCAAGGATGAAGGTATGCTTATGAATGGTACGAATGGTGTGCAAACATGGGACACTGCGTTCCTCATCCAAGCCGTTGAATCCTGCGGCTGGTCAAAAGAAAAGAAGTGGAAGCACATGCTCACAAAGAGTCTCGAGTTCCTGGAAGACCAGCAGATACTTGAAGAAACCAGAGATCAACACGCATGCTATCGTCAACAACGTAAGGGTGCCTGGGGTTTCAGTACACGGAAGCAAGGATACACCGTTAGCGACTGCACGTCTGAAGGCCTCAAGAGTACACTCATCCTGCAGAACGGCAACGCGTTTCCTGAACTCATCAATGAACGCCGTGTGAAAGACGCCATTGACGTCCTGCTTACCATGCAAAACGCGTCTGGTGGCTGTGCTTCCTACGAGCCAACACGAGGAAGTATTCTCCTAGAGCACCTCAACGCAGCAGAGGTCTTCGGCAACATCATGATAGAGTACGATTACCCCGAATGCACGACCGCCGTGGTGACCGCACTTCACATGTTCCAAAACTACTACCCAGATTACCGCACTGCAGAAATTTCTGCATTCCGCGACCGCGCTGTATCGTATATCAGAGCTGCTCAACGCCCTGACGGCTCGTGGTACGGTAGCTGGGGTATCTGCTTTACCTACGCCGGCATGTTTGCTCTTGAATCACTCAAGTGCTCTGGCGAACAGTACGAAAACTCCGAGCGTGTGAGACGGGCATGCCAGTTCTTCTTAGACAAGCAGATGGATGATGGAGGCTGGGGCGAGACATACAAGAGCTGCGAGAACGGTGTCTGGGATCAGCATCCACAAAGTCAGGTTGTGCAGACTGCCTGGGTGATTATCGCAATGATTGAGGGTGGTTTCCCGCATAAGGAACCACTGGAGAAGGCTGTCAAACTCATCATGAAGAGGCAGCAGGCCAACGGAGAGTGGCTACAGGAGGCGATCGAGGGGGTGTTCAACAAGTCTTGGTAAGTTGACCGATCTTATTGGACGGTTATAATGGTAGCTAACGTCATGACAGTATGATTTCGTATCCGAACTACAAGTTCATCTTCCCGATTAAGGCGCTGGGCATGTATGCTGAGCGCTTCGGGGATGACACGTTGTTCTAAGATGACTGTGCGAGCTAATTCCTACCATTTGGGCTTGGGAGAGAGGTAATTACTACTAGATGCTGGAACGATACTGTACATGTCTACTTAATAATACTAATACCACGAAACACTTCTCGCTAGCACTAGAGAAGCATTATCTATTCCGTGCAATCCATTCACGGATATCGCATCTGCTGCTGTAGTCGGTACTACATTATCGTCAGTATATCTACTGTCCGGCGGCGCGACGTCTTCTCCACAGCAGCAGATCTTCTGTAACAAACTTCAACGATACTCCTCGGAGGCATAACAGAGAACGCGAGCCAAGGCTTGCTTACAAAGAAACTTTTTTGAGGCTGCACTTCACGCACTAGCGCCTGATTCTTGGTGTTTTCTTCCTACATCCACAAACACCACAAAACTGCAAGCAGTTGCTTACGGCACGAAGACAACAGATCATTCTGGGACTCATTTCCGTAGAAACACAGGTGCAGATATACTCAGCAAGCTGTCTGGTAGGAATCCGATGATGCTGCAATCAATTTGTTGAGTGAAACTCTCGAGGGTAGCAAACTGATGAAGAGATAGAGTTCAGGCAGATGGACAGGGCGTACACAAATTGGCAGGAGGGTCACGATCTCTCGCCTCAGCAGACCACTGGTCACGACGGCGCTCTAGTAGATGAAGAAGCTGCCAACGAGGTTGAAGGCCAAGCCGGTGCTACACTTGGCCATAGATGGGGCAAACGCAGTCGCAGACACGGTTGCAGGCGTGGCAAGAACAGGAACCAGCAAGAACCAATTCCTGCTGGTTCTGGGCAAGATCAGATACAGGGAACTGCCGAGTCATCGCCCATGACTGCAATCAAGCGCGAGGCTTCCACAGTCCACTTCTGGACTAACGCGACACCTGCGACACTGTTTGGCTTCTCCTCCAACGCCGAAATTCTCGCAACCAATATTGCCAATGAAACGCGAAATCGGTCCACCGCTGAACCTCTGTTCCAGACTGACCACTATCAAGAGGTATATCGTCCAGTAGAAGAAGGTGAAAGTCCATTCGATCCCGATATGTCTTACCTACGGGCTACAGCGATACTGGGTGGGTTTGTTGGAAGGCGTGGTGATGTCGGCAAGAAGAGAAAAAATTGGGTTAGAGAAAGGTACATTTTTGCGAAAGAAGATGAAGAGCTGGTTGTGAGCGGAGAGAAAGGAAGGGACAAGGTCAATAACAACCCGACAAGTGACCAAATTGGGGATCAAAAAGAGCTTACTTCCAACGGGATGAAGAAGTGGGAGTGGTACGGCAAAAAGCTTCGAAAAGACGCTGCTAGAGACGCAAAGAAGGCTGCAAAAAGGGAAGCTATTGGAAGAGGCGGAGTGTCTTCCCGCTACGGTAACCTTGTCGCTAATGGCCGCAACAAGAAACCTCTTCGCGAAATTGAAGCTGGCAGTGCTCGATACGACCACGGCGGCTTTCAGGATACCGATGATTACTACGCCGAGCCGGCTCCTGATCTTAAGAACTTTAGTCTTGATGCCAGGTTTTTTGAGCCTGGAGTTGAACCTGGTGATGACTAGGGTTCCCTCAGATTCGAAATTGATTCCAAGGACGAGATGGTTCAAGGTTTAGGCGTGCCAGGGCAGGTCATTGGAGAGCATTCGTTGGAAAAATTCTTGATATTCAGAAAGAAGAGAACAGAACGAGATGATCTGGCGTTACGAATGAGTGTATTATATACAACGGGACGAAGAAGATCGATGTAGCGCGGTAATGGGTGTATACTGTTGGGATTTTGTAAGTGTGAGGGATTGTTGCAGACCCTAGTTATGTGCTTGTGCATATTTATATAAGCAATGTTAGGGAGTATCGACTGACTTCGCCAAACATTCCATTATCCCGACTTATCTTGTTGACCTCAGGTATCGCTGTGGACGAGGCGCCGAGGGGTACGCCTAGGTGAGTAATCCCCCCACATCTATGCACTAACGATGTATCAAGCTATCACCCCACTTTTGGTCTCCATCTTAACCTTCTTCGTCCAACTCACCTGCTTTCTCAGCTTACTCTCCCGTTATTCATCTGATGAAGCTTTCTACTGTCATGCAACTTTTAACACGTGGGCAAGTACAACCTTTGAATGATGCATAATGGGCATACTGCGTAGTGCCACCCATGTCTGCGGCTGTAAGAATAGCTTGAGCAAGATGGGCTATATAATTAGCAGCAGTACCTGTTGCTAAACAGCATCTCATTATTTCAGAACAGCACTTGACGCGAATGCTTCGGCTTTGCAACATGACCAAGCTCATCACAGTCTTCGGCTCTACCGGTAACCAGGGCGGATCCGTCGTGCGAGCTATCTTGAATCACCCGCAGTTAAGTAAAGAGTGGAAGGTGCGCGGAGTTACAAGGAACCCCGACAAACCCGATGCGCAAGCCATGGTAGCAAAAGGTGTCGAGATGGTCACTGTGAGTCTCTTGATTCGACGATTGTGGATTGGATGGGAACTGAGCATGTTAGGCGAACCTCAACAGCAAGGAGTCAATCTTGAAAGCTATCACCGGATCTGACGCTGTTTTTGGCGTGACAAACGTACTATTCGCTCTGATTCATCACTCTTGCCGTCCGTCTCTAACATTCATCATAGTACTGGGAGATGGCATCACTCGCCCACGAAGTCCAGCAGGGCCGCAATTTGACAGACGCCTGCATCGAAGCGAAGGTTCCGCACCTACTCTGGTCTTCATTACCTCGCGTATCAAAGATCACTGGTGGAAGACTGGCGAACCTACACCACTTTGACAGCAAAGCCATGGTTGAAGAACACATCAATGAAGCCGGTCAACCAGCTTCTTTCGTGCTTCCAGGCTATTTCATGACAAATGTTCCTGGGTCTATCAAGCCGAGTCAAGATGGCGGCGCATACACGTTATCTTTGCTTTTCCACCCCGACACTCGGATTCCAATGCTAGACGTCCCCACCGACTTTGGGAAATTTGTAGCTTCATGTCTCGCTGATCCAAAAGCTACTGTTGGCAAGCACGTGCTTGCTGCGAGCGCATGGGTCACACCTCTCGATGTTTGCGCAGCTGTGGTGAGCGTCACGGGAAAGAGTTGTGAATTCAGGGAAGTGGCAGATGAAGAGTGGAAATCTGGGCAGGAGTTGTTGGAAAATATGATCATGATTAAGGAATGGGCATACTATGGGCCTGGCGCAGATGAGGGCGTGAAGTGGAGTCAAGAGACTGTTAATGGAGTGGGTGGATGGGATGGATTTGGTAATTTTGAGGCGTTCCTTGGAAGGATTGGGTTTGTGTGATTTCGACGCGTACTCCTTGTAGGAAAACCTCTCTATGGGGCATGAATACCTAGGTATGTTGCTAGCATACGATCATTATCGGGCGGTTAACCTTTCAGTCTTCCTACGTGATCCATATTGTTTTGTACATAACTACGTAGTTTCCCATTTCTCACCAATGAAGCGCCCTCTCTTCTGATTGCAGTACATGGCGGAGTCATATTGCCTGCGCAAGATGTATTTTACACATCCTAGACCATGTTACATAGTACGAACGCAATTCAGCTTTAGTAGATAACCATCGGCATCAGCCTTAGACTTGGTAGTCTCAAGGTCAGGATACTGAAGCTGGCCCCTCAGGTTATTGGTCAAGATGACAGTGGATGCATCTTTTAACTGATGAAGAGCGGAGTTGATGATGCCGGTTCATAAGGATGGTAGCTAGTATTGCTCCATGCGCTCTGGATGATTGCCAACGCGTCATCAATGCAACACCAGCCGGAGGTAGGGCGATTACGATATCAAGGACAAAAGAGTTATTGTTGCTGTCCACTAGGAGATCTATGCAGCTGCTGTTGACACCAGAGGCCCTGGGATGTAAGTAGTGTAGCTGCATTTCTAGCACCGGTAGATCTCACGAAGTCCTCTGTTCGGTGGGTATTACCCCGCTGGAGCAACCCCGCAGAGCTCCACTTGTTGCATAACGAGCGCCCAGAGTGAACGTTCATGACTGCCTACCTGAGCTGTGAGGATTGTCTTTTTGTTCCTTATTGTTGCATACATACGCGAGTTTTCTGAGTCTTTATCATCCATCATGACTTCCAATTCCTCAATTCCTTACCTCCGACAATGTGGTAATACCAAACAACTTATTCTTCATGGCAAACCGTATCTGATGCTAGGCGGGGAGCTGCAAAATTCCTCGCTTTCGTCTGCCGAATATATGAGCGAGATTTGGCCTAAGATGGTTGCAACGAATGTCAATACTCTTCTTGGCTCCGTCAGTTGGGAGATGATTGAGCCTGAGGAAGGCAAGTTCGACTTTAAAGAGCTGGACAAAGTCACATTAGATGCACGAAAACACGGCTTACATCTAATCTTATTATGGTTCGGGTCATTTAAGAATGGTGAGTCGGCATACCTAGGTACTCTCGTGACCTATTTCCATATACTGATAGGTCCATCGCTAGGCAGATCGACTTACACGCCATCATGGGTGAAGACGGATCCGAAACGCTTCCCACGCGCTGAACTTCGAAAGGCCGGAGGAGTGATTGAGATTGCAGATGTCTTGTCTCTGTTCCACAAGCAGAATGTTGAAGCGGATGCGAAAGCATTTCAAAAGCTGCTTGCTCATGTCAAAGAGATAGATGAAGATCACAGTACCGTGTTGATGGTGCAAGTCGAGAACGAAGTCGGTCTTCTGTTCGACAGCCGGGACGGAAGTGAGGAGGCTAACAAAGTCTTCTCTGAAACAGTACCTGCAGAACTTCTTCAATTCTTGAGCAACGACTATGATCGACTACACGCCGATCTCAAAGCCAACCTCCAGACTTTCGTCGCGCGCTCGAAGCCGCAGTCTGGTACATGGGAGGAAGTGTTTGGCGTTGGTAGCAGGACTGACGAGCTCTTCATGGCGTACCATTACGCACACTATGTCAATCGTGTAGCAGCGGCTGGTAAATCCGTATACACAATCCCGTTGTACACCAACGTATGGCAGAACTATGCTGGGGAGGATGCTGACAACGACACTCCTATTGTCGTGGGTGGAGGTGGAGAGCCTGGTGATTATCCTTCCGGAGGCGCAACAAGCAACGTTCTTGATATATGGCTACGGTTTGCGCCAGACCTCGAGTTCATTGCGCCGGACATTTATCTTAATGAGTACACTGGCTTATGCGCGAAGTACCGACATGGCGGTAACACGCTTTTTATCCCTGAGCAGCGAAGAGATGAATATGGCGTTCGTCGGATTTGGATAGCCTACGGAACCTTTCAAGCTCTGTTGGCTAGCCCCTTCGGCATCGACACTTTAGAGCCTGAGAAAAATCCTTATACGAAACACTATGAACTCTTATCACAGGTCTCTCAGATTGTCCTTGAAGCGCAAAGTAATCCAGGCTCGTCGGTTGGCTTCTGTTTTGATGAAATGATCGGCGATAGAGATCCATCCAAACCCATCAAGCAACGTTTCGGCGACTGGGATATCACTGTAGAGCGCTCCTTTGTCTTTGGCAAGCCTGGAACTGGCAGCGGTATGGTCATCCATCGTGGCGGAGCGAGCTTTTTACTTATCGGCTGGGGTTTTCAGGTGATGGGTCGATCGACAAAGGCCGACACAAAGTTCAACGGTATCCTAAGGAATGAAGAGAAGACCGTAGATGACGTAGCGACAGGTTCATTACGAACACTAAGAACGTTGGGTGGTGATGAGACGAGAAGTGGAGCGAACGCGATGATGCCAAATGAAGACCCCGACTATGGAGGGTTTCCTATTGCCATAACAATTCCGGCAAGAACTGGTATCGCTGAGGTTGAATTCTACTCCTTCTAGACTTTAGTACTGAGAGCAAAGAGTGTAGTCAGGTGATAGGGAAGAAGGAGACCATCACCACGTACAAAATACGGTTAGTTGGGCGCCTGAACGGCAGCGCGGCATCTTAAGATTGCAAAGGGTCTTTCCGCCTTGGTACACAACGCGACAAACTTATTGCCACATCACGATATTGAAGGAATGATGCTGTGGTTTTAATCGATCTGAGTTGTCGCAAAAGTCTTACACCACGATGTCACGCTATTCTCGGTGTGCAGCAGCAGCAGCAGCAGCAGCTCTAGCTGTCTGCTGCCTAGCCTCTGCTCAGACCACAGCAACAGCTGTCGCTTCCTTCACACCCACATCATCAGCGCAAACCTCAGCCCCAACCTCAAACCTTCCAGCTTTCGAAATCGACATCTTGTTTCCTCGCAGAAATGAAACATACAACTTCACCTCCTCATTGCCCATCGTGTTCGCCTTCCAGAACCTTACTGCGGCTGCTGAACTCGGTTCCTTCAAATTCACATGGGATATCATGCCGTGGAACAGCATCGAGAATCCCATCCCAGGGGGCGTGATTGAGGATTTATGGGACAGGGAATTTACCTCGCAAAATGTATCCACGTTCACCAACACCGATGGATCACCGTACATTTTGGTCAACTACACTAATCCAAAGGAATGGGATCATCCACCAAACTACGGAGGCACTGCATATGCATTGCAGTGGTATATCCAATGGCATGATATAGATGCCCAGTGCGACCACCCCAGACCTGTCATAACTTCAACTCGAGAAGTGCTTTTTACCCTTTGGCCCGTATCATCCATATCACCCGGTGATTGGAGTGCCCCTAATCCAAATACGCTCGGAAATGTCACAGACAATTGCGCGCAATTGGGTACTTTCGCCAGGGTCCACGCGAGCGATTCGGACGTCTGTTCACTGGATCAGCTACAGTTAGGAGACAACGGGGATCCATGCGCCATCAAGCCTGATGAAGCCATGGTCAGCAGCATATCTAGCGTCGTAGAAAGTCTGTCTGCTTCACAGAGTCTCGCTACTGCAGCCCCAACGACTACTGAGTCTCCTGCCTCGTCGAACGCTGCCGTCGCAACAGGTGCGTCGGTACAGCCAGCACTCGCTGCAGCCTTGGTACTTGGTGGATGGGAATTGTGGTCGCTGTAATGTCAGAACAACACGCCCAGGCGTATCAGGTTCTGGACTCTTCACACCGCTTCTCTGTTGGTTCACTACCGGCCAATAACTTCTCAATAACTAAAAGATTCGTGAAGATGTACTGAGAATGAACACTATTCGCAAAATTGTGCATCCAATGCAAGCAGAATGAAAGCTATGTAAGTTTTTGTGTGCTTTGCTTTGCGTCCATTGGCCCTGCTATTACTGCCTCAACCCCGCCACGTCTTCTGTCCCGTCCAAAAAGAAAACCTCTCAACTTTCTTTAAACGTGTTTGCGGATACTTGTTGGCAGGCTTAAAAACATTGTCCGTGGAATGTTAGACGGGACGACAAATAGAAGCAGATTCAATTACCTTCTAAGGGACCGGGGCCAAAAGAAACGTCGCCCTTACAGCCTGGAAAGTACCAAAAACAGTGTTACAGGCAACCATATTGGTAGGCAGGAGCAGTAGCTACACGTGTGGCTCCCCAGGTAGCGCCTTCTTCTGCGTGGCATGCCATGACCACTGCGGAGCAAACAGCCTGACAACCCCGTATCCGAGTGGGCCGGCTGAGGCCAATTGAGCGAGCACGAAAAAGAATACCGCAATGTTTGGAGAAGACAAAAAGTTGTAATCTGCGCAAACAAGAAGAGACCGAAACCACTTACGGATTGATCAAGCTTGCTACAGGCTGGGTAGGCGTGTGATAAAAGTCCTCCCGCACGAACACTACATCATCTCAGCTTGAGTTACACAACAGCTTGCCAATTCGATTACTGGCTATACAGTCCGCCCACGTGTTTCTCCAATCAAATTTTCCATACATGTGTTTATTGCGCCAGACATCTCGCCACATCTGATTATGTATGATCAAGGAGCGACAAACGGCAGGCAAGATTCTTGACGGGCGAAATACATAATACTGTATTGAAAAGAGATATGAAGCATTGGGAGGCACCGCTATCGAACACAAAATCTGTCGCCAAGCTACCGATATCAGAGCTCACGACCCAGGTTCCGGGACAAGAGCGATGTAAGATTGCGACTACCCTATTCAAGACTGAACGACGTATTCGCTTGGTCAGACTAGAGACCCGGACCGGGACATGGAAGACGGTCTTGGGTTCGATCTAGAATTGGTGCCTGACTAAACTACATGTGTCCTAGGATTGCTCGGCTGAGTTGTTGGAGCAGCATGAACGGCCCTGTGTAAAGGGCCGACGCGAGCGAAACGAGCTAGCTATAGCACGCCACAGCCCGGAATCGTGCGGCACGTCATCGCGAGAGATCCCCTAGTGCACCGCCTACGGAACTTCCCATCCACGCTGAGATTTAGTTGCTGCAACTAGGTACAATGTTGGATTTCGTGGGACATGTACTGCTACTAACAAGACAACGCCATTCAACACGGCCTCATTCTTGGGGCACCAGTACTTAGCGCCTGTAGGGATTCACCAGTTCCTTCATTATGCCTTCGATGCAGGTCTGGCAGCGACTTTGGTAGGGTGGCCTGTGCAGTGCAACACCACCTGGTCAGTTCTAGCCCCTTCACGCAGATCGCGACGTCCTAGACGTGGGCTAGAGGTGACTGCTTACAGACTTAGTCTTTAGCTGGCATAGTCTCGGCGCAGCAACCTGGGGGAACTAACTGCAGCTGAATTTTGCACGTCTAGCAATGGCTTCACTCCAGACTGGATCAGGCCACTGTCGTGTTTCAAGGCAATGCACACCCAGGTATCCATGATGACCCATCCCAACCGCAATGCAAGCTGTCAAGAGCTGAGGACTTGAACGAAGGTTTTGATATGTTGATGTTTTCTGGCATCCATGAAATCCTCGTTCATGTGACGATTTCTATTCACGTTTTACAGAGCCTGCATTAAGATGAGATTACCCTGCGATTGGATGTTGCCAGGCTTGGCTTATTATTAGAATTCTGTCATGACTTAATGCGTCTGGTGCGGTTTTCAACCGTCAAATTGTACTGCGTATAATTTGAGTAGGCGTGGCGCCGACCCACTGGCACCTGTCTGTCCTAGGTTATCCATGAGTGCCAAGCATCTTCCTAAGCTATGGAAGCAAAGTAGTATCGTATCGCACGTGGCGCATGTGTCTTTGTAAGGAAACTAGTTCTTAGACTTCTCAAGCTTCATGGAACCCGTACGGTGATATTTCGATGCAATATAGGTGCATTCTTACCAAGACCTTTAACACCGAGTAATGTCACCGAAAGGTGTCACGAGCTTACTATCGTGAGATAGCAGCAAGGCGTCTTGAACTGCGCAGAAGCTCTGAGCATAAAAGACACCACCAACCCCCTCTACAGTTCAGACACAGCTTCCCGCAGATCACATCAACACAGTTTTTACATCAACACACACTCTCTTTGTCAATTTAGTGGCCTTTCGCTCTATCACTCTTTTACACCAAAATGCATTTCACTACAATCTTATCTGCCTTTGCAGCAGTTTCAGGCGTCCTGGCAGCTCCCGCTCCAACTCAGCTTGATACTCGCGCTGTAGTCCCGCACAACTCCCTCAACCCAATCCGGACCCGCCTGCAAGGAGGAGCGATTGGTCGTGCCATTCTGAGGTTCCAGCCCTTGCTTCACATTGCTCACGGCTGCCAGCCCTACACTGCAGTTGACGACAATGGCAACACCAGGTAAGCTTATGAGATGATGCACTCAAACTTCAAGCGCTCACACATCTTGTTCACAGTGGAGGTCTCCAGGATACTGGAAATGTCAGCGCCGGATGCCGTGACCAAAACAAGGGCCAGACCTATGCTCGAGCAGCATGGCACAAGGGCAAGTTCGCTATCATGTACGCGTGGTACTGGCCCAAGGACCAGCCAACCGCTGGCAACGTCGTAGGCGGCCACCGCCATGACTGGGTAAGTTGTGACTGTACGAGATGCATGTGAGACATTTGCTGACTTAGTGCCTACACCTTTACAGGAGAGTGTTGTCGTCTGGATTGACAACCCAGCGAACGCCAATCCCCGTATCCTCGGTGCTGCTGCATCCGGCCATGGCGGTTACTCGCCCACCACGCGCCCCAACATTCAAGGCAACAACGTCAAAGTGGAGTACTTCGTCAGGTTCCCCTACAACCACGCTACGCAGTTTACCAACACCGTCGGTCGCACCTACTGGATCAGCGACTGGGATGCTATGCCGACCGCTGCTAGGCAAGCTCTTGCTCCCAGGGACCTCTTTGGAAAGGCAAATGTACCTTTCAGGAACGACGTCTTCGCTAGCAACTTGGACAAGGCTTATGTCTAGGTGTTAGATCTGAACAGTTACCTCCTTGGTTCCTGACTTACTTTTCTGGACAATATCGATCATATCGTTTGTGTTATTGGCGATGGGGTAGCTGTAAGTAGCTACTTGTCCGTGGGCTATCGATCTGGATGGGATATCATTTCCAGATACAGTGTGCTTCTAATCTCTGCCGTTTTACATTGTTGTTGTTAGGGCTTCTGCGTTTATTTCTATGTGTTTTGTTTTTGTTTCAGAAGATAGAGAAACCAGGTTACACGTGCGCTATATACATTATGCTTAACCATATAACATGCCACATCCTTATTCTACCTATGCTCCCTCCTCACGTGCTGCATAAATAGGAATAGTTGGTCATCTGCCCATCGAGAGCGATGACAACCCGCAGACAGTGTTTTTAGAATATTGTGTATATGAGGTGTACGAAGTGGGGGAATAAAATCTACCACTGGTGCTTGAAAGCCAGGGGTGAGAGCGTCGGGAGTATCAAAGGTCAGAGGAGACGCATGGTTGAACGATAAAGCTGTAGTCAAGCCAGTAACGAGTAGTGAATAACGGTCTGACAAAGCTATACTCAACTAACCGCAGTTGGCTCGTCCATGTCACTTTGATGGGTACAATCGTAATAATCCGACGGACTCTTGGGCCCTCAATCCTCCTTCTGAAAGCGGAAGTAGGTCGAAGAGTGGAGGTTGTGCGTCAGCCAAGCAAATGTCCTAGATTTAGGCAGCAACATAAGAGAATCGGAGTATATAACTACCGGATCTCAATCGAAAACTGTGTCTCATCGTTGAGCACTCTAGCTTTCGTCGTAGAGCATTTGGAAATGTCTCCAATTCAGGTTGCGCAGACCTCATCGCCTCTCTTTAGGCTCCCGGCCGAGATCCGCTTTGCCATATACGAGCTTCTGGACCTTCCGCCCATCGACAATGAACAATGCCGCGGACTGATCCTTTCGTGTCGGCAAGCAAAGCACGAGTGCGAACGAGTTTCGATCCGCACGACAAAAGCGTGGCTGCTGGCTTACAAGCAGGACGTCCTCTCACAGAGCGAGCTAGGAGTGCGCATTCTGCTCCCTATCATAACACGAACACCTGTCGGAATGCATTCCAAGTTTCACACCTTGCGAAATTTGACACTGGTAGTCCCTGGCCACAGAATCCATGATTGCGGCTATCAGGACCCAAAATTCTTCGAAAGCCTCCGACCTTTGAACGCTATCTTCAGCTTATGGTTAGACAGCTTGACCTTGCACTTCTCGGGCTCGTTGAGAAGCGGCCCAGGACACAGGATGTATATGCACATCGGCAAGAGCTTCAGACGCCTGTTCTTCGTTCTAGAAAGTGGCCTTACGTATGCGCACGATCCTGTCGGTCAGAAAGGCAACCTCAAGCTCAACAAATACAGTTCTTCGGTAAAGCACTGGCGGCCACAACCAGCTTTCATCAAGAAGCTAGTGGTTTCATGGGACTTGACCGAGGAGGGTTTGCGTAGCGAAGACCTGGTAGCAGTAGATGGCCACTGCAGAAAGCGTGCAACAGCGGCTTGTCCCGGATTGCAAAGGTACCGCGTCGTCAGCGAAGATGAACTCCTTGGGTCAGAGTCGAGAGAGTCATTTTGTCGATTCCGCCCCTCGGACCTCGAAGATCGTATGGCGGGCCCAGATAGCGAGCACAAAAAGAAATGTCTCAAGTGTGGGTACCACGGTTGGGACTACCGTCGCTATATCCGAGGGTTGCCAGTGGATGATGACGAACGTTGGCTTTGACAACCCTTGCGAAAACAACACGATAACACAATTGAAAATGTGTGGAAGACTTGAAGCTGTGCTTGTTGAAGCTCGAAGATCCCGCCAGGAGCCGCGCGATCTGGGCGATCCAGGGGCGCCCACTAACACCCAAACAAGTAACAAGCGATGCGGGCTTATCAGGAACAATCGAACATCATTGAACAATCACCGCTACGAATTTAGTATCTACGTCATGTTTAGAGGTATCGCCGAAGTTCGGTTGAAAAGATATGGGGAAGCGCTGCACACTCTCTTCTTTTGGATCTCTTGAATCGCGTAATCATGTGCGGCATCACTTGTGCGGTTGCATTGCGGGGTCATGGACCATTAGCAAAGGAACGTGGGGAGTTGAGCAAGACACTGGACCAGAGTCTGGATAATATCAAGCATCGTGGGCCCGATGCAGAAGGCCACTGGATTAGCGAAGATTGTCGCGTGGGTACGTGGAGAAGTTACTGCAGCTGCAACGGACACAGACACACAACTGACTTGCTCACCACCTAGCTCTTGCCCACAACCGACTAGCGATCGTCGACTTAAACCCGGAAGGTGAACAGCCATTCCATGATGAAGGCAGTACTATCCATGCCGTAGTAAATGGCGAGTTATATGGCTATCAAGAGATCCGAGATTGCCTCAGTCGCGAGGGCTACAAATTCAAGAGCCAGTCAGACTCCGAGATTGCACTGGCGCTATACAAGAAGCATGGTCTATCCTTTCTGTCGCATCTACGCGGAGAGTTCTCACTATGTTTATACGACTCCGAGGCTCAGATCTTTATCGCCGCATGCGATCGATATGCCATCAAGCCCATGTACTACACGGTCCTAGATGGCAAACTGCTGGTATGGTCATCAAGTACCGTTCGCATATACTAAAGACTCACATACACCTCCTAGGTCGCTTCCGAAATGAAGGCATTCCTTCCTTTCGGATGGCAACCTGAGTGGGACGTGCAAAGCATCAAAGACGTGGGCTGGTTGTGCGATGGAAGAACTATCTTCCAAAGTGTTTCCAAGATACTGCCTGGTCATTATTTGCTGTGTAGGTCTTTCGGCACCATTTCGCAAGACAAGTATTGGGATGTCGAGTTCAAAGACAAGGTACGTGCAATAGCAGGTGCATTACAAACATTACTAACACATGTCAGCGTGAGCTTGAAACAAGGAGTGAAGACGAGATGATACAAGGCGTACGGAAACATCTCCTAGATGCCGTACGAGACCGCCTCCGTGCAGATGTGCCGATTGGTGTCTTTCTCAGTGGCGGCATCGACTCCAGCGCAATAGCGGGAATGGTGAAGCATCTTATGGACACGGAAGGTGCTCAGCTTGGTACTGCTCCAGCTTCAGAAAGGATCAACTGCTTCAGTGTTAAGTTTGTTGGTGAAGAACATGACGAGGAGCCGATCGCGCGTCGTACTGCGGACTGGCTTGGAGTCAAGATGCACCACTGCGAGATGACCGAAGAGAATTTTGCAGCCAACATCGAGAACGCAGTCTGGCACAACGAGACAGCTGTGACTGATCTGGGGACTGTCGGTAAATTCCTGCTTTCAAAGCTTACCAGTAAGGAAGGTATCAAGGTTGTTCTTACAGGAGAAGGATCAGATGAACACTTCGCCGGCTACAGAGAGTTACTTACCGATTTCGTTCGCGAACCCGATCTTGCATGGCCAAATTCCTGTCTCCCTGAAGAAGAGCGCATAGCAACTTTTAAGGGGCTAGAGGGCTCCGACACCTCAGGTCCAAAGGAACTCGTGACCTCGGCCGCAGTCCGTGCCCAAGTGAACAACACTTCTTTCCTCGGCTTCACGCAAACCGCATCTCTACGAGATCCGCTCTTCGCTCCTTGGGTATTCGGCGAATTTGGGACTACCGACAAACGTCTCACTGCCGTGAACGCCATCGACGGTCGCACGCGAGAGCTGATGACCAACAAATGGCACCCACTTCACACTTCTCTGTACATCTGGACGAAGTCATCTCTTGCGAACGGTCTTCTTACCGTATTAGGTGACCGTTGCGAGATGGCCCACAGTGTCGAAGGACGTCAACCATTCCTCGACCACCGCCTCACAGAATACGCCATGAAACTTCCGCCATCAGTAAAACTGCATTACGATCCTTCTACTCGCACCTTCAGCGAAAAGTGGATCCTGAAGGAGGCCATGAAGCCATTCATCACGACTGAGCTATATGCACGCAAGAAGCATCCTTTCTCTGCTCCAGTGAAATACAAGCCTGATGGGCCAGTGCATAAGCTGTTCGAGAAACTGCTCACGAAGGAAAATATGGAGGCTTTGGGGTTTTTGGAGTGGGACAAGTGTAAGGATCTGTTGCACGACGCGATATACGATGGCGACCGGCCGAAGTGGAGCCAGATGATACTTGTGGGCCAGTTTGTAATCCTGAGTCAGAAGTTTGGAGTGAAGAAAGCTGCGCCGGAGTTTGTTAGATTGGAGACAAATGGCTTTGCAAGATAGTTCTCGATGGCTAATTTTACCGACATTTTGCTCTGCTCCGACCTATAAGATTATCAAATGTGATGGGCTCACTAGGCTACATGGGCTGTTCATGTATGCATTATAGATGCGACGTCATGTCCTCCATTGCTGCAGCAGATAATTATGTGACTTAGGTAGTGTAGGTGTAGCACAGCTTCTGACAACGTCGTGCTTGACAGGTACGAGATGGACTTGATATAAATTAAGGTTCATGCTTCACATTTTTGTCTTATCGTTTCTCGTAACTAGGGCAACTTCATCCCGTTTCGGGTCGGATTTCGTGGGAGCATAACCTAATCTCTGTTTCGGCTCGGACTCCACCTTTTGAAGACGAATTCTCGAACTGTGTACTTCTTCAGAACACTGCCGATGTCGAGCCTGAACCCGTCAAGCTCCACACAGCTTGTATCCCACGGTTCTGGTACCTCAACGTAGACAAGCATCAGTGTCTTCATGACCTGTGTTTGCACTCGGTTCACCCGGTGGAACCACCACCAATCCCGGCGCTCCTTTTCCACAGCTCTGACTTGGCTTTGACCATCTGCTTGCTCATTCCAGTAGGGAGCCGAGTAAGAAGGGATGATCATGATTGCAAACTCTGCGTGTGTGAAGGCAGGCCCTCGGATGTAGAGTAAGTAATCGACGGCGAACTTGACGCCAGGCCGAACTACCCATCCTAGGGAGCGGAAGTGATGGAAGACAACGTACTTCATCAGGAAAGGGTTGTCGGGCGCAATAGAAGGAATGCACGACATAGCGGGATCCATGCGCGTGGCACCGTTGCTCATGTTGTACGCAGTACGAAGATGAGTCAACGTTCCTTCTAGATCAATGGATTCGCTGGGACTCAACGCATACAAGCAGTATAAGCGCAACAGATACCATGTAGGGTAGCGTTGCAAATCGTCCGACGACGCCTGGACGTCTGCGTTGATGACTTCTAGAGCACCAAGGACGTATGTAAGGAAGAAGGCTTCCTCGGGCGTGAGCTGGAGATGTTCAAGATCAGGAACATCAAGTTCCGGGCCAGCTTCAGTGTCGGCATGTGCAACGGCGCCATCTGCGGCTTTGTTGATCGTGGAAGTCCCCGCAACCTCTTCCGGCTTGCTGGTATCCTTGGCATCACTATCTACAAGCTTATCGATGTTGGCATCTGATACAATCTTGCCTTCTTGTCGTAATTGTTGCTCAATAGCTTCGCGTTGTGCCTTGGCTCTCTCTAATTTGAACTGCCTCCGCTCTTCTCGCCTTGATTGTGTCACCTCGGTGCTTGTCTTCGACGCCTGCGCACCTCGCCTTCGCTTTTCAGCTACTAGCCATTGCGGCTCACTTCGACTGAGGGACCCCTTACCCCAGAAGCCCTGCTCCCAAAGAGCTCGAATAGAGGTTGGATCGGTGACGTGGATTGACTGAGTCTCTACAGAGTAGTATGCTTTATGTACGACGTGATGTGATTGTGGTGGCCACAGCGACTGTGAGATTAGACTGATGACTAGTCGCAAGACAGAAATCGGGTTGTGCGGAACGAAGGCAGGCAGTGCATAAACGTCTAATGGTAGAGGCTTCGCATGTATCTCATTATAGTTGGGTCGTTTTGGGCGAGGCTTCCTCGAAGCACCGTTTGCTGGTTCTTGGTTCTGTTGAGGTAGACCGTTCGGACGTGCCTCGCTTGCTGCTGCAGCTTGCTCAGGTCGCATGGCCGCGGACATGCCTGACATTTCAGCTCAGTGTTCGATGAAACTGCACTGACGTTAGCACTGAGCGCGCACAGAAGCAATGCGACATGTAGTGAGTAATATCGATCAGATACCGTTGTAGTCTATTGTAACGGAGACAGCATCGAGCACCTAACGCAGTCAAGTGAATGCCTGCGCCGGCAATCGTATAAGTGAAAAGGTGTCATCATGAAAAGAAATTCCAAAGGAGCAAAGGCAGAACACGATCGTGACTTCCGCGCACATGACGCTGACAGAAGCTTTGATGATGTGCAGCCTTCAGTACGTTTGAAAAAGAGAGAAATAGATAAGACTTACCCAGCCTTTGCGACGTCAAGTAATGGCGTCGTCGACGAGGATTGTGAGCTTCATGGTGGTGGTGCTGGGAGCAAGAGCAAAGCGCAAAAAGTTTGGAGATGACTGTTTGCCAAGGCCAGATCTGATTGGTTGAACTGGCCGCCTCAACACGCGTGGTCCAATTGTCCCACCATGACCACCATGACACAAGCTTGTCACTAAGACAGTCGCTTCCAGCTGCTTGGAGCATTTGCCTCACCATAGTCAAGAACGGTGTTGGGTTTGTACTTACTTCTGCAGCTTGTTATGACGTAATCGGAGCAGCTCACCTTCCGAGAAATTAACAGAACATCGTCGTAACGCCACGCAAGAGTGATTAGGCATCTACGTTGCTCACGCGCATTCTGCCCGCTTGATTATAGACTCACCCTTAAAACTACCACAGCATTAGATACGGTACAATCACATTTAATATGTTGCCAGCGGCAAGGTGGTCCTTGCGACTGCCACGACAGAGCGCTCCATCATTCGTCACCAAAAGTACACCTCTACAGCTACCACTTCGTAATCGCCTATCAAAACACAAAGCGCCACGAACGAGCTTGCCGTATTCGACGAAACCACCTGGTAACGAGAACTCGCCGAACACACATGATGAGTCTCCAAAAGAGACATCCAAGGTCGACGCCGTGTCCAACGCCCTCTCTACCACGCCTGATTCCGAAAATAATCTCATCACACCCGTATATATGCCCGAAGACCCACATGCCGTCCTCAAGCAGACCCATCCTGCCATGCGCCTGCTCGACAACTCCTCTCTTATAGTACAACGACAGCTGGAGATGATGAATGTGCTCATGGGCTTTGAGCAAGCGAACCGCTACGTTATCATGGATCCGCATGGCAGTCATATTGGATATCTAGCAGAGCAAGAGCATGGCATAGGAAATGCCATGGCGAGACAGATGTTCAAGACGCATCGGAGCTTTACGACACACGTCTTTGATCGGGACGAGAAGGAAATACTGAGGTTTCACAGGCCTTTCAGCTGGATCAACTCGAGAATACGCGTCTATGATGCTGTAGGACAGGGCGAGGGCGCGTACACCAGCTCGTCAAGTCTGCAAGGGACAAGCGCGCGAAGCATAGCCAATCAAACCAGCGCAAACGTCTCTAGTTTACCACTGCAGGACATGCGTATTATCGGAGCTGCAGAACAAGAGTGGGCACCGTTACGAAGGAAATACAATCTGTTCCTTGCAAGGAATTTGGAGGACGTTGCTGCTGCACCCGGCACACCCCAGCTGTCCTCTGGCGACTTGCCAATCTCCGACTCAAAAGCTGTCGCTGTAGCTGAGGGTGACACACGAGAAGTCGGCATGCTTCAGTTTGCCAGGGTTGACGAGCCCTTTCTTTCCTGGGATTTCAGCTTGATGTCTGAAGACGGACGCCTGGCAGGCTCCGTCAATCGCAACTTCGGCGGCTTTGCGCGTGAAATCTTTACGGATACGGGCGTTTACGCACTGAGGATGGATGCTGCCGGACTGGCAAGTGAGCCATCCCACCTGGTGTCCAAAACTGGTGAACAAAGTAGGCCGTCACTTGAAGGCTATCCTGGTATGACCCTTGATCAACGAGCCGTGATGCTCGCCACGGCCGTTAGCATAGACTTTGATTACTTCAGTCGGCATAGCGGTTCCGGCGGCATGTGGCCAATGTGGATGCCGTGGGTTGGTGGCAGCGGTGAAGCTGCTGGCGGCGCTGCAGCTGGTGAGGCGGGCGCAGCCGGTGCTGGAGCTGTAGGCGCTGCTGGCGAAAGCGGTATCGCAGGCGAAGTCGGCACTGCAGCACGCGGATTAGGTGCTGGAGAAGGTGTAGCGACAGGCGCGGCTACAATGGCAGGCTACGAAGCTATGCAAAGAGGGCGAGAATCGAGGCAACAAGGAGGAGATGATGCTTCTCCGCAGGCAGCTGATCCATATCAACCTAGCCCAGACCAACAGTACGGTACAGGCCAAGCAGGTGAGGATATATGGGGTGAAGACCCTAGTGTAGGACCTCGCGATCAAGACCAAGGCTTCTGGGGTGGAGGGAATGAACAGGCCGGAGGCGATGCTGGTGGCGGTGGTGATGGTGGTGGGTTCAGTTGGGGAGACTTCTTTGACGAGTAAGATCCTGCAGCTTCTTATGTACTACTATATCACCATTTAGCATTCATACCATTCTAAACGAAGGGCTCCATACTCCTCATAACAAAGACAACTGTAAGGTGCCGCGATTGCATATGCACGTAGTCTGCGGCTGAAGTGGGGCTGTGCTAGGTAAGCACCTCAATCCTTAAACATTATTTCACTTAGCAACTCATTTTTCTCCATATCTTGTCTTCCACCAATCGCTTGACGCAACTAGACTTTCACGCTTGGCTCATCATTGTCGTCTGAGCATACTCAATAACCTTTTACTTCTTAAAGTGAGAGTTTTCGACAAGATGGCCCGTAGCACAATGAGAATTGCGCGGACTGCGAATGTTTATCAATACACAAGATTAGACACAAAGAAGCAGCAGATTCGTCTCCTGAAACTATCGCGACCTCCATCTGCCGCGAACGTACTACCCGACCGGAATATGATCCACTGCGAACTCGAGACGTTCGATCTCGATACTGTACCCGAACATATCGCTCTGTCATACACCTGGGGTGATGCATCGAATAATCAACATATTATCGTAGGCAACAAAGCAATGGCCGTTAGAATGAATTTGTTCGACTTCTTATACGCCTTTCGCTCAGATGATGCCAACATTCGCCACCTCTGGATCGACCAGGTATGCTCCATGGCTCCTCTTTAACATATATGTGGACTGATACCGATTACTCAGATATGCATCAACCAGCAGGATACAGCGGAACGCAACCATCAAGTTCGCTTGATGGCTAGAATTTACAGTGGATGCATCTACGTTATTGCTTGGCTTGGTTTATCTTCGTCAAGAGCGGCACGAAGATATTCGAAGATCAGAAATGCCGCAAATACAAAGGCCATACTAGAAAATCGCTACTTCACACGTCTCTGGATTGTGCAGGAAGTGTTGCTACCAAAAGAGGCACGCATCTTATGCGGTGATACCTGGATACACTGGGATACCCTAAAGCAAGCTGCATTGTGGGCTGATTATCTCGAGCACCCAACACTCCGACAGGTGACGTGGCTGCTAACTAACCGTTACGCCCATTCAGAGCACATTGAGCCTGGGTACAAGCATCTGCTTGTCAATATGCTGAGCCAATTCTCAGGTATGGGCTGCGAAGACCCTCGAGATAAATTATACGGCATGCTAGGCCTTGTCTCGGAGGAGCTCCGTCCTGTTGTGAATTATGACAATACTGTGGAACAAGTTTATCTTGATACCATGAGGATGCTTGGAGTATGGCATTGTCTGCATGCCTCAAATTGGTGGTGGCAAGATCTGCCGTTAAGAATGGGTGTGTCCCTGGCTCATGTCGTATCCATGCAGCCTTTCATCACTGACCTGCTTGCTTGCGGGCGGCAACCGATTGAAACACTCCCGTTCTGGACTCTGCACATGGGCTACGAAAAAGCCGATTCAAAATATCATGGGTTGGGTCGTTGGTGGTACGAATGTGGGGGCGTCCGGCATTATTACGATTGTATTATGGGAGCGTCTGAAGACTCAGAAGCCGTTTTGTGGTCGCTACTTGATGCTACTTCTGAACGAGGCTCACGGTAATGCCGGGGTACCCCGCAGCGTCGCGTATCTGCCCCGGAAATTCACCCAACTCCAAATTTCCCGACCCGCCACCTCGGGCGCAATTCTTCCGTCAATTCCATGTTGCCGGGGCTCCGTCTTCAATGCCATGGACGATATAACTATAGCCAAGCCTACCAGAAGTCATGATTAGGGTTATCAAGCCTTCCGAAACATCTTCTTCTCGGCCACCATGAAGCTTACCACTACTTCATGCATCTCCTTAACGCTGTGTGCGCACGCAATAGCAGCCCCAAGCTATCCGAAACAAACGCACGGTTCTTTCAAGTGGCGCTCTACGAAATCTCTGGTAGCTTTTGGCGATAGCTACACATATGTACAAGGCACGCTTGGTCATGTGAATTATACTTTCATCGGAGATGAGTTCAACTTCTCTTTCACGCCCAAACAGCTCTTCTCAGATCGCATTGTGCAGAATCTCACGGGAACGGCTGAAGGAGGACCAAACTGGGTCGAGTTCTTGACCGAATGTGGTGTTGAGGATGGCTTGCATGACCCAAGGAAATGCGATGTTCAACTCTGGGACTTTGCATATGCCGGTGCAAACACTATCAACGAAGCTGGATTCACCCCCCTACACCACAACCATACCGTCTCGCTCGAACGTCAAGCAGAACAATTCGTCTCTTACGGTAACCCGGCCCTTGAATCAATCGATCTCAACAAGAAGAAGGCACTAGTTGCGATATGGATTGGTATCAACGACATCAACGACCTTGTTTCTACTCAAGGCAAGAATGCAACTTTCGCACCGAGCTATGAAAAGGTCCAGGACAGGTTATTCAAGAGCGTGGAGAAGATATACAGTTTAGGTTACAAGAACTTCCTGTTCATGAACCTGCCGCCCCTGGATCGTGGTCCGGGAACGCCCAATGTCAACGCCTCTATGGTCTCTTCTTTCAACAAGATCCATGCTGAGCATGCCGATGCCTTTCAAAACCAACACAAAGACGTCAAGGTGCTCCAGTTCGATGTCAACAGTGTTTTGAACAACGTGTTGGATCACTACCAAGATTACGGATTCAAGAACGTCACAAACTACTGCCCTGGATACAACCAGCCAGACATCCTGACAGATCCCGGCAAATATGGATGTACGGAGTTGGATACGTTTTTTTGGTACAACTCAGGTCATCTAACAAGTAGGACGCACGAGATAATGACAAAGGCATTGAGGAAATGGTTGTTGAAGCAATAGATGGGGGCAAATGATGGAGCATTGGAGATATAAACCTTGAATACTCATAACCTCACCTGTCTACAAGGCCCAAACTCTCTGATCGCCTCTACTGTCTGACCTTTCTAGCTTGTTCATCCTTCCATACCAAAGCCGAAGAATCGTTGCTATTGCAGCAACTAGGAAACTGCACGCAGCGCACACGAAATTTCCTGTTGGAAATCCTTGACTCCTTTCGCTGTTCATCCAAATCCACTGCGCGATAATCTGGCCAAGACCTGCACAGGAGTTATGCAGGGCAATGGCAAGTGGTAAAGTGAGGAAACTCGGCGAGTTGCAGGTCACCCAATTCGTCATGGAAGGCGCAGCTGGAAAGGCTCCTGCAGCTGCCATACATAAACAGCCGTAGCGCTGAACATAGGCGTCAGCAGGAAGGAGACCAGCAGTTAGCCAGCCTGTGCCTCCAACAAGCGATGCGATGGTGATGTGCCAGCCACGAGCGTTGAAGTGATCCGCAGAGTAAGAGATAGTAATAGCGACGAAAAAGCCGACGACCCATGGCGGGACTGTCAGAAGCTGGGCATGAATAGACTCCTAAAAGGTGTGTGCGCGAAGTCAGTTTATGTCTCACATGCAGTTCGCACAAGGGCACTTACGTAGCCTAGGCCGGTGACTATAGTAGGCGTAAAGAACGTAAAAGATCCCTGAGGAACGACGTCGGCTACATATGCGATGTAGTGCAACAACATTCGTGGACTAAAACATGTGTCCAGAATCTCCTTTCTGGTAGCATGCTCCTGGTTGTAACCGCCACCGCGATCGGCTAGACGATCAACTGCGAATTTCTTCTCGGCGTTACTGAGCCATTTGGCTCGAGCTGGATAATCAGGGAGGAAAAACCATAAGAGAAAGGCAGAAAGTAAGGTGATGATGCCTTCAATAATGAAAAGCCAGCGGAACCCCTCAAGGCCGGCTGCTCCATTAATGTGCCCGACCCCGAACGCGATGGCCCCTCCAAAAGCTCCAGCGAGGTTACAGAATGCGATCACGAGTGCGATGCGCACTGCGCGCTCGTTATAGCGGTACCAAATTGTGATGAAGTAGACGATTCCTAACAACATATGATTAGCGCAGATGTATCGCTTTCACAGAACATTCTGAATGTACCAGGAAAGAAACCAGCTTCAAAGACTCCGATCAAGAACCGCAACGCAATTATTGTGGCACTGTTTTGGACACCCGCAAAGCCGATGGTTAATGCTCCCCACGCGAATAGAAGAATTCCGAGCCACCTAGAAGGCCGGATGTAGTGTTTCATGACGAAATTGCTTGGGACTTCGAAGATGGCGTAAGCCACGGAGAAGAGCGTGACAGTCAGGGCATAGCCATGTGGTGTCAGACCCGTGTTCGTGAGCATGTCGTCGCCCGTTTCGGTGTTGAGCACGCGGGCATTTCCAATGTTTCCTGTTGCAAGTATCAGCTAGGGTGACTTTGGACCAGTGTTGGTGTTGTGGTTGGAAAATGTATACCTCTGTCAAGAAAGTTCAAGAGATAGACCCAGCAGCACAGTGGTAGAACGCGTCGGTCGAGACGTCGGTTGAGCTTCTTGTTATACTTCTCATCATGGATGTCTATCTCTTCTCCATACTCTTGCAGTGTTCCATGCTGCTGCTTGGCTGTATCGATGTCGACATGTTCGAGGTGTTCCTGTTTCTCCCCGTCTAAAGACTTGCTCATGTTGGCTTGACTCGGCTTAAGTTCTGTATCTCTGAATCCGCGTGTGGCAAACGATCGGTGTCAAGTGAATGGTTTTTTTCAACGACTATGCGATTGAGATAGTCCAGTATAGGTCATAGTATTAGTATCATTTCGGCAAACCAATCCCGGATATAGCAGCTACGGTTTTACCCCAGACGTGCGGGGTAAACCCACATCTTCATGTTGCGCATGATGAACCGTGGACATGATCAGCGATGTATCTGTTGGGAAGGTGAGTATCGGTATTATCGCCGATGTTTGGTCGCTGTTGGGGTACGGAGGCAATTTGGACGCCGAACTAAGCATTACGTCATGAGAGCACTGAGACACCAGCCATGTATGCTCAATGGCGTAGGAGGTATCTCTCATCAACAACTTCATCTTCCGAGTAAACTTAGTCTTTAGCTTTCCATCTCCTGGTTGCAAGAGATCAGGTACCGTACACCTAGGTACCTAGCTTCCAAGCTTCCAAGCTGCCAAAGCAGGATTCTTCCATGGAACATGTATTCCACTTACTCCAAAATTATGCCTCTATATTCAAGTGTCCAATGGTACGTGAGTACGGAGCAAGCTGCTGCAATAGACCCAGAGACAAGGCAAGATCTGAATTCTAAGCAACCGTTTCGAGGGTAGGTGATACACAATTGATCCTAAGATTCACTAACCTGAGAGAGCCTTGAATTGGTCAGGCATGACCTGTGTCAACATGCTGAACCTCTAGTCTACTACGAGATCCCAGTTTCCGCTACTCCTTAAACAAGAGAGTAACACCTTAACCACCTCCTGCCGCCCCTCATGCACAATAGACGTCGAAACTCTGGTACACCCTCCCGTCCGTCGCACCCCAGCAGGTTCCCTTGTTTTTCTGGTTCCCGAAGTTCAGCTTTCCACCCGTGTTATCGCGGCCCTCAAAGACAATCAGACTGCAATCTGCATCTGTTTCTACGATCTGGAAGCTGCGGCGACCGCCTGGGAAGTTACCGCGGTTGTGGCTGGGTTGCGTGATGTGAATGTTCTCTTGGAAAGCTTGGCAGCCTGGAGGTCGGTGAGTACATAGTGGGAGGGAAACTAGATTGTGAGTGTGAGGGCCTTACTTGTGGAGGAGAAAGTATTGACGCCGAGAATGGAGGCGTGTGCACTGGCGGCTAGGAGCGCTGCGATGGTGGTGGGGAGGTACATGATGATGAGGATGGATTTGAGTTTCAGATTATGGAACAGTATTGGTGAGATATGATGACGGCTCTCTTTATATTCTAGGAAATGCATGCTTCTCGCTATTCCCGTTCCAGACGTTACTCAAAATATTCGTCCTTCCGCTGGAAATGACCTATCGTTAGCAAGTCGTGCCGCCTACTCGTCACAACGAAGATAGGAAAACCGCAAACAGGTGGGAACTCATAGTATCTCAGCTTACATGCATATACAGTGGTACAGTGACCAATGACTACAAGATCTGGCGAGGCTGAATTCAAAAGTGCAACTCTTTAGAAATTTGAGTGCATGTTGGCTTGCATATACGATTGCTGCCTTCTAGATCCGGCGTCTGCTTGATAGATCGATTGATTGATGGCGGATCAACGTCCCATATGCGGCGTCTGCTGACCATGGGCCAGGCTTTATGTGCAACGTGCATGTCAGCTAGAGAATGAAAGTAGCATGGTCCTTTGAATGTGAAAGCGCAGGGGCCTACACACGCGCAAGTAATGCGTAACTACTTGTTGTAGTGTTTGCTCACCTTAAAGGTACGTTGTCACTGGGAAAAAGCAGAGGAACTTGTGAGATAACACTCTCGTCTACGGTTATAGTCATTCGTTGTTTGCGACGGTTCTTTATCCGGACCTTTACATCAAACTATGGTATTCGTTGGCTAACTTGCTTAATACAGGTAGTGACCATGCGAACCTAGGTATGCGTCACCGAAATGCGACTTGATTAGATTATACGGTACTGGTAACATGTCGTGAATAAACTCCACATGAGCCTCCTACGGGACTCCTGCTCGAGATGACACTATCAAGATGCGTCGTGATTCAATCTCAGGGCATGAGTGAACCGCGCATTCCTGCATGACCATCTCACTCAGTGGTGCTTGCAGCAGACTACCCGGTCCTGTCGTCTCATTCAAGGACAAACGTACCAAATACATGCAACTCATCCGTCGTCCTCCATTTCCCCCCCACAAATATTGACTGACCTTCACCATCCCAGAAATGCATCCCGAGCTCCTTCATACCACTTTTGGCCATCACACGCATACTCGCCGGGTTTTCGGGGCTAACGATGGCTCGTACAAACACCTTGTCGCACGGCTCCCAAAAGGTCTTCCCTCTCTTACAAGCATCAATCACTGCTCTTACAGCACCCGTTGCGTAACCTTTACCCCATGCAGATGGCAGGTAGCTGTAACCCATTTCAACAGTAAGACATCCAGGTTCGAATGTGGAGGGCGGTAGAATGTCGGATCGCAAAACGAGGCTGTGCGGACCCAAAGTTTTGACGCCAATAAGTCCAACGAAGCGGGTTGGGATATCTTCCTTGTTTACTGCATCGTTCTCAGCAGGGTGAAGCAACTCGTGTACGGCGTAAGCAATCCGGTGGGACTTGGTTTCGCCATCCTTGACAGTAACAGGTAAAGCATTCTTAAGAAACCTTTCGGTGTCTTCAACGGTTTTGGCGGTTCCGTCAATACTGGGACGCGTTAGTATAACATCATCATGTTTGACACACGGTGCATTGTTGGTAACTAAGGAAAAGAATGATGACCTACCTCCAGAATGACGCTTTCGGATCACTGCGTAGCTCATGTAGCCATTCAAGTTCTTGACTTCCTCTCTCTGCTGTCGTAATGAGCGTCAATTTCAACTGAGGTGTGAAAAGAACGTTATCCATGGCGGACCAAGTGTTGCAGGACGAGGCTACCCCACCCAGTAAGAGCATACCAACATTTATACTGCGCTCTGCTCAGCCCTGTGAAGGCAGGCACATATCGGAATAGATCAGACAACGAGTCCAATCGGCATTCTTTAAGCTCGGTAAACACTAAACATGGTTTAGCGTGGGAATACAGCCTTCTACGAGTGGACTAGTCATTCCGGTACTTTGTGACTCTTACGTCTGTCATACCTACAGGTAGAGGGCCTTACCTTACGCACCAATAGATGAACAGTCCCGGACAGCGGGCTGATACATAACGATAGACACCTCCACCACAGGGACGTTCCAGAACGTGGACGTGCAAATGAAAAAGCTTTGTGGCTATGTACTAGGCTTTGGCAAGCTAGAATCCTGTGTTTTGACTGCATGTTATTCAACCGACAGACGTGCATTCCGTTGGGTTGGTTTGCTCATATGTTGGTATGACCACCTTTGCTTACTGATAAGCATAAGACACCGGCTGTGCAGTCGTTGCCTGCAGGACTTTGACGCTTAGTTGAGATCGATTAATGCTTGTTGTGCTTGACAAGAAGCTGTTAAACTAATCCCGCGCAAAAAATCGTGACACTGCATTCTAAGGCAAGGTCGTATGGGATATCAGGCCTTGACGTTCAACATGCGGTAGTATTGGGTTCGGTAGTGGCCGTGGTCACTTCAATTTACCTGACCTGTTGTGGCGCGAACGGTACAGTCGGGATGGACCCAAACAGTCCATACGATAGTAGCTCGCGACTTTCCCAATCAGCTATGGGATGAGATGCAACGGGCATGAAAGATGTGGACGCAGGAGGATGGCAAAGGCGCAGTTGGGTGGCAGAGTACTAGCGGCATCATGTCTTGGCATTCCCGAATCGCCGACCGAACTTTTGGCACAATCGCGACCACCATCTACGCCTGCAGAAGCAGCAATGGCACACCCACGATCGTTAATAGCTCCTCTGAGCAGGCTCACTACAAGCTCAATCGCCGTATCGAGACCACAAGTCCAGCGCTTCGCCCCAGTACCGTACCAGTCGATACGATGCGCAACCACCAAAGCACAGCCGAAGAAAAAGAAGAAGGCGCGGAACACATTTCTGCAATATGACTTGAAGAGGGCAGATCAATTCTCACTCGTCGACGCAATGCAGTATGTTCTGCCCAGGCCTGCATCGGAACGTACCACGGTCGGGGACTGACGGTAGAACAGATATATCCGCGCCTTTGAAGTAGGCCGCAACCCGTCTTCCTCCAAATACGAATTACACGTTCGATTACGCACACTCAAAAACGGTCCTGTAGTACGAAACCGCTTACGGCTTCCTCACCCTGTCAAGACCGATATACGGATCTGCGTCATCGCCGCCCCCGACTCCAAAGCCGCCGCTGAAGCCAGGGCTGCTGGTGCTGCGCTGGTAGGAGAGGACGAAATATTCAACCAGATCAAGGAAGGCAAGATCGACTTTGACAGATGTGTGTGTCACATTGATAGTCTCCAAAAGATGAACAAAGCGGGGCTGGGAAGAGTGTTAGGTCCCAAGGGCTTGATGCCCAGCACAAAGGCAGGAACGGTTGTCACGCAGGTGGGCACCAGTGTCCGGAATATGGTTGGTGGTAGCGAGTACAGAGAACGTCTGGGCGTCATTCGCATGGCAGTTGGTCAGTTAGGCTTCACACCGGAAGAGATGCAAAGAAATGTCAAGGCATTCATGGATGCGCTGAAGAAGGACATGGCGCAGATGAGTGATCGCATCAACAAGGAGATCCACGAGGTGGTTCTCAGCTCGACGAACTCACCTGGCTTCTCATTGAGTGGAGACTTCAGAGGGCCCGAGTCCATATCGCCAAAGGAGTTGAGTGGACCTCTGTAAATATAGCTTTCTGGGATGTATGAACAATGTACCATACCGAACGCCGTCGCTATGCTGGTTGAAGTCTTCTTCTATGACGACTTGAGTGTTTTGAGGACCTTGACTGCTTCGGCAGATTCCTCCATGTCGGCGTAGATCTTCATGACTTTCATCACGCGACCAGAGCCAGAAGCACCAGCGCTTTTCGCCTGCTGCAGCGCAGTACTCAGATCCATCAATAGTGTACTCCGCACTTTTGCTGTTCTGGCTGCCTGGGCCGCCACAAACGGATGCTCGCCTAAGTCTTTCTGCAGCCCCAGCACCAATTGGTAATGCACGACATTTCGCCTCAGCTTGACAATCGACACACCGTAGCCCTCTTCCTCTTCCTCTTCCTCTTCATCGTCCTCGCTGTCCGAGACCTCTTCCCCGAGTATGATTGTCTCGTGCCCCGCCGTCTCAATCATAAGCTCAGTCTCCAATTCCTTAAGCCGAGCATCATAGTCGACTAAGCGTCTTCCTAACTCGATCTTCTCCCTGGTGTCTCTCCTCTCTTGTAATAATTCTCCTACTTCCTCCTCTCTTTCCCCCACCACACCAACCAAGCCATCGACATCCTTCCTGAAGCCCAGAAGCCCTACTCGTACCTCCTCTACCTTTTCCTCGCCGCCGTGTAGACTGTTACCCAGATTGAGGAAGTCTTGGTAGTTACTGTTGACGAGGTCTAGCAGCTCTTTGGACAGAAGCTGCGATCGCGAGCGCAGTTCTGAACGTAGGTCTTCCAGAGTTTGGTGTCGATTGTGGAGCGTAGAGAGATATGTTGCCGGTGAAAATTCCGAGTCGAGGAAGTCCGATCGGCGAAGGGGTGTTGCAAAGGGGAGAGAGGAGGGGTCATCTTCGTCTTCGTTGTCGTTGTCGCTGGACGCTGAGCGCGAGTCGTCGCCGAACTGATGAGAGAGGATTAGTCGCCACGCCCTTTGGAATTGCAAAGTAGATTACAATACTTGTTTGTTGTACGTACATAGAAGCGACTCATTATTGCTGTCTTAACTCCATGTAGGGGCTGGGAGATGGGCTATGTGTGCGACACGCGTTGTTACCAGAAGTCCATATCGATAAGAACATGAACCTCGGACACTCGACCACACCTTATGGTTTGTAATGCACCGTTGTCTAGCGGCGTGGGGCAAAGCAAAGTGAAGACGTCAGTCGCCTTGCTGTCGGTGACATTTACCCTTAATTTTGTACCTGGATCTTTTTGTCTAAAGTCTTGTTACTACCAATTTGAAGCTTATAATCTTTGGACTGCTATTTCAAGGTGACAAGACGTCATAAGATTCCGGACGATGCCACCGCAACCCGCGCTTCCCGAGCCAGCGCATCCAGAAGTAGATTCAATGCTGAGCCGTAGATTCGGAAAGGAAGTTGCAAACTACTTCTCTGGTACCTAGATAACCCACCTATGCCCCTTCTGCTCCTTGTTTCTAATAGCATCATGCAGGCTCCCCACTCAATCGCGTAGGCTTCCTGCGTCCTGACCACCAGTTCCTCTCCTCGGCCCTCCATCATCCTAGTACTACATTCCTATTGTTCAAGGATCTCGAGCCCCTCACAAAGTCCGGCACCGAACTTGCACGTTGCAGCTTCTCCGATGTGAAGCCAGTTATTGGCGATAACCCATTCGAGAAATCTGAGGAAGAGGTCATCGCGCAGTACAACTCGAGTTTGTATGTTCCACAGATAATCTTCTTGGGTCTCGATGAAAAGAAAGAGGGTTTCACATACAAGGAGCATTACAAAGGACAGCCATGGTTTGCTGTCGATGTCACACCTAAGGAGAGTGTGAAGGAAAAGGCAGAAGGCGTGCTAGAGAAACTAACAAGCACGGGTCTGGAGTTTAGTAAGGGAAGGATGAACTTGAATCTACAGGCTGAGGAAGGTAAGCCATTGTTGCTCATTCCCGTCAACGGGCGGAGTGTTGTGACTGACAGTTGATAGCGGCCATATACGCGGAAGCCCGCCACCTTCTCGACTGGAATGCGCGGAACCCCTTTTGCGCTTCCTGCGGCTACAAGACCATGTCCGTAAACGCAGGTTTCAAGCGTACTTGCCCGCCGAAAGACATTGCATCTGAAGTCAATCAAGGCGAGCGCCCACCTTGCGCAACCCGAACTGGCATCTCAAACCTCTGTTTCCCCAGGACTGACCCAACTGTCATCATGGCTGTTGTATCCGCCGATGGAAAGAAGATCCTACTAGGACGCCAAAAGCGCTGGCCTCCTAACTGGTATTCTACTCTAGCCGGTTTCCTCGAACCTGCTGAGAGTGTGGAAGAAGCTGTGCGTCGCGAAGTCTGGGAAGAATCTGGCATTCATCTCGGTCGTGTCGTGATTCACAGCACTCAGCCCTGGCCCTATCCTGCTAACCTTATGATTGGCGCTGTCGGACAGGCGATTCCGGAAGGAGAGACGATTCACCTAGGACACGACGCTGAGTTGGAAGATGCGAAGTGGTTCACAGCAGAGGAAGTCAGAGAGGCGCTTCGTGTTGGTACTAGTGGACTTGGTGAAGACGCTGGGCCAGAATACAAAGAGGGTGGACTGAGATTACCACCCAAGACCGCGATTGCAAACCAGCTGTAAGTGCCCCTGTATGAGTTGCATGTGAGCCTATACTGACATCGTATACCCGCTTTTAGCATGACAGCTGTTGTCAATGGCTTCGCCAGTGGAGGCCCAATGATTTAGGATTGTATTCTGCGGTACAAACAGAAGGATTAGAGGTAAAGCTATAGACATGAATGTAGTTGCAATATAAGTCAGTCGAAACGAGATCGTAATCGTTTGTTGTTAACTTGTCGTTGTTGTATTCTACGTCTTACTAGCCAGCTACTCAAGGACGATGTATCGGCGCAACCGCTCGGGTATCGCATCGTACAGCTTTTTCTGCTCCAACCACTTCTTTGAGAATAGTCGATCGGCGTATCTGTATGCACCATCGCACAGCAAAGTAACGACAGTTGATCCCTTGCCCATCTTCTCGGCCACCTCTTTCGCAGCAACGACGTTCAGGCACGAACTTGCGCCAAGGTACAGACCTTCCTCGTCTAGACATCTGTAGACCATCTCGATGGTCTTCTCGTCGCTAATATGCACGGAGCCATCTAGGAGGTCAATGTCGGGCCTCAAGTTGTCTGTTACACGTCCCTGGCCGATTCCTTCTGTTATAGAACCGCCCTGGCGTTCTTGAAGCTTTCCACCACTCTGGATGTATGAATGCAACACGGAGCCCGGTGGATCGGCCAAGAAGCTCTTGACCCTCCCACCGCTCTTCTCCTTCAGATACCTCGTTACACCTGCAAGCGAGCCTCCAGTACCAGTGGCACAGGTGAAGGCGTCGATTTTGCCACCTGTCTGGTGCCAGATCTCGGGACCAGTAGTCTCGATATGCGCCTGCCTGTTCGCCACGTTGTCGAATTGGTTCGTCCAGACGGCGTTCTCAAGCCTGTCCGCGTGTCGCTTCGCTTGGTGGTTGTAGTTCTCTGGGTTGTCAAACGCCACCGCCGGTACTGGGTATACCTCTGCACCGAGCAATCGCAACAAGTCAATCTTTCCCTGAGATTGTGTGTTTGGCATGTAGATTACCAATCGATATCCTTTGGAGCGGCAGACGTGTGCGAGACCAATGCCAGTGTTTCCGGCTGTGCCCTCGATGACGGTGCCGCCAGGCTTCAAGAGACCCTGGCGCTCGGCGTTTTCGACGACGAAGAGGGCGGCGCGATCCTTCACGGAGCCACCAGGGTTTTGGAATTCGGCCTTTCCGAGGACATTGCAGCCGGTCTCTTCAGAGAGGCGCTTGAGGCGGATAAGAGGAGTTTTACCGATGGCTACAGTGGAGTATTAGCACAAAAAGCTATAAAGTGTGAATGTCAAAGCATAATACCATCAAGGAAGCCCCGCTGACCAATGCCTTGGGCTTTTGAGATGTTGATGGCAGTCTGCTGTGCAGCCTCTATTTGACTGAGGCTCTCTGCATTCCGCCATGCCGAAGCAGCGAAGCTTCGCGCGGCCGTTCTGAACATTGTTGTTTGGCAGAAAGAGGCAAACACAAGTCAAGATGAGAAAGTCGGACTTATGGGCTTCACGATGATGCCATTCGGCTGGTCGGCGAATCAACGCGCTTTCGCCCGATGTCGCAAATGCAGGACCCCTGCCGCGCGAGACCCCTGCAGCCGTGAGTGGGCTGCCGCGTGGGGTCAGTAAACAGTTGAACAACAACACCGACGACCGCAACTCGAGGCGGAGACGGGACGACACCACACCCAACTAACAACACTGCTACAATGGTCGGTCGTACATCGACGCGTGCGCCGCGATCATCCGCCACTTCGACAACACGCACCACCAAATCCACGCGCGCATCCTCCGCCAGGCAGTCCTCCAATGCCGTCGAAATCCCCGATGAGGGCCCCGTAACCTCGCTCCGAACACAGATCGCCCAGGTCTTCAGTGATGCACAAAAGACGACGGCGACACAGAGGAAGCTAGTGGTGAACCTGAGGAAAATACAAGAAGCATGCTGCTTCGAGCCACCAGACACGGGCAAGAAGGGTGGGAACAAGAACAAGGGCGAGGAGCAGGAAGACTTCGACGAGGAAGAGTTCAACGCCGAGGTGGTGAGATGTGTGCTCAGGATCATGTGCGTCAAGAAGAGCGAGCCAGTCGGAGATAGGGTCATCCGCTTCCTGGGCATATTCTTGAAGCATGCCTCTGAGAAAGACCAAACAATCTTCGCTGCCGAGACAGAAGAAGAAGCCACAGCTTTCCATGAAACACCCAGCAGTCGACTCACCTCTCAGATCCTCACCACCATCCTCGCCCTGCTGACGGCCAAGGACAAGACGATCCGCTTTCGAGCCACGCAGACGGTTGCACACATCGTGAATAGCCTCACAACCATCGACGACGAAATATTTGACTTGATAAGACTGGGTTTTACGAAACGTCTGCGGGATAAAGAGCCCTCAGTGCGTGTGCAGGCCATCCTGGGTTTGGGTCGTCTGGCTGGCAACGACGATGACGAGCAGGACGACGAAGATAGCGACGATGAAGGCGCAGGCGGCATTCTCGAAAAGCTCCTGGATATTATGATCAACGATCCGAGCGCTGAAGTCCGACGCGCTGTTCTGCTAAACCTGCCGCTATGGCCGTCCACCCTCCGTTACATTCTAGAACGAGCCCGAGACATGGACGCAACCACTCGCCGCTTAGTATACGGCAAGATCCTGCCCGCTCTGGGTGACTTTCGACACATGTCGCTTGTAGAGCGAGAAAAACTCATCCGATGGGGTCTCCGGGATCGAGACGATCTCGTCCGGAAAGCTGCTGCAGTTTTGTTCCGTGAACGCTGGCTCGAGGACTGTGCCAAGTCACGCGACACACGACCAGAAGAGGAAAAGAAACCAGGAGATGTAGCTCCTCCAAACCTTGAAGCGCTTTGTGAGCTTCTCGAGCGTATCGATGTCACCAGGTCTGGGGAAGAAGACGGCATGGCTCACGAAGCGATGCGCCAATTCTGGGACGGTCGACCAGATTATCGCAAAGAAATCGTATTCGACCATGAGTTCTGGAACAACCTCGATGCGCAGACGGCTTTCATTGCACGCACCTTGAACGATTACAGTCATAGTACTGCTGACGAGAGAGTCCAAAGTATGATTGAGGACAAGATGCCAGAAGTCACCATGTTCGCTTTTGTCCTGCAAAGAGAGCTCAATTCCCTGATGGAATTGGTAGACAAGGTTGCTATCATGGAAGAGAATGATCCCGAGGTTGAAGAAGCACAGGAAGACGTCGAGGAGCAGGATTTCATTGTTCAGCAACTACTCCATATCGCCCACACCCTTGACTACACGGATGAAATGGGTCGTAGGCAAATGTACAACATCATGCGCGAAGCCATTGCTAAGGCTCAGCTGCCGGAAGAGTGTACTAAGCTTGCTATCGAGGTGTTGCGCAAGGTTTGCGGCAGTCGCGGCGAAAAGGACTTCACTGCTCTGATCGTAGAGGCTGTTGCAGACGTTCGCGATTCTTTGCTGGATGCCGATGACGCCACAGTCACTGGAGAGGATGCCGAGGAGAGCTTCCATTCCGCTCAATCTGATGCAGACGGCGACGCACCGTTGATTAAGCCCAAGACTGCAAAAGCCGTGGATAACCTCACTGAAGAAGAGAAAGAAGAACGACAAATTCGCGAAGTTATGGTTTACTCAAAGTGTCTGCATATCGCCCAATGCACACTTCAGAATGTCGAAGGAGACCTCGAGTCAGACACTTCGCTAACCAGTATTCTGAATACGCTCATCATTCCTGCAGTCCAAGCTCACCAGTCTATGATCAGAGAACGTGGTGTCATCTGCTTGGGACTGGCCGCCCTCCTCAGCAAGGTAAGTAGAGAACAGTGAGACTTGCGTAGGCTACGTTGACACGAAACAGGATCTCGCCGACAACAATCTTGATCTCTTCTTCCATTGCTTCATGAAGGGTCACGACGCGCTCAGAGAAATCGTCATCCAAGTACTGAGTGATGTGATAATCACGCATCCTCAGTTCCTTACGCCTACGATCCCAGACCCAGATGCGTCCACAGACGATGCAGAGCCCATCACAAACCCGCGTGTCCGCCCTATGACAAAGATTTTGCTGAAAGCATTCAGCTCGGACAACAAGCGCATCAGCTTAATCTCCTGTACCGCGGCGTCGAAACTTCTTCTCTTGGGTATCTTGCCCCCTCAAACCACGGTCGAAGTCCTCAAAGCTTTTGTCCTTACATACTTTGACCCCGAGACGGCGACGAACCCGGCGCTGAGACAAGCGCTCAGCTACTTTCTTCCCGTATACTGTCATTCCAAGCTCAAGAACGCAAAGCTGATGAGCGAGATTGCTGTGCCAGTGATTTCGAAGCTACTTATCATGCGCGATGAGAACGTTGAGGAAGAAGATGTGGACGAGATGGTGGGCTGGCCTGTCATCACTGCTCACCTTGCCGAATGGACGGATGGCCGTAAAGTGGTGGGCGCTACCGAACTCGGTCTCGACGGAAAGACGAGTACCATTGTTGAGGCTGAAGAACCACATGTGCAGCTCGCGATCGAGATCTTGGAACGTGCATTGACAAGTACATGCTCGAAAGATGAGCGAAAACCTTTACTATCCCTACTGGGTAAACTCTTCATCGCACCTTCTGGCCCAATTCCCAAGGGAGAAGAAGGCGCGCTCAACGAAGAAAGTTTCCGCACTCTGCATGAGTTAGTATCTGAGGCAGTGGAAGGAAAAATTGGCACAGATGCAACGCAGCGCAATGCTTTGATAAAGTTAGAATCTACATTAACCAAGCGACTGGGCGAGGCAGCTACACAAGTCCAAGACACAGAGGTGGAGCGCACAGCAACGCCCGAAGCGACCGTCGCTACCGATGCTACAGAAGTCAATGAAGAAGAAGAAACTGAGGGTGATGTCACTGAAGTCTCTGCATCAAAGAGCAGGAAGAAATCTGTAGTACCGCAAGTTGATGATGACGAAGAAGAGGAGGAGGAGGAGGAGGAGGATGAAGACACCATGCTAGCGGGTATGCAGGGCGAAGGCACACGGATGCCTCTTGAGGACGACGATGACGAAGAGGAAGAAGACGATGAGTCTGCAGCTGGACATAGTACATTGACAGTTGGACGGGATGACAGGAGATCAGGCAGGACAACAGTGACCGAAGATGATATCATGGAGAGTCTGCTGCAGAGTGAGATGGAGCACTCTGCCTAGACTTTCTAGTTGTACATTTTTCTCTTGCTGGGCGGCTGGCGTTGTGTGGTCCCACGGACTCCTTTGCTGGCCATGAGGAGGCTTGGGTGATCGTTGACGAAATAGGAAAGGGTTGGATGTAATCCTGATGTATGCATGCCTTATGATATCCCTTATTACATTCAAGAACACTGCCACGAGGTCATGTACTACCTCGGTTTCACTATTTTGACAATCACGTATTCAATCGGAAACTCCAGATAACTCTGTTGATGCGGGACCCCTCTTGATTCGGCACACATTTCAATCCTTGGTGCTCCCGCGTATATCAGCAGATGTCTCACAATGTCTAGAAGAAAAAAGGATAAAAAGCAAAGTCCAAATCAAATCTACAGCGTGGGTATACGACAAGATGCTCCAAAAAATAACAAGATCAGTTCCCGCGCCACAAAGCATGCCTTCGGGGTTCCTCAGCGTCGTGTCCACAACTCATAGATACACGCAGACCACTGCATGTGACGAGCTTCTCTCAAAGCCAATTCCTCGTGACAAATCATAACACTCACTAGTCAAGAACTCCATCAACATATTTCGTCAACCTCATGCACGTATCACTAGCTTCGTCCAATCTACATCCCTCCTCAGTGATAACATTCCACAATCTCCGCTCGACATCAAATCCGAATTCCTTCACCCGATCTTTCTTATCACCCCATATCCTGCAAGGACGATTGTCGGATCCGTACACCCTGTCATCGTCCAGAATTTTTGCTGGATCGAGCTTGAGGTTATTTTGATGAAGGAAGATGGGTCGTGGTTTTTGTGGAGCTTTATGCATCTTGTTCTGCCCTTCGTTGACCTTGGTATCAGGATGAGCCAGATCGACGTTCTGCCAGACTTTGTCGGGATGGATGTGGCTGCGCATAGGACTGAGGTATTCGTAGTCCAGAATAGGGTCCGCTTGTGCGATGCCAATACCTCTGAAGGTGCCATTCATGTGACTACCGAGAACACCGGGTGGAGTTTGAACTTGGTAGTAGGGCAAGCTGACTGCAAGAGCGGCTTGGACAAATGTTTCCTTATCCCCTGCACCAGGACTTCCTTGACTAAGGAGGATATAGTAGTAGTCTGGACCGTAGTAGTTGTAGTACACCATCATGAGAAGAGAAGCACGGTGCACATCTTTGTTGATGAGAAGCTGGCCGCTTTCAGTTGAGAGTCTTGACTGCGAAGGGACCTCCGGTATAGCGGCAATGTGGTAAAAGTGTGCGGATATAGTTTGGGCCCAGAAGTCGGGCCAGGTGACTAGGCCATGAGTTGTGTATGGTGCGGTCGAGAAGAGTCTCGCGGGATCTTCTGTAGGAAAGGCGTCGCTATCGAGGAAGAGGACATGCTGGAAGGATGAAAAAAGTATGGCAAAGATCTTGTACTGGTAGTGGTTAGGCGGCTTTGCGCGGGCTGCAGTCTCGTATATGTTGGACAGGACTACACAGCGGGCGTTGAGAGACGGCAGGACGGCATCGCATAAAGTCGAATCATACTTTGTCCAATCGTCAATGAAGACTTCAACTGGTAGGTTGCATCCAGTCTTCCGAAGCATACGCAACGAAACCAGAAATACAGGTAGATAAAATGCGTCTGCGGTGGTGACGATACCGGTGGTACCTTTCGCGAACTGAAGCTTCGGAGCCAGGCGCTGTGCCGACTTCCGCATAGTATAGTGCGCCCTGAACAGAGCGGTCTCCTCTTTGTCGCTGAGATTCAGTATTCGATCAGGGTGCTCCTGGTGTGGTTGGAGAGGCAGGAAATCTATTGTTAGTCCAGAGTCGTTTTCTTCTTTCAGACGTAGAGACTCGCATTGCGGCTGTGACTGCAGGAGAGCAGTGGCCAATTCTTGCCAGAAATCTCGCACAGGTGTGTTGAATGTTGAGCTAGCGGCAGTGAGGTTTTTGCCTGTGAGTAGCGGCATGTTGAGGGCGCCGGAGCCATGATAGCCGCGTGGTATAAAGAAGATGCCACATATGAAAAGGAAGAGCGGGATGACAACCAAGCGAGGTACTGAAGGAATGGTCAGAAGCATAGTCGAGGGTGAATTGTTGTCGAGGGAAGAGGCCCATAGAGTAGATAATCCGGATGGGAAGCGGGAACGAAGGAAGCTTAGGTACAGTGTCGAAGTGAAGAGGAAGCTGAGTGGCTGGGCTGTTCGTGTCAAATTACTGAGCATCAGCACTGCATCGGACTTGCCAACAGAATTCAACAGCGTCTGCGCTAGGGTGTAAAGCTACGAGCCGCGTCATACAAACAGAAGCAGTGACCGTGCTGCGCTTAGGGAAAGCGCAAACTACCTTTCGAGCCTCGGGAACTCCAGGCCAAGAGCTCACGATGGTGTTGAACGACTCTGCAGCGCCCTTGAGTGAATCAACTTTAAGTGCAAAGGGCTTGATGAATGTTGTTACTCCGACGACTCTGCTGTTGCGGGTGACATGTGGCGTGCGTAACAGCACGATTATCGTCTTTCCGTGTATTTTCATGTCGTCCTCATCTCGCAAATGCACAGCAGCCTATCGCAGTCTAGATCCACTTGGGAGCAAGCGTGATGGCGAGGCCTGCTTAGTCAATACATCTAGTCCTTATTCAACATTAGCATCGTATTGAAGTGCGATCCTGGAATAGAAACATTTCAGTGGTTATACGGATAGCGTCATCCACAGCAGCGGCAGGTGGCTGAAATAGGGACCGGACCCTGTCACTAGCGGAACGGTCGTGTGGCTGTGATCAGCTCGAACATCATTGTAACCTTGGTATCTTCTATCGTCTATTTGGTGCGATTAATCAAAAACTAGGATTGCGAGCATCATACATCTAGTGTGCGTCGATCCGATGGATGGTACACAGTCTGCGTGGCGCTCGAGCGATGATACTGAATATTACCGGACACGAGCTCCAAATCTTTGTCGAGGCGTCACGCCACTCGCACGCTGCAAACTCGCAACTAGTGTGAACTAGCACGAAACGGTCTGCCTGCCATATTTATAGATTGAATTTCACCTTATGTTCAAATCGAGCAATTAACATGTGATGCTAGAAGAGTCCTCGAGTGCAATCCCGACTACAAAGGTAACGCCATAAAGCTCGAGAGCCTCCCTGGTCCTTTTAAACTATAAGACTTCCAAAAGAGTTTGACTGAAAAGTCATAGATGCGTAGGTCTACGCGTTTCGTATTCCAAAATTACAGCGCGACACAACAAACCAGTGCATTGGCAGACCACCACACAGCTTTCATATTCAAGAATGTTCTTTGTGTAAGACTATTGACCGCACCAACAACTTTCGAGGTATTCGTAGACTCAGCCATATCTGTGCGCAGGCTGCGATACGTGGATAGTAGTCTGGTCGGACCGAGGCGGATTAGCCGAACCGCCATACATAGTCTGCCATATTTGGACAGCCTAAGATACGTTTGGTCGCTCAAACCCGAACTGCGGTTGGAGTTCAAGTTAGTTCCATGATTTGGGCTTCGCGACGTTCCTGATTGGTGAGTGGCACCTTGGGATTCCAAACACGGGCATCAAGGTAGATTTCTCAGGAAGGCTGTACCACATCCAGATATCTGTTTCGCATCCTCTATGACAAGGACAAAGTGTCATTCTCTTTTTGCCTTCAATATGATCGAACGATAATCACGGTAACGCACGAGGTCAACGTGGTAATTCTGTGTGGTAGCAGAAATCGATCCTAATAACGATATACCTGCCTCACAGCACCCAAAGAGCTCTCGTTCTGGAGGCGAGGAAAAGGCAAGGCCACGTTGCCCAGGGTGGACTTGCACGCTAGAGCGTTGTTGAGATGGAGATAACAAACGTCATTGCAGTCTTTTCCAGTTGCTGTGAACCCGCATCGATGTTGACATGAACTCAGGTATTCCATCATTACAAGCATGAGCCATCGACACGAGACGAACAGAAAAATTGCAAATTATTAGGACAGAAAAGGAAGGTAGTTCTATGGTAAGTACAAAAGGCACGAGGCTAAGGAAATGCCTCTTCCACCACGCACGCCTTGATCGCCGAAGCGACTTGTTCAATTTGGATCAAGTAGAAAAAGAAAGAAACCAAGGCATATGGAAAGAAAAGAAGCTCACAGCCTAGGCATCGAACGAAATGGTCGGCCGTGAAATCCAAAAGCTCCAGCAAGCCCGTATTGCCGCCGTCCATGTTGTACTTTTGTCCATCCGCCCCGCTTTTAAATGAAATGCAAGTCGATCCCCAAACACCCCCATCCTAGGTATCGAACTCCGTCAAATGAGGTTTTCCGTCTATACGCATCCGAGCCGTAGGTAGCCTGCAAATGCCACAAATTCTTAATCGACCGACGCTGTCCAACTCCCCAAAAGCCAATCTTGCCCACGCCAGCCTATCCGAAGAAACCATCCCATATCAAATTGCACCGCAAGATCCGCGCTTCAGATGATCGATACCTATGTACGAGTGCATTTACGCCGGCGACTTGTTGGCGGGGTTCGAGACGTTGCGGCGGTCGTCGTTCATGGAAAGAGAACCGAAGCCTGTCGAAAGGAACGCAAAAGGATCGTTACGACCGTCACCGCCGTTCACGGCACCCTGGTTGGGGTATGGGTCTGCAGAAGAGAAGGCAGCTTCAGCTGAGCGGCTGTCAAAGGGAGTAGAGTGCATGCCGCCATTGGGCACATACTGCGCACCCATGGGAGGGTAGGGGCTGGCCGCGCCCATACCAGAAGGCAGAGCATACGAGCTAGGAGGTCCACCGTATTGCTGAGCCGGGAATCCACCACCGCCGTAGCCAGCTGGGCCGTATGGGCCGCCGCCGGGAGTACCGCCCATCGAGGGAGGTCCCATACCGAAGCCGGAGGGAGTATCCATAGGAGAGGGGAACGCAGAGTCGGCGACGACAGCTGCACCTGCGCGGCTGGCACCACAGCGAAGGCAGGCAGTGTTCTTAGCGAAGTTATGGTAGCCGCATCCGTTCTCACCACATTTCCAGTCTCCAGCTCGGAAAGGAACAGCACCAGTACCTCCACGCATGTGTCCGCCACCCATTCCGTGGCCATGGCCATGGCCCATGTGGTGCTGAGGAGGACCCATCATGCCTGGGTGACCACCGTATCCGTAACCGCCGTAAGCCATAGGATCACCACCCGGTGGTCCCTGCTGCATCGCGGGGAAAGAGCATCGGAAACAAGCGGTACGACGCTGGAAGTTGGAGAAACCGCAAGAAGGGCAGTTCCAGTCACCGGGACGAGGACGGTTTTTGGAGGGAGGGAAAGGAACAATGATGTCGGCAGCGCGGTCAATGACGCGGCTAGACGATGGAGAGACCTCAATGGCCTTTTCATTTAGCGCACGGCCATTCATACAGAGAGACTCTGCAGCCTATGTCATGTCAGCATACCCGATTGAAAGCGGTTTCGATGGAGAACATACCTCTTCGTGAGAGGAAAAGATGGCGAAGCCGGTTCCAGTTGGCTTGTGCTGGTCGGGAGTGCGAAGGGTCCAGAAAGCGATGGGACGTCCGCCAAACTGGGTGAACCAGCTCTCAAGCTCTGACTGAGTGGTGTCGTGGGGAAGGCCGCTCATGTGGAGAACCTTGCTTCGCTCTGACAGAAAGGCGCGAACGTCAGCGCGGGCGTCCATGGGCTTGGTAAGGACGTCTGGGTGATCTTGTGGGGGTTGTGACTTCCGGATGAGTCCGCGAAGCACGCGAGCCAGTGTAACGGCCTCCTCCATAGCTCGGCGGGGCGAGGCAGGCGCGAGAGCTTGCAAGTGGAAGGGCAGGTTGTGCTTGATGGGAGCTGAGGATTGGACGGGCTCCACCTCGAGAGCTGCACAGATATTGGTCAACGCGCTTGAACCAAACGGAAGTGACTCTGGGTGGTGAGCCTGCCACCTCTGGTATTCGGTGCGGAGATCAAATGTGCGTGAGTGTTGCAGATAAGGTGGGAGAACCACGGCCTTGTCGCGGGCCTCGCGCGGCAGTTGGACACGGAGGTCCCACGAGTCGAGTGTAACGAAAGCGAATTCGAGGTTCTTAGGAGCGATGTGTTCAGTATAAAAGTTTGTGAAACGATCGACGGCGTCGCGGAAGGAGCCGGCGTTGCGGACTTGGTCCCATGTGAGGGTTGTCAAGCTGGCTGTGCAGGGCTCGAGGTCAGCGGAAATTGCACGAAAAGTGGAACTTGAAGAAGGTGGTGAAGGGAAGGCTTACTGCATAGGGCCGTGATTGGCGTGTTGACCGGCTTTACGAGGACAGACTCACGATGCAGCTGACGTAGGGTTAGCAATGGAGCTAGGCATTGGAGTCGGTGGGCTTACCTCCTCGCACGACTTTGCATCGAGCAGGATCCAACCTAGCTCAATCACCTCGGCGGAGTCCTTTGTGACATAGACACCGTGCTCGTCGCAAGTCGTGGCCACATGGATGACGACGTAGCGGTCCAGGTTGGCCGTCTGGGGGCTTGGGGTTGGTTGGGAAGCCATATCTATATTGCTGGGACAGGTCTTGATTAGCTTGGGGTTCTCGAGTCTGCTCAATCACGCTATGGTATCGTCGATTGAGGTTCGGGCGGGCGAGGTTCGTCGAGGAAGAAGGTACGAGGTTTGGCGGAGATGGTAGGCGCGACGGGTGAGCACGTCAGCGGGGAGCCCAGGGTGAATGGTGAAGGGGACGAGTGGGGAACAGCTGGCAAGCCGGGAGCGAGTGAAGGGGAAAACAGAGCCTCGAGGTGACAGACGGGACGAGGTTGAGAAGAGTCCCGGAGAGATGAAACCAAATGCTACGAGATGGGGACGGACGACCTGAGGCTCCGTGCAATGATCCCGGGCAGATTTCTTGACGTGGATAGCAGAGCTAAGGCACAACTTCCAGATCTTGGCGGGAGCTCGACGTTAGTCTGCTTAGTGCCGGGCATGTCAGTGCAAGGTGGGATGTACAGTAGCCTGGTAACAATCTCTATAGCTCTCTCTTGTACACTTCTTCCACAGGTGGCTTCTTCTATCACTGTAGCGTGCGCGGTAGCGACTGTTTTCAGGGTCACAGCTGGTCAAATCAACGTTAATTTCAACGTCGTCGCTCCAAATTTCCACTCTAAGGACTGCCTGCAGCCGGACATGCCACGAGCACGGCGGACAGCAGCTCCCGCAGCCGCTCGGCAAAGCTGTCTGTACCCATCTGAAACACTCTACGCCCTCTCATTGAGGGTTCCACGCGTCTGCTGGAGGCTCTCGCGTGTGCTCCGCCTCGGCCGTGCCACGATGTGCCCCATGACGATATTGAACGATGCGGCGTGTACTCGTGAACAGTTGCATCCGAGTTGTGCTGTTGCTGCTCGCCGTGCCGCACTCTGCCATGGGTGACTACTGCGCTTCAGACCGCGCGACACGCTCTGATCCTTATACAATGGGTCTGCAGTGCTCACGGCGAGAGTCAGGCGCTCTTAAGTCCGCCTCTATCGCCGCCGACATTCTACCATCTGCTATAGCCATGTCGTTACTAGTCGCCCCTTGCAGCGTACCCCAAATCTGTGCCTAAAATACCAGTACAAGACATGTTGCACATCGCAGTGGCCCCTTCCGCCCATCCCGCTTTCACTGGCTGTCCGGGTACCCCTGGCGATCTTCCGTACCACGTGACTGCAGCCTATCGCCGTCTCGTACCGCCGAACAATGAAATGGGCACAGGACGATCTTCAAGCCTTGCTGACACGTACAACCAGCACTAGCCCTGTCAGCTCGCCGTTGCACTTGTTTGTGCGGGAGATCCCTAACTGCTTTTGCCCTGACCCCTTAAACGCGCTGCTCCCTCTGCTCTGTCCCAAACAGCTCGAGCACCTGGACTGAACGTACAGTGCCCGGCAGTCTGCCTGCAATTTGCAATTTATGCTCTCCAGCCTTGACACGTACCCGCTTCCCAGTACCGGGGACCTTGCATTGCGGCTTTGGCATTTACCTGGGTCTGGCTGAGCTTGGTTACCAAGCATGCCGGGATTCACATCTTCCCCGCAGGCTACGCTTAACGGACGCGAGTTAGTATTCACCTACCCACTTTTGAAACAACGGACTGCACTGCACCCTCTCATAAGCACATGCTCGACGCGTTCATGGGATTTCTCTCCTAATACCTTTCCAGTTCATCGCGAGGAATCATGGGTTTCTTCAAACGCTTCAGGCGTCACAAAAGCCCCAAGAAGAGCGAATCGCGCCCGCGCAACGACCTCTACGCCCCCGCAGTATACGACTACCACGGCCCCGACCAGACGCAGCGACTGCCCGATAAGGTCCTCCGCCGCATATTCGAACAAGTGTGTCCGCATTCAGCCGACGAATCTCTCGAAGGCAGCGAGGACAGCGGTCATGATGGCTGCATGAGCTGTGATATGCGGGACCTTGCACATTGTGCCCTGACCAAGCGACAATGGTATGGCGTTGCTGCAGGGTTGCTGTGAGTCTAGCTACCCAATATGCATTTTTATGTAGCTAATTCGCTCCAGATACAACAGCATCCGCATCGACGCGGTCCACTACTGCGAGCTCGAAGAGGTCTACGCCGACCAGCGCCGGCGCAAGTCGCGAAACGGCGATGACATTGACGCGCCCACGCTCCGGCTGCAGCAGCTCGGCCAGAGCGTGCGTGGAAACCAGTACCTCGGCCAACGCGTACGCTTCATCAAGCTACCATACATGACCCGCGAGGCATGCAAAGCTGATCTGGCAAGAACGGTATCGGGCTGTCCGAACATCGAGTTCATTGACCTTCCAGACGGCTTCTACAATGGCGACCAGTCATGTCAGCTGCTGCGTCAGGAGCTGCAGGCGCGCTGCCCTCATATCCGGAAGATGAAATACAACGAGGGCGGAGAGCAATCGCTAGAGACGCTGCTCCAGGGCTACTGGCAAGAGCTCATCTCGATTGAGCTCAACAAAATACAGATAGAGCCCAGCATCCTGAGGCAGGTCTTCGGCATGCTGCCACGGCTTAAGAAGCTTACCATTACTGGCGTATCCTGGCTGAATGACTCCACCTTCCACGATGCACCGGGAATCCCCAACTTTCCCGCGCTGGAATCTCTCACGCTGACCAAGTGTCATGGTGTTACTGCAAACGGGCTCGCTCAGTACCTCTACAACCCAATGTGCAGTGGTAGACTGCGAACATTGATATTGAAAGATTGCGGCAGTATTCCCGTACCTTCCCTTCACATTATTCTGCAAGCGGCAGTCAACCTCAAGACACTAGAATACTTCGCCACAGTTTCCGCGTCCCTTCCTTTGGATCCGATACCACCCATGACATCGTACACGCTGCACAAACTCAATTTTGAAGTCACCTCTAGCTCCGCGAACCAAGTATACCCGCCAAGTGCATCATGCTACCAGTACCTTGCGAACTCGCTCATCGCCAACTGCCTCCCTGCTTTGCGACAGCTCTATGTGCGCGACCCCGAATTTCCAGAAGTCCTCACGCTTGCGCCACCGATCCGGCCATTTAGCGAAGCACCGCCGCCCATGTTCAATCAGCCATTGGAGGTTTACTCCAAGGGTCTGGACGAGTTGGACTGGATCTTCACATCTATCATGCCCCCCGAGGCACAGGGACGCCGAGCATCAGTGTCAGTAGGACGACCACTGAGCAGCTATTCAGCACACAAGGGTCTGGGACCCCAATGGGGTGGAGACGCTCGTAAGAGTATCGTGGTACCAAACGGCTTCGGTGGTTTCCTAGCTGTACCTGCAGACAACGATGGGAGACCCAGGAGTGCTGGGCACATGGCGCCTAGTGGAGGCTTCGGCCACGGCTACTCCAACTCGCTTGGTGGCAGGGAGCCAAGTCCACGTGCCAGCTGGATGAGCCACGCGGGTCGCGAGAAGCGAGCTTCGAGGGCTGACCTCTGGCGATGATTTGTGCAGTCGCCACATGCATTCATCTCTTTTTCCATTTCTTTTTTTCACTTCTCACGTTTTGGATACCCGTCCATTCTTCTTCACCTTCATAGGCGATCTTTGTAAGATACCAAGAGGAGTTATTTTTGATCTTTACAGGGGTACGGTGCGATACTGGGATGAATCATTGAGATGGCTGGCACGAACGAAGATACCTCTGATGTGGGATTGGGGTTGGTTGGCTATCTGTAAATAAGAAAGAATTACAAAAGCCTCAGAATACGGTGGGATCTGGGATCTCGTCGCCATTGACATATCAAGTCACCTTCACACCATCAAGTGCCATCATGCTGTGTTTTGTTGTAGTGTTTTAATTTAGGAGCACCCTCTCATTAGGCCTATAGGTGTCAGCGTCATGATGAAATATTATGACTGCGCTCCACACTCGTCATGTTCACATCCTTTCCAAGTCTCTTCCTCCATAACCTTGTCAATCAGACACTGTCCCCTCCGAACAGCACTCCGAACCAGGTCCTTGATCAGGTTCCTCATCTCTCCATCCGCTTCATCAACCCAAAGCTGTCTGTGCCTCGCCCCGCACCCCAGGTTCCACGTCCCCCTCGCACTCCCTTTGCTTTCCCTCTCCTCACCCTTACCCTCCTCCGCTTTGTCTGCCTTGAAGATCTCCGAGTCCCCGAGCCCATGATGAAATAACTCTGGTGCCACGCTCCAGCATTTCCAATCACGATCCCTGCATGCACTTAGCAGCGCAACATCATAAGCTGAGATGCCTCCTGCTGGTTCCTTGGAGAATGTAGATAGGATGAGGGCGGCAGATCGGCGATTCACAGCGTAGGCGAATGTACAAAAAGGCCAGTAGCTTCTATGGAGAATACGAGTTTCCGAGGGTACGGAAAGGGATGAGAGAAACAGGGCTGTGTCAGGGTGGAGGACTGTGTGGAATGGAGTTGTGGGGTCGTTGTATAGAAAGAAGGGTTGGGAGAGATAGGCGGTAGAGATTAGATCATCGCAGTGGCCAGGGTAGAGGAGATCCCAGCTGGTCGTTGGGGCCCAGTATGATGTATGGTCGTCACCAGTGCTGTTGAGCAAGGAGCGGAAGGCGGGTGCAAGGAGGGGTATTTGAGAACTTCGGATTGAAATGTCGAAATCTGTGTCATCTTCGATTATCAAGGCTGTTTCGTAGTCTGAGGCCAGGAACCTATTGTTCGGTTAGTTTTCCTGTCCACTTCCTACTCCCCTTTTCCAGTCTCATCAGTTCAAGTTGTTTACATACCATTTCAAGACTTCCAAATGTCCTAACCATGCTTTCGCACTACCTGGGCTTAGACTGCTCTCCTTCACCTTGAGTCTCTCGACATCATCTACCTCCCATTCCTTTTGTTCTGGGACTACGATTTCGATGTCTGTTAGATTGGCGGCCCAGAGCAGGCTTTGTCGACGTGGAGAGCTTGGGTGGGACAGTGCAAGTATAGCACCGAAACCAAGAGTTGAGTTAGCTTGCGGAAGGATCAACGAAATCTGCTCGTGTGACAATGTGTTGAAAGTGCTGCTATGAGAGTGGTGGTAGAAGAGATATGCAAGTGTGAAGATGGAGACTGCCGCAACGAGGAGGTGAGTTTTCGGAGCCATTGCTGGAGTATCAGTCCAATGCGAGGTGATCAAGACAAAACATGAGAGAGGCAAATGACGAGAGAACGATGCATTTTACTTTGGTAGACATCACCCACGGTGAAGGAAGCTCTTGTGCAAACAGCACTCAGTCACCGATTTTGGGTGAAATAACCTTGCTGACGCGAAGAGGCTGTAGACGCGAATGTCTCCCTTGTGGCGCAAATACATAATATTCTTGTAGCTTCCACCTATCAGACTCTTCGCTTTCCCAGCTCTTTCACAGACCTTTTCTGTACTTCCTCGTGACATGTGCACAGTCAGCTCGTTCTCTGGGCGCCTAGATTCTCATCGGTGGAGTCTCTATTGGCATTGCATTTGTTTGATAGCATTTAGACGTTCCCCACGTAGCGAGTTGAAGTACTTGTCACGAGTGAAATTGTGAAGCAATACTTTTGTCGGTAGTATATACATAGTGCAAGGATAGTGGAAGAAAAACCCTGCTGTGGCTGAAGCATGGCCAGAGTGTAATAATATTTCATACAAGGCGGTACCTTCGGCGGGCTTGCGGCAAGATTTGGCCGAAACAGCTAAGGGCAGCTAATGGCAGCTAATGGCGCACCCAAACACGCACCTCAGCTGCGGTAGGCTATTGTTAGCGCCACAACGGCCGGCCTTCCTGGATCAAGTAAGAGTGCAGCCAACCTTGTTCCCCTGAGAGGACCACCTCGACAGACGATGCAGGTCTGGGTTGGCTGCTTGACGTATTGGTGGGAGTTAGGTACTTGAATCTCTTGAATTAACAGCCGAGTATCCGTGTGCACCTGCCACTCCCTATTGCTTCTTCCGTCTACCCTGCGCCGCTCCCCTCACTTGCTGTGTGCGTTCCATGGGTCTGTCTCCTATGTCCCTTACTTGTCGTCGCGCAGGCACGCAGAATCGTGTCGCACAGCATTCAACCACAACATGGCCACCGAAACAGTACCCTCGGCGGCGGCGCCAACGCCCAAAATGTCCCGCTATAGGAGTGTGAGGCGCGCGCAAGAAGAGCAGACACGGCAGCCGGGTCAATACCACCAGGACCACGCTTCACCAGCAGTGCCAGCCGTTCCAGCCATGCCTCCAATGCCTCCCATGCCTGTCGTGCCCGAATCCCAGCCTCAGAATGATGCGCCCATTAGCAGAAGCATGAGTCGCTACCACCGCAGGCCGACGACTTCACACGCGACCAGCCCGAATCCCCCACCACTACGCTCCAACACCATTCCCAATGCTCCACCTCCGCTTCCCGCGCAGCAACCGCCGTCCACGTCCCGGAATCGTGCTTTGAGCTCCCCGTATCAATCAACGCATACCGCAAACACCGGCCAGCGTCGGCCAAGAACCGCTAGGCCTCGCGCAGAAGCCTCACCCCCCGTCTCCAATGCGCCACGACAGCAGTCGCTGAGAGGCGATGACAGCGCGAGAGAGGTCCTGCAGAGAGAGAAGGAGAGACAGCGGCAGTTGAAGGAAAAGTACGAAGCAGAGGCGCGCATGCAGAGGCAGGCCAAGCAAGCCGAACTGGACAGAATTGAGAAAGTGCGCCAGGAAGAGGAAGAAGCTGCGCGGGCAGAGGCCCAGAGGGCAATCGAAGAGGCTGAGGCGCTGCGTCGGCAGAGGGAAGAACAAAAGGCCGAGCAGGAACGTGGCAGGCGGTTGCAGAAGGCTGAGACTCAGAAAGTGCTCCAACAAAGGGAGGAGGGTGTCCGCAGAGCGAAAGCCGAAGAGAAGGAGCGACAGGCGACACTCGCAAAGCTTGAGCAGAAGGCCCGAAAAGCGCCTTCTTCGTCGCCCCCCGTCTCACCACCCCGGCAGCAGGAGATAGGATTTGGCATGTTCAAGAGGAGAAAAGACGAGGCTCTAGGTTTAGACGCTCCTACACAACAATCAGCTCCGCCGCAGTTGAGTCTCAACTTCGATAGCCAGGAAGAGGAGACTATTAGACCTGGCGGAGGTGGCGTGGTTCTAGGCATTGATGCTCCCACATCTGCTGTAAATGCTGGCGACAGGGTATGTACATTGTATGTAAACCATGACAGAAATACTAACATGTGTCATAGCGCGTCAAAGTTGTGTGCAATGAGAAGCGCATCCTATTGCCTGTGACTCCAACCACCACACCTCTCGATCTCATCAAGTCAGCCGCCACTGTCCTCACAGACCCCATCGACGTGCGTACTGCCGTCATCTGCGAGTTTTTCACCAAAGTTAGCATCACACGTCCACTTCGCAACTACGAGTATGTGAGAGACGTTATGAACTCGTGGGATCACGACAATCAAAATGAGCTTACCATCATTGACTCTGATGTGGACGGGATCAACCAGGACAGCCTGCTCTCGTACAAAGTTCCAGACACAAGACCAGAGGGCGTTTCGTGCTTCATCCAATACTCATCGCGACCTGGCAAATGGAGTAAACGATATCTCGTTCTTCGTCCTGATGGGCAGCTAGTCATGGCCAAGAACGAGAAGACAAAGGAGAAGGACCAAGAGAATATCTGCACTCTCACAGACTACGATATCTACTCCGTGACGCAGTCGAAGCTGGCGCGCGTAAAGCCCCCAAAGAAGATTTGCTACGCTGTCAAAAGTATGCAGAAGTCCAACATCTTCGCGGATGAGTCTCAATATGTCCACTTCTTTTGTACCAATGACCGAAACACAGCGAATACGTTCTACACAGCGCTGCAGACCTGGCGCAGTTGGTATCTCAAACACCAGAAGGGCGAGGGGCTGAAGAAGAAAACCACAGCACAACGTAATATATCAGGGAACGCTGGGGCTGCGCAGGCGTCCTCCCATACAAGAGGCGAATCAGTTGGATCGCATTATCAGCTTGGTGCCTTCTCGTCATTACTCGACATGGACAGTTTCAACAAGACACTGGATGAGATCGAGGTTCACAAGCCGGGAGAGTTTCCAGACGATAAGCCTCTCTCGAAGCTTGATAGTAGCGCAATGCATGCGAAAATGAAGTCAGTACGAGTAAAGCGACCGCCCCCAGCTGCTTTCAACAAGAGCGGTCTAGCCGCAGAGATCCCGCCACCGCCCACTGCTCGTCGTCGGAGTATCGATCAGCAGGGCGAGGAAGCGTTTGCCTCCAGCGGTCTCCTGGGGCGTAGCTACACGCAGCGCCAGGCCGCTTTACAGGCACGTGAACAAACGGGTCCGTTCACCGAGGGACCGTCTCTACTGAACAGCATGGGTCGTGCAGCCCAAGTGTCGTCAAACGACTCCAGCCTTAAGCGCAACACTTCTGTCCGCAGCAACCACCACCGAAGAACATCTAGTGATCTTCAACGCAGTGCCTCGAGACGTGTTCCTGGCATGCCCGAACCTTTGGTTGATCTCACACCTCAGTACAAACCGCCGCCACAGCATCTCAACAAGGGCAAAGGCTTCAACCCAGGAGCTGGCGCAGGACCTTTGGTTGAAAGTGCAACTTCAATCGAGGAGGCAATCATGATTCCGTCATCAACGGACTGGCGCGCTGGTCGTCCAGGTACATCACGCGCGGCACATGGTACCTATGGTGCTGGTGGACACGAGCGTACGCGTTCGCTCAAGGGTCGTGGTGAGCCTTTGGCAGCGTATACACATAACAACCATTTTGGCGCTCCCGAGGATGACAGCAAGGCGTTTACAGGAGGTGGGTTACTTTCTCAGGCTGGCTACTCACAAGGAAAAGACATGGTTGGTAGGGGTGTCATGGATGGCAGTAGAGCCAGAGGCCCAATGGTCAACCTCTCGTTGAACAATGAGTTCGCACAAGGCAGTTTGCTGAGTGCGCTGCCGAACGCTGCTCCGGTTATTGACAGGAGTGGTAAGTAGTTGCGTGGACTACTTCGTCTTTTGCTTGGGATTTGTTTGTTTCCTGCTTTTGTTTGTCTGGCGTCGCACGTTCAGCTTGATATCCTTTGCTTTGGTTACACGTTCACGGCCTTGGGAATCTGATGTAATAGAATTAGGTGGGGAGTCGTGGGGGGCAGAGTGGCTCGATGCTCCTGCTGGAATCAGTATATGATACAAAAGCAAATGCCAACGAATCGTAGAATTATATTTATAGAGGTCTGAGCAGCGTTATGCCGTTGTGTTTGCCAAAATCAAATATTCGGAATTTTTCGTCTCTTGTATTCGAGGCTCTTCCTAGTCGAATGCTATCTTTGTCCAGGCGTTGCCGTGCCAGTGCACTTGGTAGGTGTGGTGCTTGCAACGACGACGCACCGACTGTATACGAGTCATGCACCCGCATAGCAACGCAAACTCGATACTGGGTATACGAGCAAACAACGCTGCTAGAAACTATTGACCGAGATATTGCAAGACACGTCCCGGCAGGCAATCCTGTCCTTCCGATGAACCCTCCGATAACATCACAGGCATGTCACATGGAGCGGCAGTGGCTGTTGTGGGCCCTCACGTGCATCTCTCCGCCTCCACTCACGACCCACTAATCTGGCTGCGGAGAGAGCTGGCGTGCTGTCGACTTCTCCCACCGTTCGCGGGACCCCGCAATTGTCGGTCTTATGACGGAATGGTGCAGCAAGCGGACGTGATGCAGCGCCTCGGCAGTGGTACAATGCGTGAAGCTCTCCCTTCGGCGTGACCCTTTTGATGTTCCTGTTGCGTCTGAAAGCGGACGAAGATAGATGAGCAGACAGGAATAAGCGAGCAGCTCAACGGCGGGCGGGATCGGTCGATGCTCCGCTTCTCATTTCCACGGGAAACTGTTGAGTTGTTGACTCGCGGCCTTGGCCTCGCCCGTTGCGCTCCAGCCTCAGAATTGGGCGCTGGTCGTGGGGAGAGAATTTGCCTCGAGGTGCTGCAAGTGTGAAGGAGTGTGAGAAGTGCTTCGGTGCAATATGTTGCAGCTTGAATGTGGCGCTCAAAGGCTGCCAGGCTAATTCGAGGTTTAATCGTGAATGGGTAGTAGAAGCCGAGCGCCTACGTCACAACGTCAATCCATCCGATTCCCAAAGAGGAATCCCAACCTCCACGGTTAGCAACGCTCGTGCGCCAAACAAAACCGGCCCAGCATTTCTCACTCCCAGGGCTGCTGCAAAACATCCTTTCTCAACTATTCGACAGAGTTTGCGTGCGGCTGCTCTGCTATAACAGGTCCGATTCCTTCCGCAGTCCCATCACACGTTGTCCGCGGCCAACAAATCGTACTCAACCCGAGAGTAATCGAACCGCTTGTCTAGCGCGGCAACCTGCAGTAGCTCAACCAAGCACCGAGCTCAAGCTCCCACGCTCCCTCGACTTTCTAAGCTCTCTAATCCTTAGAAAGAGCTCCGATCCTGCCATTGCGCCTTCCCACCATTTCTTCACACCACCCATACACAATGGCTGAGACCGGCGCGAGAGACGTGCAGAACCACGTCCTGTTCGAGGTTGCGACTGAAGTCGCAAACAGAGGTAGCCTTCGTCTCGTCTCCATGCCACTCGCAAGTACTAATAAATCGTAGTCGGCGGTATCTACTCAGTCCTCAAGTCCAAAGCGCAAGTCACTACGGCCGAGTATGGCGCCGCATACACTCTCTTGGGTCCATGGAACAGGGCTTCGGTACGCGCAGCCAGCTGCATCTTCGGATCAAATGCTAATCCAAACATAGGCGGCTGTCGAAGTTGAGCCAATCGAGCCCAAAGATCCAGCCTTGGTTGCGACCATCAAGTCCATGGACGACCGTGGCATCAAGACGCTGTATGGACGTTGGTTGATCGACGGTGCCCCACGTGTGCTCCTTTTCGACACCGGTACTGGTTACAGGTGGCTTGACGAGTGGAAGGGCGACCTTTGGTCTTCCACCGGCATTCCCTCGCCTCCCGGCGATTCTGAGACCAATGAGGCCATTGTCTTTGGTTACCTCATCGCATGGTTCTTGGGCGAGGTAAGTTGAAAACGTGTACCAAATCCGGTAGCTGTCGCTGACCCTTTTACAGTATGTCTACCATGAGAAGAAGCGAGCCGTCATTGTCCAGTTCCACGAGTGGCTGGCCGGTGTCGCAGTTCCTCTGTGCAAGAAGCGCCGAATCGATGTTACTACCATCTTCACTACCCACGCTACGCTCCTTGGTCGCTACCTCTGCGCCGGCTCAGTCGATTTCTACAACAATCTTCAATATTTCGACGTCGACGCTGAGGCAGGAAAGCGTGGTATTTACCACCGTTACTGCATCGAGCGTGCCGCTACACACGCGGCTGACGTGTTCACGACGGTTTCACACATCACCGCATACGAGAGCGAGCATCTTTTGAAGCGAAAGCCGGATGGTGTTCTGCCCAATGGTCTGAACGTCAAGAAGTTCTCCGCTACCCATGAGTTCCAAAACTTGCATCAGCAAGCCAAGGTCAAGATCAACGATTTCGTGCGCGGTCATTTCTACGGTCACAACGACTTTGATCCAGAGAACACTCTTTACTTCTTCACCGCTGGTCGCTACGAGTACCGGAACAAGGGTGTCGACATGTTCATCGAATCGTTAGCGCGATTGAACCACAAGATGAAGAGCGAGAACTCGAATATGACAGTTGTTGCTTTCATCATTCTGCCGGCACAGACCACCTCTCTTTCGGTCGACTCATTGAAGGGACAGGCTGTCATCAAGGCGCTCCACGACAGTGTAAACAACATTGCCGAAAATGTAGCCAAGAAGCTGTTTGAGCGCTCGTTGACATGGACAGAGGGCTCCGAGCTTCCAGAGGACAAGGACTTGATTACGCCTGCTGACAAGATCTTGCTCCGCCGAAGATTGTTCGCCATGAAACGCCACAACCTCCCGCCTATTGTTACCCATAACATGGTCAACGATGCTGAAGACCCCGTGTTGAACCAGCTCCGTCGCTGTCAACTCTTCAACCACCCATCGGATCGCGTCAAGGTTGTCTTCCATCCCGAATTCTTGAACTCCGCAAATCCCGTCCTGCCATTGGATTATGATGACTTCGTCCGTGGAACCCATCTTGGTGTCTTCTCATCGTACTACGAGCCTTGGGGCTACACTCCAGCTGAGTGCACTGTTATGGGTGTTCCTAGCATCACAACCAACTTGTCTGGTTTCGGTTGTTATATGGAGGAATTGATCGAGAACGCCCAGGATTACGGTATCTACATCGTAGACCGAAGGATGAAGGGTGTCGACGACTCAGTCAACCAGCTTGTCGACTACATGTTCGAGTTTACAAAGAAGAGCAAGCGCCAACGTATCAACCAGCGTAACCGGACCGAGCGTCTCAGTGATCTGCTCGACTGGAAGCGCATGGGCTTGGAGTACGTCAAGGCTCGACAATTGGCTCTTCGACGAGCATACCCTGCGGCATATGAAGACGATGATGAGCCAGACTTCTTCAGCTCGCAAGATGTCAAGATCTCGCGGCCGTTGTCTGAGCCTGGGTCTCCCCGGGACCGTTCGGGTATGATGACGCCTGGTGACTTTGCTTCGCTTCAAGAAGGTCGCGAAGGACTGAGCACTGAGGATTACATCGCGTGGAAGCTTCCGTAAGTGACAGCTGGACTACAATGCTCGATTACATGCTAACAATTACACAGGGAAGAAGAAGAGGCCGATGACTTTACCTTCCCGCTTACCTTGAAGACGAAGAGTAAGCCTAATTCAGGCGCAAACACTCCCACTCTGTCTACTGCGCCGAATGGTACTGACTAGCCACCTTTCTTCTGCAGGGTGACGAAGGAACCGAACGAGGAAGAGAAGCAACGACTTCCAAATTTGCATTGATCTATTCCTTTATGTTTGGTTTGATTTTATGCGCATATACTGCATTGGCGAAGACGAATGGACGCAGTAGAGAAGAATGGAAGGAACTGGTCGCCTACGTCTGTGGGACCCAAATGTATTTTAAGATGTGAATATCAGAGTCTGTTGGCCTGGTCGAAACTTTTGTGCGGTCCGAATCTCCTTACCATTGCCGAATGTCCGGACCCAGAATGCATACGCGCGTCTTTGATAGGAATGGATGCCCGATTTGCCGAACAAAAGCAAGCTTGGGGTGGTAAATCAGGCCAGCATTGCAACCTTGCGGCCAGTAGAGTACGAATTGACTGGCATGTGTCACGACGTGTGCCGTTGGTCGTTGCAAGCCCAGGTGGCTGACTGGAATGCCAAGCTGTGGCGTAGCCGAGTATCGCGGCGCAGTGATGGCAGAAGAAATGAACTGCGTAAGCCCGTAAGCCCGTAGAACGTGGACTAGCCTTGTTCTCCTTCCCGGCAATCAGGCGCATCCTATCAATGCCGAAACAAGCATCTTGTTTCTGAAACATAAGCGCGCAATCGCCAGTACCGCGTTATCCTGGAACAATGTCGGCGTTCCTTGGAATTTGTTGTGTTCAAGTGGTGAGATGTCAGCTCGGCCGACGGACCAAGCCAACCAACGTGACGATATGATGCGCTGGCAAGTATATTCTAGCAAGGGTTGCAGTTATCCACACCCAATATATGTATTGAAGTGTGGAGGGGCATTGTTTATCAAAATCTCCCTTGGGACTGCTCACGCGACGCGGGGCAATGGATAGCGGGGCGGAGCGGAAGCATACAGGTGGAGAACAAACACATGTCCAACGTGCATGCATACCAAGACTCGAGAGCATGTCGTACATGTGAACTCTGTTGGAAGCGGTGTAGTGCTTTTGCAGGTGTGGGCGAGACGTCCTTGTCGATTGGATTCTCCATGTTTGGTACAGGGGTCTGTTAAACTCCGGCTGCGATAGGAGGCTGGGCACGCAGCGTTCCGCGGCTTCGACACCCCTTTCGCGTAGCGTCATCGCCGCACCTGGCAGCGCGACAAGCCGGCAATCTTTCACAATGGACCATACGACTATTTGCCGCAACACGACCCGTAGTTCACAGTGCCCACTTGAGGCATTACTTCACTCTCTTCTCTCTTAACCATGCACCACTACGACGGAGCTTTTCTGCGACGCGCTACCGGCTCGGTCCGTTGACGTCCTGTCTGCTTGGGCGCGATCGATTAGACTCGATCTTTCAGCTCTTCCTTCGCACTACCTCTCCGCTGATCTTTCCTATCCACCAGACTAGGACCTTTCACTGAGCGACTACACCTTCCTTCGGTTTCGCCTTGACGGCCGCGAGCGGCAATCATGTTCGGTCCCTGGCTAGTCATGTTCGCATGGCTGAAGAAGCGCACGCCATCCAGTCTGAAGGCTCTCATACCACACGCCAACTTCATTACACTCCACTGTATGTTCAAAGAAACGGAACATTCGCTGGACTTGGACTAATTTGTCTGTAGATGCATATATTATTTCGTGGGCGCTGATTGGGTCCGTCATCATGTATGGTGGTGGTCGCATACCGTACATCGATGCGCTCTTCTTCGCCAGTGGCGCAGCAACACAAAGTGGTCTGAATACGTACGTTTAATCCAAAACTCTTGCGGGATATCGACTGACCATGAGCGCAGAATTGATATCAATTTATTGGACTTGTATCAACAGGTACGTGCTGTTCCAAGAGTAATGAATCATCGTTGTGCTAACTTGTTCAGATAACCATTTACATCATCACCAGCTTATGTACGCCCATCTTCATCCATAGCTCCGTCGTCGTCGTGCGCCTTTATTGGTTCGAAAAGCGCTTCCAGAATATCGTACTCGAGAGGGGAAACAAGAGCGGTCGGACCCGCACGCTTTCTAAGAGGAAGAGTGAAATGAAGGCTGTGACAGATCGGAATGCTGGACAGGAAGAGCAAGCGGTTGGTGCGCGCGAGATCCGGGTCATGCGTGGCTCGAGCGGCCATGCACACGGTGGAACAATCGCAAACGAATTCGCCTTCAGTGACGGACTGGACTGGACAGGCAATGGCATAAATCCTCGGAGATCCAGTTCCAGCGAGGATGAGATGCCTCCGTTTCGACCCACGACTCCCGTACAAAACGCTCCTACCGGTATTGTCTGGGCGGACAACCTTAGCACGCCCACCGAAAAGAAGCCTAGGGAGTCGCTTGAAGAATCTCCTGGTGGCCGCCTTCCGCAATCTAACAAAGAGAGAAGCATTGCTTTCGTAGAAGCACAGCGTAACCCGACAGCGAGGAACAAGCTGCGCATTCCGGGCCCACGCGATTTTGACCAGGGTCTCATCCCAGAGGCGATCAAAGGAGAGGAGCTGGATAGAGTTGCGAGTAGGCTGTCACATGAGTCCCATCCAAAACGCGAGCGCTCGAACTCTGTTCCTCACGCTTTGAATGGCGACGATCGGCCACTGAGAAACCACATCACCATCGACGTACCGGACCGACAGGCACGTCCTACTGGGCACTCCGTTTATGACAGAACCAGAACGAATGAAGGCGATGCAACTGTTCCTGCGCCAGGAATGCATATGCGTAGCAGGTCGCGGTCAAGGACCTTGACCAGTTTCCTTACTAGGAATAAGGACGAAGAGGAAGAAGATCCGATGCCATACCTCAGCTGGACCCCAACTCTCGGACGTAACTCGAATTTCGTGGATCTAACCGAAGAGCAAAGAGAAGAACTAGGCGGTATCGAGTACCGTGCTCTAAAACTCCTCGCCATGATTCTCATTATCTTCTACCTTGGCTGGCACACCATTGGTGTTATTTGTTTGGCACCCTGGATCAATCATGATGCTCATTACAGCAACGTGGTGAGAGAAGTTGGCGTGGATCCGACCTGGTGGGGTTTCTTCACTTCAGCTTCCTTGTTTAATGACCTAGGTTTCACACTCACTCCAGACTCGATGGTCTCTTTCCAGCTAGCTATATGGCCTCTTGTACTGGGTACCTTCCTTATTATCATCGGCAATACTGGTTTTCCCTGTATGCTTCGCTTCACCATCTGGATGTACTCCAAGATGGTACCCAAGAGCAGCGCCATTTGGGAAGAGCTTCGCTTTTTGCTAGATCACCCACGTCGATGCTTCACTTTACTTTTCCCAAGCAAGGCAAACTGGTGGCTGTTCTGGATCCTTGTTATTCTCAACGGTGTAGATCTGATCTTCTTCATCATCCTCGACGTAAGTACGATGTTATTCAGGCCAAATTACTTCTGACTAACGCTCTGCAGCTCAACGATCCGACTGTCACTTCCCTGTCGGGTGGTCATCGCTTTCTTGCCGGTCTTTTCCAAGCTGCCTCAACTCGTACTGCAGGTTTCGCTGTAGTCAACATTGCTGATCTGCACCCTGCAGTACAAGTCAGCTACCTCATCATGATGTACATATCTATTTTCCCTATCGCTATGTCCATCCGCCAATCCAACGTGTACGAGGAGAAGTCCCTGGGTGTTTGGGCCGCAGAAGACGAAGACGAAGAGCAATCGAGCTACCTCTCGCACCATTTGCGCCGCCAACTCTCATTCGACTTGTGGTTCGTCTTCTTGGGGTTCTTCCTCATCGCCATCATTGAAGGCCCGCGGCTCGAGAACACAAACGAGTACGCGTTCAGTCTCTTCTCCGTCCTGTTCGAAATCGTCTCAGCATATGGTACTGTAGGATTGAGTCAAGGCTTCCCTGGTTACAACACCTCCTTCTCAGGCCAGTTCAAGACACTGAGCAAACTCATCATCATTGCCATGCAGATCCGTGGTCGCCACCGTGGACTCCCGTACGCACTGGATCGTGCTATCTTGCTTCCGTCGGAAACTTTACACCAGAAAGAGAACGAAGATGCAACGAGACGCGCACGACGTAGCAGTAATGCTATGGATATGGGAATCAGTATGAGTATGGATGGTATTACCCGAACAGGTACCGGACTCAGTCGCAAGAGTACCGCAAGTGGCGAGAGACCCCCACAAAGTAAACCCAAACAGCTGAAACGCATTATCAGTGGTGCTTTTAGTGCAGGCCCAACGGGCCAATATAGAGAGAAGAGGGCATGATATGTTCTCCCTTTGTGCGACATTCTGAGCATTCGAGGCGTTTTAGAGTAAGGCGCAGAATGGTGTTCATCGGTTTTATATATATTTTTGTTTGTGCTTTTAGGCGCTTCGACGAGCTTTAGATCTGATAGCGTTTACGCGTGCGATGCCTTTCCACACGATGTTATTATCGTTGCTAGTACATATTGCTAAGATGAAGTATACTTATGTTACATATTTCTGTTGTCGATTGATACTATGATATGACGTAGAAGCTGATCCGTTCAGCTCCATGTCCAACCCTCAAATATCTAGTCTCTAATCGCACCTTTTACCCAAATTTTGCTGTGCATCATATGCTTCTTGGTACAAGATGGTTGAGGAGTATCGTTCTTATTTGGAGTAGAAGGTTCGGGTTCTCACGTCAAGGTCACTGTAGAGTCTTGCACCTGAGCAATCTCGTAGACGTCAACAGACTTGAAAGTCAACAGAGATCGTAAAGATGTGGCATCAATGTTGCTGCACGGTGGTCTCATGTTCCCTGGAGTGGTACCAAAAAAACAAGAGTAGAAGTATTATGCTGGGTTGGGACCTGGGCCAAGCCTCTAGTGAAGGACGCAGCAAAAGTAAAGTAGTAGCTGAGAGGGCCTGAAGGCGGGCATGTTGTTCTCTATGCTCAGTAAATTGGGAGATTTGCCAACGGTCATAGGCTCAATGTTTTTCGATTGACTTGAAGAATTTGAAGAGAACACGGGTGTATCATATGTATATATCGAGATTCAGTCCAGATCAGTCTGCTGCGATCACTAGCTCGGGGCTTGCATTCGGATCAATCATGACCTGATATCACGTTCAAATAGTCTTCAGGTTGCGTGACATGTGCTTAATTTCAATTCGCCTTGAAAACTACACAAGAGCGCTTTCCAATCATTATTCCAAGATTTTTCTCGAGGTTTGCTCAGTAAGTGCCTGAGATAACTCAGCGAGCCCTGGTTTTCCTTCCAATGCCGCCTTGATCTAGACTCAATGATGCATTTCTGGCCCCACAAGGTAACGAGCTACTTGAAGGTGCTGAAAGAAGAGCTCAACAGGTCAAAGTAAGATGTTGTTGCACGTCTTACTTTGGGCTCTTGTCATAGACTACATGTGATGCTCATAAGCTAAACGTAGTGGTCGTGTGTTATCAAAAGCTTTATTCCGTCATATCACCAGTAGAGTTACGAATGAAAGCTTCCAGAGCTTGTTAGACCGTGGAGTGACTCGTCAGAGCATGCGTCGGTGCGTACACAATCTTAGAAAGTTCTGTGAAGTCCCATAAGCTTGCGCATTATCCAGGCGGATTGCTCGGAAAGTCAGGAAATTGGGACCTGAAATGAGCAAAAGATGCAATACAATAGTTCAGCTAAGTGTGCCCAGGTGTTGGGAGCCCTGGAGTATCGCTGAGAGACTTCCAATGACAACTGGTTGCGGTAAGCAGCCGCTCTGCGCTAAAATGGACAGATACTAGTGCCATACGTCACCTTCGAATGCAAACTTTCCCCAACCACCCATTGTTTCACATTAGCCCTGAATCAGCGGGAATCAAACATTCTTCAGAATTACAACGAGATTTGAACAACCCTTCCATGCACATGGTCGCTACGAGGTCGCTTTCCGCGCGTCAACGCGTGAATAAATGTCTACAATAGAGGATCGCCTATCTTAGCCCCAAAGCCTCCCTCCTCCCTTGACTTCCCAGATCTAGATACGGTGCCTCGCCCAGGCTAGCCACTCGATCGCCTGCCCTGGCTTCATCATAGTCATATGTCGCACAATGCCACGTACTACGGTTATCCCAAATAGCCAAGTCATTCGGCCGCCACTTAAACCGCACCTGCGCATCGTGGTTCTGCGTTACAAGGTTGAACAGATACGGCAGAATGAGGTCGGATTCGTCCTTCGTGACGCCATTGATACGTTTGGTAAATCCTTTGTTCACGTATACTGATTTCCAACCCGTCACAGCTGTGGCGCAGATTAGCATTTGCAACGCAGGAAAAGAATCAGCAAGCTTACGATTTGTTCTTATGACTGGGTGTGTGGCTGTGAGTGCGTCCCCCTGGTTTAATGGATTACCACGGACACCCTTCCTCAATGGATTTCCTAGCCGCTCTGCTTCTTCTAGAAAAAACTTCGCGTCGTGCGTCGCAGTCAGACCCTCCAGGAATGACCGCATGGCGGGAGAGAGGCGGTCGTAAATTTCGTAGCCGGACGCCCACAGCGTGTCACCACCTGTTGCTGGTAGGGTATGAATTTTCAACATCGCATAGTCTGACGGTACTGGTTCAAAAGTAATGTCACTATGCCAGCCTGCAGATGCGAAACGACTGACATCCGAGAGTTGGTGAGTGAGACCACCACCTTTCTTCTGCTTTTCGCTGCTTATGACAGAGATCTGATCTCCCAGTTCGGAGCCTTCTTCGGTAAGGGGGTGCACATGGAGTCCAGATGATGAGGGCTAACAATCTGTCAGCGTTGTGAAAATGAGTTCATGTTGGTAATCGAGTAGACATACACAACCTGATAGCTCAGTTATGCGCAACATCAGGTCTTTCATCTGAGTTGGTGTGACATCTTGGTTCCTCAGAAATACGACGCCGCGTTGTGATACTTGAAGTTTTATCAGCCACCGACTTCGTCAAGTTAGAGATGGAAACCGTACCCGTGATAGCCAGATCTTTGATCATAGCATCACCCCATCGAAGCAGATCGGTCACCTGGAGACCTTCGAATTCTCTTCCGATGACTGGGGTTAAGTCTTGGTGTTGGAAGCTATCCAGCGACCCGGAATAAATCAAGGGCTCCAGAAGCCTCGACCTGGCACTGGCGTGTCCGCCAATGATGTTGGCGTCCCCGTCTTCATGGACATCTTCGATACGATTGCGCTTGATTGAAGGCATCTTAGGAGCGATGTGGCTTAAAAGTAGTTTTGGCTTTCGACTTAGCCTTAGAGTTGCAAAGCACTTCGACAGCCTGAAGGCTAACAATCTTACATACCTGGAAATCCCGAACGTCTAATATCTACCAGAGACCAGGGTGGCACATCTTCGGCATGTGTGGTAAAGCACGTCATCGGACTAGCTGTATGTTCCGGGATTAGGCACGCCGAGCCTAGCCTACACCATTCCGTGAACGCTAAGCCGGGGGTCAAGAGGGGAAAACCAATAGCAGATGCATTAGTATGCACAACACCGCGCTTTCCCCTCCTTCGTCGGCGCATTTACTGCCTCGGTAGGATGGCGACGATGGCGACGAGATGAGCCGCAATTGCGACATGCAATCTCCAAGATGATATATAGAGGAGTAAAAGCATGTCAGGGGAGATGTAGCGTGCCGATCATTATATCTTTATAACAGCCTCCATTCGTAGGACTCGTGTTGAAGCCGACGACTGCAGCTCTTCAACATGGGCAACGACATCGAAGCAGCCCCGCATACGACACGGATCAGCGAAGATGCCAACTCGCTGAAATCATCGGCCCATGTGGGTAGAGAGGAGCTTGCAGACATCGTTCCCCCACACGACAGCTACGAAGGCCGGCATCGCTTCGACCCCCATGCGAGCTGGAGCGTTGAGGAAGAACGTCGTGTTGTACGGAAGACAGATCTACGACTGCTCACATGGCTCTGCCTGATGATGTTCGGGCTGCAGGAAAGTTGATACAAGCTACTTGACGATTACGAATACTGACTGTTGCAGCTCGATCGCGGAAATCTATCAAATGCGCTTGCGGATAATCTTCTGAACGATCTTGGTCTGACTTCTGATGATTACAACAATGGCACGACCATACAACTGGTTTGCTTCCTTGCTGCCGAGTTTCCGGTCCAGTTGTGAGTGATATCAGAATCATTTTGCAGTCACTGTCTGACCACGCTCCTGTCTAGTCTCACCAAGCGATATGGTTTCAAGTACATCCTTCCAACTATGATGTTAGCCTGGGGAACTGCATCTTGGGGTCAGGCATGGATGCACGACCGGACTTCATTCTATCTGGGTCGCGCAGCCATCGGACTCTGTGAGGGTGGTTTCATCCCTGGTGTTATCTTGTTTGCGACCTACTTCTACAAGTCCAAGGAGCTTTCCATACGTCTTGCAGCCTTCTGGTCGACACTCAACATCGCTCGTGTTATTTCCGCATTGCTCGCAGCTGGGATTCTGGAAATGCGCGGTGTCGGTGGGAAGCCCGGCTGGTTTTGGCTCTTCCTCCTTGAAGGTCTCTTAACGGTTGTCATTGCCACATTATCGTTTTTGTACCTACCCGCAGCGCCGACATCAACCACGAACGTACTTTGGCGTAAGGGCTGGTACACCGAGCGGGAAGAGATTAGTAAGTTTTCAGCTACGAAATGTATATATGAGACATTCACTGACTTCGTACGCTCGAATTCAGTCATGGTGAACCGCATCCTTCGAGACGATCCAGCAAAAGGCCTTACGGCTCTCAAAGAGCCTGCCACGTTTAAGGACATCCGCGCGGCCTGGTCTGACTCCTCTATGTGGGGCTTATACTTCATCGGCCTCGTTGCTTACATTCCTGCCTCCCCGGTGCAAGGCTACCTTACGCTTACACTAAAACGTCTCGGCTTCAGCACATTTGACAGTAACATGTTGACTATCCCGTCCGCTGCGCTTCAAGTCATTACCATGCTAGCCCTAGCATATTCGAGCGATTACTTTAACGAACGCACGTTCCATTGCATTTTTGGCGAGTTCTGGATCATGCCGCTCCTTATCGCCCTTCTGACGCTACCCGACGGAGGCCGCGAATGGGGCCGCTTCTCTCTAATTACGTTGATCTCCGGTTACCCATATTTCCATCCTTTGGTCTCGTCCTGGATCTCGGAAAATACATTCGACGTCAAGAAGCGTGCGATTACGGCCGCAACGTACAACGTTATTGTGCAAATTGGATCTTTGATCAGTTCACAAATCTACCGTAAATACGATGGTCCGTACTACAAACAAGGCAACTCAGTGCTAGTGGCGATCTGCGCATTGAGTGTTATCACCTTCCTCGTTCAGCGATGGGCCCTGGTACGACTGAACAAGAAGAAGCAAGAGAAGTGGGAGCAAATGACTTCGGAAGAGAAGGCTGTCTACCAAGCAGACATTGCCGCGCGTGAGAAGGACGGCAACAAGCGGCTGGACTTCAGGTTCACGCTTTAGTCTGGTCTCGGAAAGATAGCCGATGTCATTACGCAGTTAGTCAAGATCAATGTGCATGGTAACATACTGGACGGGCTGTGGTTGCAACATCACATGCTTTCGCCAATCGCTCCACCCACCGAAATTTCAGCCGCACCGAACTATTGGCAATCCGTAACTGAGATTATTCCGAGGTCTAATCGCAACTCTCGACGCGAGTGTTCTGACATTCAATGGACGTTACTCTTACGTGAAAGCCTTTGGTGAGTGTCCTCTGAGTGCTTGCACATCTTGTTACTGTTTGTATTTGTTTCTTGTACGTTTTTTTTTAAGTTTACTAGACCGCAAGTTAGCCAGAGGATGAGTATGCGTCCTCGCGTCGGCTGCAGAGACCCGTCTTGTTCAATGAAGACGTCTCTAGTCGGACCCACTTTCTCTCCAATGCCCCACTATTACCCAGAGCTGCCCTATGTCGTGATTGCGGGGATCAATGACGACCTCGGGACTCTCCACGTTCTCGCGAGTCATTCCGGAACCGCGAATACCAAGGCCTCAACAGCACATAATCAACGCGACTGCCTAAAAGAGGATTTTTCGTCCGATGTGGGAGAACACATCGCCGGCATCGCTCTGCATGGAGAAATTGCTGCTTTGGGTGTAGCCGACAGAATTTTGGAGAGCCTTAGCAGAGCGTGTGACTGCAATGGTGGCTCTGTTTGAGACGCACACTTACTTCGGTATACAACGAAATCGAGCTTTTGAGACATTTCACGAGATTATCCAAATACACGCAAAATGGCTTGGGAGGAACCTCGTAAAACTGGCATGCAATACCGCCGCCTGGGTAACTCAGGTTTGCATGTATCTGCACTCGGTTTGGGCGGTTGGCTCACGTATGTTCAAATCTCCGTTCATCTCCATGCATATACTGATCAAACACAATGCAGCTTCGGTGGCCATGTCGAGAATGGTGATTTTTGTCTTCATGCTTATCAGCCACGCAACTAATCATAACCATAGAACTCACATTTTCCATCATGAAGACAGCATATGACAACGGTATCACGTTTTTTGATACTGCCGAGTCTTACGCTGGTGGCCAGTCCGAGATCATTATGGGCCAGGCTATCAAGAAGTTCGCATGGAATCGCAACGACATCGTGATATCCACAAAACTCAACTGGGGCGGCGCAAATGGCGAGGTGCTTGTCAACAACCATGGTCTCTCACGCAAACACATCATCGAAGGACTCCGTGCATCGCTTAAGCGCATGGATTTGGAGTACGTCGATATAGTGTATGCGCATCGTCCTGATCGTCTTACGCCCATGGAAGAAACGGTCCGCGCATTCAACCATGTCATTGAGCAAAAAGGGTGGGCGCTGTACTGGGGCACGTCTGAATGGTCCGCAGATGAGATCGCCGAGGCATGCGGAATAGCGAAGCAGTTGGGTCTCATTGCACCGATAGTGGAGCAACCGCAGTATAATTTGCTCGAAAGGAAGAAGGTTGAGGGCGAATTCCAGCGCCTTTATGCACGATTTGGACTTGGCTTAACTACATTCTCGCCATTGAAGTTTGGGCTGCTGAGTGGGAAGTACAACGATAGTCCAGATGCACCGCCAGCAGGTTCAAGATTCGCCGAAGGAAAAGATGGCTTCGTGAGTGGAATGCGTGACCGATATGGAAACGATGAGTGGAGTGGCATGATCAACAGCGCAAGAAACTTGAAGGTAGGTCAAATGCTTATAAATTCTGGATGCTGTTTCGCTAACGCAGAAACAGCCAATTGCGGATAAGCTGGGCATCAATCAATCGCAGCTGGCGCTTGCGTGGTGCTTGAAGAACCCGCATGTCTCTGCAGTGATTACTGGGGCTTCGAGACCGGAGCAGGTGGTGGACAACTGTGCAGCTCTGAAAGTTTTGGACAAGCTTACGCCAGACGTCATGACGGAGATTGATGGTATTGTAGGAGGCATCCAGCTGGACCCTGCACGACAGGATTAGCTTGGTTATACTTACTCTTGATCAACAAAGACTCAGTTCACCATCTAAATGTCAGTGCACCCGTCTGACTGCATCTGTATTGTCCTGGAAACACCTGAAATGCTTTCATGGCTACATGCTGTACAAAATCTAATTCAAAGACGCATAAAGCGCTAAGGCTTCTTGCCCTGGTCTTTCTTGGCTTCGTTCACTTGGGGCAATATCTCATGAACCTTCATGTCTAGCCCGACCCAGAATTTCCGACCTCGCCATTCTACAGTAACGCCGCCCCAGAACGCAATGACCCATACAGGTAATGCAAAGAACTCGCGACCAAGCCAAGCATAGAGAAAGTCCATGAAGTTTCTTCTTGCACCATCAAGTAGACTTGGCTCACTTGGAGTCTTATTGCCAAGGAGAGGTTCAAGAACTTCGGTGCGGTGGTATGCAGAGGCTGATCGCTGGGGCAAGATAAAATCAGGAGTGTCGGCATCGATTTCGACAGTCTTGGCGCAGTGAAGCAACAGATATTGAACGTAGTCCACTAGACACCAAGCAGACAGATGTAGGAGCCAGATGAGGAAGAAGGAGGTCCAAGTCGGGCTGATGCCGATGTTGTGGAACACGGGTAGCGTCGTTAGAGCGTATGCGCCATACAGCCCACACAGAAGACTCTCCGTTCCTGGCTCCACAAACGTTGCTAACGTAACCGTGAACTTCCGTACTCGTAGCCATCGAATACGACGCTGTAAGTAGGCCATCACAGACGTATGGCTGATTGGCTGGTAGCAGAAGTCACCAAAGAGCATAGCGTGCTTGCCCCAGGTCTCCTTCTTGGTCCCTGGTTCTGGTTGGTAACCTCGTTTCTCGAAAGCTTGGGGTTCTTTCCACAGCACATCGCCAATGAGGTGATCTTCGCAGATATTGTCGGAGAAGAAATCGATACCGGGAGTGCGTTCTGGGTTCGATGAGGTAACATAGTTGAGTTGGGAGCGACGGAACATAGTACTCTTGCCCATAATACAGGGTGCTACAGCGACGGTGTTGATGGCTTGGTAGAATTTGGCGTGGGCAGAAGACATGAAAGCTTCGTCCAGACGTCCGCCACCACGCTGCAGCAGCTTCCTGATAGTACTTCCCGAGTGGTTGCGAGGATCCGAAGATGTGCTTGCCGCGATATTGGTCAACTGTGCTGCAGCTTCTGGTTTTCCTCCGAGCAACTCCTTCCTGTCCTGTAGCGATAGACCTTGCGAATCGAGGTCTACCGTGAGAGGTGTCTGGTGCACGAACTTGTACTTTCTCTTGCTGTTGCCATGTTTGTCCTGTCCAAAGCCACATAGTAGGTCCACTAGTCGACCGCAAACGCCCTTGCCGACCCAGACGTTACAGTCAAGCACCCACACGATGTCACCCTCGGCCTCCCTATAGGCACGACTCATGTTTCTGATCTTCGGATTGGGTCCCAGCGCGTTATTATCCTTCAGTAGCAGCGGATCCTCTTCTTCGACCAAGATTTGCACATGGGCGTCCGGGAAGTCATTACATAGGCGTTCGAGAATCGGAAAGGCGGGATCGGATCGCTCAGGAACGCAGAACACGGTGTTCAGTTTGTCTTTGGGGTACGTCTGGCGGAGGGTGGCTGCGAGGCATTCGTACAATCGTGGGTCGAGGCCTTTGACTGGCCGTATAACGGTGACTCGAGGGACTTCATCGTCTTTCAATGTCGTAACGCACGTTGCCTGCTGAGGTCTCCTCCAGTAATAGCGGAAAAGCTGAACGAAGCCAATAGCACAAACATTCCAGACTACCACCCACCAAATCAGGCAGCCGGTCGCAATGATGGTACGCAACATGGAGACATCTTCTCCTGTCGCAAGGTCGGGCGCGCCAAGCATGCGCAAAAGTGTCGTAGGGTCAGAGTGAGGGTGGGATGTTGACGAATCTCACGGCACGGAGGTTGCGGAGTTTCGAACCAGAAAGTGACGACCTGCCAAGACAAACACCACGCGACAGCCCCTTTTGGAACCACGTCTCAGGACAAGTTCTACGACAGATAGAGATCAAGAAGCAGGCTTACTGTTGTGTTGGATTCCAGTATCTGTTGGTCATGCGATTGTTTGCACTGCCGAGCGGTCCGGCTTCTCCGCCAGGGACATTGCTTGTAGCGATCAAGCACCTAGGTGTCTCCACACCGACAGTAATACACGCTCGCTAGTGACTTCACGTCCGACAGCACTCTAGCGTCTAAACTGTTCATATTGGTAAACCTGTGCTGCAGAAAGTAAACAAGGTGAGAGGGTGGTATCAATACGTCCGTGTACATTTTCGTCAAGATCCAGATGTGAGCTAGCAAAAGTAGCTCGCCCAGCAACCTCGCCCGCCAAACCTAAAGTAAATCTATCCAAAACTCCTCATATTCTCCGAACCCTGAATGTTGTAGCAAGTCCCAATACTAAAGGTCTCATTGACTCTATGGTTTCAAACTTTCGGTTTCTTACGCACCAGTCCGGCTGTCAAGGTATTCACTCCATTTGCAGCACTTGCATCAGTAATGGGTGTTGGCTCAGTTTTTGCCTTCTTCCTGACGGTGCCTTCTCCTGGAATTTGTGCGGGTTCAGCCAACTTTTCTGTCTCGGTTGCCGCCTCTGATGGGATATCGGGCTTCCTCTTCTTTCGTACACCCATGACCATTGTCGGTGTCACGCTGTTTGTTGCATCCGCAGGCTTCACTGCAGCTACATATTCCTTAGTTCCTATCACTGTAAAGGCCCATTCGTCCATGCCGCCAAGAACAGCGATTTCTTCTTTCCACTTCCTCGTACTCCGTGCTGCTGCCTTTCGGTTCGCAAACGTTTGCTGTAAGAGGACTTCATGTGCACGATCATAGTTCTTGAGCGAGAAACAGATGGTCCCACGTGAGGAAGCGGGCCACCTCCAGTATGGACTGTTCTCAGGAAGAGTTTTGGCAGAGCGCGAAGACATGTTTGGCGTGGTCGGTAGATTCCGATAGATAGTCTTGATCTTCGGCAGAACTAGTGGTATTGGTCCATACCTGGTTTTGGCCTCTTGTCTCCGTCGACTTGTTTTCCGCCGTTTTGGACTGGACATATTCTCTTGTGAATTGGTTTGCGAGAAGGACTGTGACGCTGACAGCTGTGACGGCATGTCCTCGTCTTCTTCGGGTATCGAAGGCTTGGGTGGTGTTATGACGACCCATATGAAACCTACTATCCTTCCTGATGAGCACTCTTGCCTGAAAGCCATGAACTCCCAGAACTGGTCGAGCGTCTTGACACTCTTCCATTGCCCATTACTTCTTGACGGTGTGCCTCCATCTGCTACCATATTATCCGTGCCACGGTCGGGAAGTTCCTCGTCTAACTCATCAAGAAATCTAGCCTTAGGATCATCTGGAAAGTGTGGTACCAGGCACCGTGGTGGTGCAGCAGGATATGGAGCGATCTGTAGGAGTGGGTGTGTAGTGGCCCAGCGTCGAGGGGTGTTGGGGACGGAGGGCGGAGGAATGTATCGCAGTGTATCGTATGATTCGAAACCCGGTATCACTAGATATCCCTTTGCTGTGGACTCGGATTGTGTTGGTGTGCCGTTGGTCTTGGTGCCTTCACCCTCCATTAGCCGTTCAGCGAAGGGTTTCCCTTCTCCTTCAGCTTTGTACTCCCATATGATTGGATCGAGCACTCTGCACCACCATTTTACCAAGCCCCTATCGTCCAGAACATGCTTGTTCTTGTTCTCGATGCTTGCTGGGAACAGGTATTGATCCTGTGCCCTGGCGAACAAAGACACAACAAGCTTCTTCCCTTCCCTTTGTCTTTCTCTTGCGAGCCAAGATACAAACGTGCCGCAAATAGCTTTCAAGGGCGATGCAGATTGGGCTCGCGGTAATTGCAGCTCAGATATATAACCCGTCGAGTCGGCTTTGGAGACGAAGATGGTGGTGAGGTTCCTGGTGGTGTAGATTAAGACTTCGATGGCAAGTATCAGAAGCTCCTCGGGTAGTTCTGAGGCTGCGGCGTCTTTTGGCACTATCGATGCTGCCAACGTGTGCGACTCGCAATATGTGCGTTCGGACTTGCCATGGGGCGGCGCGGAGAAGAGAGCAGAGGACTTGGACGGCGGAGTTGAGTAGTGATAGAAGGTGATGGGCACGTTTTTGGGTAGTTGTTCGGCCAGTAACTCTCTCAGCGGCTTCGAGACACCAGGACTCGCCATGACGACTCAAACGGAGCGCAGCAAGGGGGAGAAGTCGCGTATCGGGGGCGCAAGATGGGGAGCGGTAGGCGCGACTGGGGCTAGCGTGGTTGTGGTAAGGCGCGATCCGCGTGCCGCAACTTTTCGATGATCCGAACTTCACCTCCGCCAGCAGCATCGTCTCCGCCTCCCGCCAATCACGCCTCTTGCACCTCACCCAGCCCTTGGAAGTATCGCAATGGCTTCCAAACGACCGCTCCGATCACTCGTCTCGACCGCTTCATCATCACTCCGCCCCTCGCAAACATCAAAAACATGCATCGTGCGGACCTCCGCATGCGCATTTTCGAGCACCACCCCATCGAGAGCCACCGAATATGATACAGAAGCTGCGGGCCGGCCGCGATGGCAGCAAACACCCCCGCGGATGGTAGCACCCTACAGGATACGACCGGCAGCCAAAGGGGGCATTCACAAAGTCAACGATGACCCGAAAAAGTTAGACGATGCGTACATACGCATGCTGGGCCCTGGAGGAGACAAGATGCTGGGGGACGACGTCAAATGGTTAGCCGTTACACACAAGAGCTTCGACCACGGAAAGAGAGGATTCAATGACCGACTGGCATACTTGGGTATGTGTGCATATTCCTGAGGCGGGCAGGCGGGAGGCTAATAAAATGGGCAGGACGGAGGATTGTCGAACTACAAACATCACAAGCACTCATAAACTCGCCACAAGAACACCAATGGCCGAGGGATTCCAACGGTGTACCAGTCAACGACGAGTACGGCCGTAAACCATACCTACACCCTGCCTTGAACGGGCTGCAGGGCTTGACCGACGAAGCAGAGAGTCTGGTGCTGAGCAAGTCACGGCTAGCACCGATAGCAGAGCGATACCGCTTGGATAAGGTCACTCGGTGGACACCCAAGAGGGTATGCTTGAATACAAACGGCACTCTGGTTTGCAGGCTAACCATTTTCAGGCGGACAACCTTCAAGGTTCTGGTTTCGAGACTGTCCTCATGACTTCCCTATATGCCATTGTGGGAGCCGTAGCTCTGGAGCGTGGCGGCGAAGTAGCCAACAAGGTCGTGCAAGAAAAGATACTTGCACCACTTGGCTTCAGCTTTTCTCCCGATTCATGACTTGAATGCAATTCGATCTTGTACAAAACCACTGTCAGACTTTGTACTATATTGTAAACAAGCACTCGATATGGCGTACGTCGCGATTTACAATCGAATTACGTCTTCGTCATCTCCTGACGTTCCCCTGATCATGCTTCGTCTATCACTTAACACTATGCCCGCTCTTTTGAATGTGTTCCCGAAGGTAAGGCGACGGGATGTAGCAAGGCTGAACTCCAGGTAGGAAACTCAAGCTGACTGGATCGTAACGAGAACCGATTGCTTGTAATTTGAGAAGGATAAGTGGATATCACGAGTACAAATTCGGTTTTGTTCTGATTGGTCAGCTGTATCGTTGCTTACATTCAATGCGCCTACCGAGGTGGCGGTACGCTGGAACCGCAACCTTTCAACTCCATCTTCATACACTGATAACAACATGACATTTGTTGTTGTCCCGAAGCTCAATTCTAGCTCTCCTTCGAAACGGTATGCGTCTTCAACTCGCTCGGTCACTTGTCTCCAGTAACTGATTTAAAACTCCAGTCTTCCGCAGCCTCGTCCATGACCAACGAAACATGTCCAGCCTAGATGAACTACATCCATTGTGCTGTCGTTTAGCCGGGACAGCCGAACGAACACACTTTAAGCACAAACCACTGGATCTCAGTGCCCCTTCGATACGTCTTCTCCAAGTTTCTTCCCAGCTTTCCAAGGATGGTGCGGTCCAGTGCCGAATTGCCCACTTCGGGACTTCACGTTCAGAATCAGGAAAACGACTAGATGAAGCTTTCGACATGTGTACCCCGGTACCATCATACACCTGTCTCTCGTACACCTGGGGTGAGCCAAACCCTTTATACTTGGTCGAAGTCGATGGGAGCCCGTTCCACGTACGGCAAGGTCTATGGGAGTTTCTTTGTACTGTACGGACATCTAGATCGCTGAGACGCAGAAATTTCTGGATCGATGCAATGTGTATCGACCAAGAGAACAAGGCTGAGCGCAACCATCAGGTGCAACAAATGGGGAGGATATATTCGAAAGCCGATATGGTCCTTTGCTGGCTCGGATGCGATGAAGAGATTGAGAGTGTGCTGAAAGATATAAGGACAAGGCCAGCTTACATCGATGCCATGTCCAGAAGCTGGAAAGCAAGCAACACATTGCCGCGTGTTGCCCAGGTACATCTTCCCATCGAACCCGGTGTCAGTGCCGAAACTCTTGTTCGTTTCTGCTGCAGTGAGTACTGGTCTCGAGCCTGGATAACACAAGAGATCGCTCTAGCTCAATCCGCCGCCATTGTCGCAAGATCAGAGGCTGTGGATCTCAATCTTGTGCTTGAGACGGTAACTTCAACCAACTCTCCCTTCCATTACATCGCCAACTACATCGGAGGGCGGATGGAAGAGACTTCGCAAACTTGGAAATCGGACCTCCTGAGTCTCCTTTATCATTTTCGAAGAACGCGCTGTGATATCCCACGGGATCGCATATACTCCTTACTAGCGTTGTGTTCGCAAGGCAATAGAATTCAAGTCAACTACGAGGTTTCGGATGAGGAAGTTATGCGGCACATACTAGATGTATACTCTGACTCGCTGTGCTTATGCTCCGCTGCCATCATTGCAGACGTACTATGGCGGACGTTGTGGCCCCGGGGTCGTGTCAGAATACAGCCAGTGGAGGAGGCGACGCCATATATCGAGTTCCCAGTTAAGACTTCTGATCTGGATAAGCACCACAGATGTCACGATTTCTGTGAAACTACATTTCCAGAAGTTTGGCGCAGAAAAAGAGGTGTTATTGTTTGTATGCGTAGGACCTGCCCCGACATACCCGTTCATTTACTTGTCTCGGAATGTCATTACGGAAAAGTTCTTCGATGTATCAATGGTCAGTCATGCAGCCAAAATCACGTGGACTGTCGTCTTTACGATACCTTCGGGGTTGAGCTAGAGAACTTCCGAGAATCAGGGGATGCGACATTGCGGATGTCTTTTAGCGCACTTCTCGGCATTGTCATGAACAGCATTTCAAGTCATGATGATACAAGGCGCTGCGGTAATTTACATGGAAACACAAAATACAAAAAGGGCAGACCCAGGCTTTGCCACACTGTGAGACACTGAACACAATAAAAGTTTAGAGTTGCATAACAGCTATCTGCCATGCCTGACAAGTTCTACTGATGTGTCGGTCTACAGTAATTAAAAGCCACTTCATTTATATGAACAGTAGAAAGCCCAGAAAATTGAAACGCTCCGGTGTGAACCACCACAATTCACAATGATCTAAAGCTGTCCCATTGGGCAGATGTGGGCGAACTATAGTGCTGCATAGACTGCACTACAGGCGGCAGGCAATGAAGTTTGCCTCGTTAGGCGGGTGCGGGAGAGTACGTCAATAGCCGAAAGGTAAGCTGTAAGGCAGGCGAAGCGTACTGCAATTGACACCTTGTCCATTAGTTGCCTGATCGAACATTGACTAGCACTGCACCTCATACCCTTAAATGGCTTGCATGATTTAAGAGAAGTAACTGAGTAGACATTGGATGAAAAGCAATTATGTTGTGATGTAGTACAGCTCGAGCGAACAGCACTAAGATCAATATATATACATACATAAGCATATACTAGCTGATGTTAAAGTGCGAAGGGTAAGAACACCGAGCAATAATTGGGGGAGAAGTGTGGTGGCAACAATCCCGGCCCGAATCGCTGGCCTGAGCAAAGTTTGGTGCAATCGATGGTATTTGATACTGCCTATTTAAGACGTCAACTTATCACCAAACCTCATTTATTCCGACAAACTTCGCATGGATGTGAATGATATAGATAGTATGGGTGTTGCAAGATGATAAACGATTTAAATAAGCAGCATAACGCCAGCTCTGGGTATAGCGAATGATAAATAAGATTCGAAGAGACAAACTCAAGCAAACCGCCTCAGAAAGTCAATCCAGGTTTGTTCTTTCTCCAGAACATGGCCTTCGCCGCGTTCACACTCCGTGGCGGTGGATCAAACTTCGGCTGTGCCTCTTCGATGTCCATCTGCTCCATCTTTCTTTGAGAGTTTCGCTTCAATTCTCTCTTCAAGTTCCGCTCATCCTTCTTACGCATCCATGTTATCCAGATACAGTAGCTTGCACAAATTATGCCAATGCCGCCTACAACACCACCAATGACAGCGCCAATGAGGCCTTGGCTTTGCCATGCGGACTGTTTGGGGCGTTGGTAGGCTACAGGGGTTGATTTTGGGCAGAAGGTTACTGGCATGACCATGTTGTTCTTTTGAATAGCTTCAGCAAGGAAGAAGTTGTTGGCCTCGTAGTCCGCCATCAGGTAGACCTGGCCTAGGAAAGCGGTGCCGAGATAGAATGGCGTTTCTGCCGACTCCTCGCGATCTTGTATAGGTGTGATGTTGGAAGCGTTCATGAGGACTTCTGGTGGGAGAGTGACAGTAAAACCATCTTCGAGTATAATCGAGAGTGAGCCGTTGAAAGCGTTCTTCAATCTCAATGAGTTGTCACCCCACTTATTATCCTGCTCAGCACCTAGTTGCTTGATGAAGTTCTGGGTAATCTGGTAGGGTAGAGAAAATGGAAACTGTTCAGTCGTGATCTGGGCCTCGAAGTCCTCTGCCCGCGTCTTCATGTCAGTGAAGACTGTGTTGTCGAAGAGCGATACGTTTGCGTTGTCTTCCGTGTTGGTGATGACAATGTCTTTGATGCGAACGCTCATCGGGTTCGGGTTGTTGATGTTCATTGAGTATTTGTGCGGTTCTCCCGTGAAACGACCAGAGTCGTATCCACCAAAGACGTTGCTGCCGTTGACTGCACCTCCAGCTCGTTCAAAACCCTGTCCGATATAGAGTGAGTATGTTTTACCGGCAATGACGTCCTGCGCAACGAGATCCCGTAGTACTGTTGAAGACGATCCCACACCAACTCTTCCAGGCGTGATTGACCCTGATTCTGCGACTTCGATGGTGGTGTTCTGTAGTAACGTCTGAGACGCGCCATCCGTCTCGAAGTAATGTGTATATAGTCGTAGGGTCTCTCGACCGAAGAATCCCGTGAATTCTTTCTGGTCATCGTCTAAGGTTTGGAAGCTGTCGTCTTCCTCGAAACTACTCTACATGTCAGCTCATAAGGTCAACTTTCATATCTCTAAACATGCATACCTATCCGAATCTCGATCGTTGAAGAAACCCCCTGTATGTGTATCGCAATCCTTGAGTGTTGTGTTTGTATCTTTGCAGTAGTTGTTTGACGCAAACGAGACATGGTTTTGTTGTAGTGACGGCCAAAGACTCTGGTTTTGTGCTGGCGTTCCTAGTCCGATGAAGGATCCATATTGGAAGACTGATGAATCGTGTACGGCTCGCTTGTGGATATCGACATATATCGGTTTCTTAGTGCAGTTTGAAGCGACTGTGGACTGAACGAACAGCACAGTTGCGGAAAGGTAAAGAACGAAAGACGCCATGACGAAAGACGCTTGAATCCAGCAAGCTGAAGGTCAAGTAGCAAGGTACTGAATATTGCTTACAACACCGACAGGCGAGTATGAACGACGGCAATGACGAAACGTCTCAAACTGGAGTTGCGGAGAATCCAGCGGCGGTACGATATCTTTGTAGGCCTCCACCATCTGTATACCGATACACTAAGATGAGCATGCAGATGTTCAGCCAGTCAGACGACAGCTCAGCTATTCTTACATGCGGGAATATCCACCTTGCTTCTGTTGGTAGCGCATGGCTGCATCCCGGGGCGCTGTTTAGAGCCGCACGGGACTGGACCGCTGCAGAGAGCGCCTGCTGATGCTGTTGTGGAAGTACCACGGTCTAATGCTGGCGCTTCGGATAGAAAGGTACTTGGGGAACAAAGATGATCCTTTTCCGGGCGTAAGCTTCACCGTCGCAGAGGCCTTGATGATTGGGTTGTCATTGTAGGCTGTTGCACTAAATATAGCGAGCGTTTACAAGACGGGGTTAATTGGACGGGATCGTCTCGCGAGTATCCCAAGCGCCCGCCCGCACGGTCCTCGGTGCATATGTGGATCCAGCACCACTCGCTATTCTTAACCTCGCGCTCACCAAAGTTTGTATGCCTGAAGCAGATAGATTGCGTACCCGCTGGAGAAGCCTACAGTTGGAAAAAAAGTATATACACGGAAATAACCACGATATACTGGCTTGTTTCCGCACCCTGCAAGTATTCCCCGCACGCCGTTATTTGCCCTTCCGCAAGGGTTCTTGTACTTACCTAAAGCCGTGCATCTAAATGCGTGTTTCTGAGGATATACTTGGACGAGTCAGCATGATGGACCAAATGATCTTGTGACAATGCAGCTCACTGGTTCTAATATGCATAGTCGCAAGTAACGTAGTCCTCGACTGTTGCATGGTGCGTCTCACGGATACTGTGCAGGAGACAACCCAGCGTCTACACTTAAGACTTGCAATGCGTACAGCATTTGGGACGGTTGACGGATTCATCCATTCGTCTCAGCCACTGGACTGCCCGCCACTATCACAATATCTCAGTTCCCCAGTGTCACTTTGCGCCCTTAATAATTGTTCAGATAATATGCGCGTGTATGGCACATGCGACTAAACTTGACATTAACATCCTTGTTCATCGTGCAATCTTGATGAGATTGTTTAGCCTCCCAACACACTGTTGATATTCCATTTCTTCCACAACGCGGGACCGCGGCTCGACTTTTGAAAAGCAGATACATCGCTTGCTAATGGCTCTGGAACACCCGAAACCTGAGCCTTGACCGTATACGCCACCACCCGCTATGTTAAACGACTATCCCCATAGGTCCCAAGTAGTTAACAAGATATGTTACTAACACACATGGAAAAGCAGCATACATGATAAGCGAAAGCCAAAGGGCTGACCGGAATGTGATGTTAACAACGCGACACTTTCAGGTGTTGACAAGCACCCATCTCTTCTCCTTCTCAGTGGGGCCTACCCTTGCAGCGACTACGCTCAAGGTATTGCTGATAGCATCCTTGGGCAACTTTGGAAACGCCTTCTTCAGCGCTTCGATCATACCAATCTTGGTCAAATCTTTACCTTCAATCTCGGCCTTGAAAGCCGGCAGCTGCTCAGTGGGTACCAGTCGTTTGGCTTTCGCAGGCTTAGTCGGAGTAGCTGCAGCAGATTTCTGCGGACCATTCAACGTGTTAAGCAAGCCGTTCATGGAGCGTTGAACCAGAGGCGCTCGAGGCGGGTTCATAGCGCTATTGGCAGAGCCGTCTTTCTTCGTAGCATTGGCAGTAGTAGAAGCTGTCGCAGGGTCTGGAGCCCAGTATGTCGTGGAGAACGGGTCAATTGAGCTCATTTGCGGGTCCAACAGGAAACCCATCCTGAAATCCTTGAAGTCGGTACATATGGCATCGGAACCATCGTTCAACCTGGACACTCGGTCTGCGTCCTCCCAGCACAAGCCGGTGCTCACAGGAACCAAATCACCACTAATGAGTCGTCGTTTGAGTTGTGGGTCTTCCTCATCATCGAGGAAACCGTCCATGTCGTCTTCCGCCTCGTCTTCGTTATCGTCCTCTCCGTCGGAGTCCAGATCTTCTCCTTCCTCAGGCTCCTCCCACTCCGCCTCAGAGTCGTAATCATAGTCAGTATCCTGCCGAACCCTGGCGAGAGGATTTCGTGCGAGCCGAGAAGCCTCCATATCGGTATATGGCCTGGTATATGTACCGTAATACGGCGGGCGTACATCCTTGCAAAAGTGAATGTACTTCATAGGAATGTCCTTGAGCAATTCCAACGGGCCTTTGTCTGCAGTCAGGTCAATGGGTTGATCTGATGAGCCATTTACACGCTCGATGACTTCCGCGATGGTCGCAGTCTTGCGGGTCCGCTGGTCTCGTCTTGGAAGAGAAGATACCAATGTCTCTCGTGTGATGGTCTCAGTACTAGTACTCTTCTGCGTGATAATGTTTTCTAGCCGTGTTCGGGCAGTCTCCAACCGTTCCGGGTCGTCTAGCAGGGGATTCGTGGACGCAAGGATTGTGTGCGGAGGAAGGTTGAATGGTAAGAAGTATCGCTCGTAGTCTGACTGTGCGTTCTTAACAATGGTCTTCTGTGGTGATAGAGGTGCCAAATTAGTATCGACTCCAGATGTGCTTGTTAAAGATACAGATGAAGCAGTGAGGTTCTGGGATGAAGCTACCACGGCCTGTCCTGGGCTGGTTCCCGCTTTTGGCTTCACGAAGAAAGCATTCAGCTTCATTTGAGACTGTTAATGAATTAGCACTGTTCAATTCGCGATTCAGACGTGACGTTTGACTTACCCGTGCCTTCTTTGCCTTTTCTTCTTCTATCCGTTGTTGTTCCTCTTCTTTAAGACGCTTCTTCTCATCCCGTTCTTCGTTCTTCTTTCGCTTCTCTTCATCCTTCTGTGCCTTCTGCTCTGCCTTCACCTTCTCCTCTGCCTCTTTTTGCGCTTTTTTCTCTTCTCGTGCCTTAGCCTTAGCCTCCTTCTCTAGACGTTGAGCTTCTTTCTCGTGTGTGGTAAGCTTCCGTCTCTTGGCCGGTTGTGAGGTGGTTGGGGCTGAAGCATTGCTGTTGTCTGGGGCGTTTGAATTTGGAGCACTGCTCTTGAGGGGTGACGGGGTTTGGACCGAAAGAACTGAAAGGGGTGAAGAGGCTTCTGAGTGAATCTGTTTAACTGGAGTTGAGATGGAAGGCTCAGTGTCGTCGTTCTCGTGTGGACGTTTCTGGGGCACCGGCGCAACGGGCGTGGGGTCCTCCATATTGTACGTTGGCTGCCGAGAGTATAGCCTGTAGGATTTTGCGAATCTATCAAGAATTGAACGTTCGAGAGCTGGCGCTCAATTGGCGGAGTTGTGTCAAGGTTGAACAAACGGAGTGGTTGCGGTAGTGGACGTTGATGCGGGAGGAGACGCGGAGGTGGAAAGCGCGACGCGCAGCGCGTGGAAGGCGCGTGCGGCCAGGGCTTTCGGGGGACTAGCGCGGGAAAGTGAGACTGGGGCCAACTATTCGAATGGCCATACTTTAGCGATTTCATGTTCTAATTTCCTCTTAGCGTTAGGGCGGAATGGCCACGAACATCAATACCCTGAGCACCGTTTCAACAGTAGACAATGCCCCAAATGATCAGGGCAGCTATGTCATCATAGATTTGGTGTGCAACCATGCGGAGCGGACCTGCCTTCTGTGGTTGTAGTCGCGCGTATCGTACTTGCCTTATGACGATACTCACATGCAAAACATGCGTTCTGTGAACGGCTTGCCCGTCCCAACACCACCATGCACTTCGCGTGCTTTGCCGAGTTCCAATAACTGGTAATCTGCGTTCTACTGATCAAAGAGGGTTTTTCAACTTAGGAGGCCGTTTCCCACCATTTCGCAGTCCCGCAATGGATACGAGCGATTTCGAGGACATGTTGTTTAGCGACTTTGACCTGCAAACCGCTCCTGATGATGCCTTGTCGGAGGACACTGATGATGAGCTACTGTTCGCTACTTCCAGAGAAGAGACTTTGCTGTGGGGTATATCGAACAGTTCAGACTCGACACTTCCAACCGCCAGTACTACCCTGGATTCTCAGGAGGAACGCCAGCACTATCAAACTAATCTTACCCAAAGACCGATACGCGACAGGTACATCAATCTCCGTAGCTGAACTGACTACAGCTGATCTTTGTGTAGACACTGGGTGATCGCTTGCATTGAAGCAATGCTAGAGACGATTGTGGACGCTCTGCTAGAAGAGCACGAAGCGCTCACTATCACTCTGAAGTCGCGCGCGGGCCTATCTCGCAGACGGACTGCTGTTACATCGGATGGTAGAGCGATGATTCCGGAACCCAAAGAACGGGATATTAACTTCCCTGGAGCAAGTGCGCAAGAGGCATGGAATTTCAGTGGGTACACACATGCACGTATGATCAGAAAGCACTGACACTTGCATAGCTGTGTTGCTTCGCATCCTGGAACTTATCCATTCTGGCCTTATCGCGGACACCATTATGACGAAGAGGTACATCTCATCTTTGTACACCGATGATACGATCTGACCCGATGCAGAGATATATATTACCGACATCCAGACCTCTTCATCAAACAGTCAGTCGTTGATCGATATGTCGATGACTTGGCTTGTACCTTCGACATCACCCGATCCCAATTGAATGTGGTACGCGAGGCTCTGTGGCATGAGCCGAAGCACAGCTAACACTCTATCTTAGACTGCTGCCGCAAAAGGCTTAATAGCTGGTAACTTCAGATTAATCCGACATGACGGTCATGTTGTGAACGGCATGAGCGAGGAGGTAAGACCGTTTAGTCGAGTTGTGACACATCGCTGATGATCTGGCAGGGTATCATCGTTCCCAATTTGAGTGCGAACGACAGTTTAGATCTGACAGAAGTACATTGGGTTCTTATCATCGAGAAAGAGGTATCACTGATGCTGCAAACTATCTTTTATTATCGCTGACGCATACCTAGGCCACTTTCAGATCCTTGAAGAGCTCACCACAGTGGCAGACGTTGGGTTCCAAAGGACTTGTATTGACTGTAAGCTTGATTGCTCTTTCTTGATATTTCCTTACCTAATATCCTTTACAGGCAAAGGGATATCCCGACATTGCCTCACGAAAATTGTTGAACCATATAGCGGAAGACGCCCCGCACATCCCCATATACGCTCTTGTGGATCTTGATCCTGACGGTATCGCCATCCTGTCGACGTACAAGTATGGCTCGTATCGCCTTGCTCATGAGGACGTCACACCCACTGATACGACTGCGCCGGGTTTGCCCAGCATCCGCTGGCTTGGTTTAAAGAGTCACCACATGAGCCGGACTCCGGTAGGCGAAGAGCACACAGACACCAGTGCAATCACTCAACTCCAAGGACTGATGCGACTGACAGCGCGCGACCGTACTAAAGCAGCACGAATGCTGGAGTGGAACTTATGCAGTGATGAAGGCCCCGAGCAAGGTTGGAGGCAGGAGCTGCAGACAATGCTGATGCTCAACATCAAGGCTGAGATGCAGATATTGGACGAAGCGCTCGGTGGGCTGGTGTCCTGGTTGAGCCACGAGCTTGGGCAGGCAAAGGAACTGGTGTGCGCACCGCTAGTGGACGAAGGAGCAGACGACAGGATGCTGTTCTGAGACTTACAATATCCGTGAGGAACATGGTGGCCTTCTATACGCAGTACCCACACGTGTCACCTTCTCTTTGTGATGAACAGGCGGACTACTGTCAGAAACAGTTCGGGCAGTCACAACCAATGTGACGCATCTTAGCCACAGCAAAACTGATATGGGCCTTTGAAGTGCGCAATTGAGGGCATGGCAATTGGAGTGCAACGCAGTTAACATGTCGGGGTGTGTGTGCGATAGTGTGACGACGGCCCAATGACGGCGGCCGGGTCGGTGGTAGGCCAAAATGTTTAGCCAAGCGTAGCCCGCGTCGGCCGCCAACGCATCCCTCTCGATCACGGCAGCTCACCCAACAACTCAGACGGCGTCGCATAGCGGCAATGCATTGACCTGCAGCTACAGAAGGCAGAATCCACAATGTCCGGCATGTCTAATGACCCGCGCGTTCCCTTCCAGGCGCCATGGGTCCCGCCCAGCTCTGCCCCTCGGACCAGCCATGAGCAACATGGCTCAGGTACCGCCGAGTCGAACTCAATCCCACAGCCATTGACGCCTACAGCGACGGCCAGACAGTCGGTACCCTTGGGCGTCTTCTCGACCCTCTTGGGCAACAACACCACGTCTACACTTAGTGCCCAGCCTATACTGTCGAGCGAACCTGTCCTCGCCCACACGCAACCACTAGATGCACCAGAAGGCACCTCTGACCTGACAGCGAGCTCGGGCTCAGTGCCCAGTGCAACCACTACCCTGACCAACACAATCCCACCGACCCAGTCTGCTGCATTGCGCGCTCTGAACGCACCTGCCTTCCACTCGTCGCCCTCTAAGAGCAAGTCGGCAAAGTCCACTTCTAGTCGAACAACTGTCACTAGCCAGCCCGTCGTAGTACGCACATACTCGGCATCGCGGCACGCTTCGCGCCCTGGCTCCGGCTTCAACACGCCACGCTCGTTTGCGATGAACGGTCAGAATCATGCTTCAGCCCTGTCGGCCGGTCTGGCAGGCAGGACCGAGCAACTACCCTCCGCTGACGAATTCTCCTTCTCGGCCATCCTTCGTGCCGTTGATCCTGAGATCAGAGATGCCATCGATGCCATAGCCGAGATCTGCGCCAGAAGCAGAATGAGTCTAGCTGACGAGTACGACTCTCATCTACCACCACAGGGAGAAATAACTGGTGGGGGTTCGGCATGGGCTACCAGCACAGGAGCCTTGGCGGGACGAGGTCGTCTAAATAGAATCAGTCAAGGGTGGACTGCTGCAGACAACACGCTTATGGCTGTGCCTGAAGCAAGCAGCTCCAGCGAAAGGTTGGCGCAAGATGGTAGGGCGGAGAGTAGTAAGAAACGTAGTCAGTCAGCATATGGCAGCCTGAAGAGTGTCATTAGTGGTGGTAGTGGGAAGAGAAAGGCCATAGATGGCGACACTTTCCGGGAGCAAGAGGCTGGCAGCTCGAAACAGCTTCAAACTCAAGACACAGGTCCGGCTTGGGCGGTTCAAGCCTCCACCTCTTCTTCGCATCCAGCCATCACCGTTGCCGCACCTACAGCATCGAAGCACCTTTCCCTAGATACTTCATCGGCGATGCAGGACATCGTCAGGGATACCGATGGATCGTTGAGTGCTCGGCCCCAGACTGCTACACCCCGAAGAACTCCTTCACACCAACGTGGGGCGTCTATGCGTAGTCTCCCAGCGTCACGAGCGCACTCTGGCGCCTTGGGCTCTATCAAATCTTGGCTGCCATGGCCCCGACCATCGCGTCTCGATCACAACAGCCGTTCAGAATTAGCAAAAGCCGAAGATCGACTAAGGGATATGTTGATATCTTCTTCCCAAACCCTCGGGAAAGGTAAAGGAACAGTCCGCGTCATTTGAGAGCTGCATCAGTTTCGCGTTACCAAAGCATTGAATGTTTCCTTCTGGACCTAATTGTTGCATGTCGCGGATACCCAAGAATGAGTTGAAAGTGTAAGAAAAGTGGAGTGGTGGACGTTTGTGCCTTGCCTAGGACCGACGAAGCCAAAGACGATATGACAGATACGATTAACACTTATGATTATGACTAATGATAGTAAAAGAATAGTTCGACAGCAATAGTACGGATAACAATACAAGTCTGCTTGCACTTCCCCATCCGATCTTTGCTGAACTCTGATAAGCCGACCTAGGAGCTCTAGGATATCTAACCTCTTCGAGTAACGAGTGTGTATTAAAACGTGGGGTAGCTCCTTAGCTCCAATCCACGTCCCCATCTTATTTGACATAATCAGGATCGCAAACACGATGACATGTCTACAAACTTACTCAAATTCTCAGTCTTTCCCACGTCAAAATGGACCCAATGACACCCAAAACGAGATCTGTACGAGTCGACAGCTTGATGAACTCATCGCCGATTCCAACGGTCCATAAAACTCTCACCCTACCTGACCTCTGCGATGACGTCTTACTACTTATATGCAATCTCCTCAAACACCACCACCACCAACAAACCCCTTGGAAACATCTTTCACTCACAAACCGCCGTCTCTACCATCTCTTGACCCCTCAACTTTTCAACACTATACGCATCACCGCCCCACTCAAAGCACTTGATCCAAACACTTTAACACCTCATCTACACCATCACGTCCGAACACTGAAAATCGACATGTTCGGCAGTCTGTGGTGGTGGTGTTCGGGCGCCTACGTGTCAAGCAGTGATGCAATCGACCTGTTTACTTTTATGCGAAGCTTGCTGCGGTTAGAGAGATTGGAGGTGAGGATGATGAGCCGGAGTTTGGACATATTTTCGACTGCATTCACCGAATGTTCTTCGTCTTTGAGTCCTGAGTTGTTTGAGCTAAGGGGAGTGAAGACGTTGACTGTGAATAGCAGTGCTGCGTTTCTGGTAACTCATTGTCCCGATCTAGAGACCCTGGTGCTAAAAGGGAAGGGGGATGGGGAGGACTGTGCAATGGAAAAGTACACCGACTTGGAGAGTTTGTTCGAGACCATGCCGCCCCCAAGTTTGCGAAACGACCAAGACTCGCTTTTCAAGTGTGCAGAGGGACTGAGAAGTTTCGATGGAAGCGCTAGCTGGTCTCTTCCCGAACTCACCTTTCTCACCACCACTTTCCCGCATCTCCATCATCTCGTACTACGCAGTGAATCTTACTGTTACCGAGCTGACGTCGCATCTATGATGCGTGTACTGGGACCATGCTTGAAACAACTCAAGAGGCTGCAGATCAGCAAGATCGAGTATCTAGAGATGGGATATCGGGGGCTTTGGAAACGAGCTGTTATGGAATGTAAGACTGAAGAAGCAAGGCGGGCATTGTGGGAACATAACGAGAAAAGGAGAGTAGTGGCTGAGAACGAGGTTGCGCGGTTGGCATTTGCTAGTCTTGGGGCATTAAAAGAGCTGTGGGTGGGTGAGCAAAGGGTTGCGAGGCGATCACAACAAACGAATGAAGGGGTTCAACAAAGCTGGATATGGGACCGCAGGGCGGATACAGTTGGAGATTATGCAGTTGTTGGGACGATGTGGGCGAAGTATCAGAAAGAAAGGGAAGATGTGATAGAAAGGAGCGAGCTGGGGATGTGAAGGAACAGAAGAGTCAAAGGTATCTTGTTACAACGTCACAACACTGCGTTACAAAGTCTAGAGTAAAGAGATGCGAATTTTACAGGAACACGATGAAGTATTGATCTGTCGCAGACAAACTCATGTACATATAGAGAGCTATCCACTCAAGAACAGATGATTCACTACACATAGTGTCTAAATAATAATAACATACATCATATCGAAGGGGGAGTGCGAGCACGAATGATCAGAAAAAATGCTACGCGTAACCCACATACCCAAGAATAGCCATGCAGCCCAGCCCTCATATGAACCATGCACAATCTGACGCCAAATTTAATGCAACAGAACACATAGCTTTCCATCGTACAAGCCATCATCCACCAATCGCTCATGACACCGTATATGCGTACCACACCAGGCTATTTGCCAATTCTACCTTCCGTAACCGTTGCTTGAGCCACTGCCTGATGGCATGGGGGACGCTGAAGCTGGTTTCCAGATCTTTACTCGATGATCATCACCAGCGGAGGCGAATGTCGTGGGATCCTTGGGGTGCCAAGCTACGCTATTGACGCAGCCGGGATGTGCATCAAGAGCTTCAATGAGAAGGCCGTTGGAACGCCATATGTATATCCGCGAATCTACAGACGTGCGTTAGTGATTGGATCATATGACAAGACAGTATGCACACATACCTTCGCTGCCGCTAACTACAAAGTTCTCGTCAGCGCCACCAAATACTGATCGGATGATGAACTGCTTCTGGACATGGGCCTCGAAGCGTTGTATCACATCACCGGTGTCAATCTCCATAAGCTTAATCTGATCGGGGCTCATGCTGACTAGCATATGTCGCGAATCCTGGCTGATGGTGACGCTTGTCAACTTGGTATCATCGAGCTGAAACTCGGCAATCTTTTCGTAACTTGCGAAGTCGAACACGACAATAGAGCTTTCGGTTATGACGACTAATCGCTGTCCGTCGGCGGAAACTGCAAGGTCGTTCACACGGAGCTTTCCGTCATCGCAAAAGTTGTGTTTGAGTTGGCCATCGAGATCCCAGACTCCACAACCCATACTGTCATCCTGTGATCCGATGATGACCCGCGAACCGGAAGGGTCCCAAGCTGCTGTAGTGCACGGGTAGGTAAAGTCACTGATGCATTGTATGCACATGCCAGTCTGTTGATGTTAGTGGAGGTCCGTGGATAGATTTGGTCATCTTACTTTAACGTCCCATATCCGTGCAGAGTTCTCTGGTTGCGAACAGCATGTTATAATCTTTGTGTCATCAGGACTCCAGGCAAGGTATGCGATGCCGGATTCCTGGTGTTCGTCGAGCTGATGTAGCACCTTGTAGGTATTGGTTTCGTAGATGATGATTGTCTTGTCCTTGCTTGATGAGGCGAGTTTCGTGCCGTCATTTGAGTACTGCAGAAACCACACCTCATCCTTGTGGTGCCTCAAGTCAAGCACAGCCTTCGTTGGGAAATCGTCTCTTTCGCAGTTATGGTCCAGGTAGAGAGAAGGTGACGCGGCCGTGTTGTGATAGAGACAGTTTGCAATCCAGCTGTCCTTTACCTCGTCTAACAGAACAGATAACCGGTGTTCGGGAATCATAATACTGGGTGATATTGATCCTTTTGCATGTTAGTAGGAGTATCGAGATTTGTCATGTAGTGCTCACTTGAGAGATCAGAGAGCAGATGCATTCGCGAGTCGCCACGAGCGCCGTCCCATTGAGCCTGGTTCCTGAGGTCCTCGGCAGACTGGCACATCATAAGTCTATGAGGTATTAGCTGTGTGCTGTGTGGCCATGGGGATGAAGACTTACGCTGAAAGCGCATGTAACCTCCCTACATCTTGATGAAGCGGTGTCAGCTCTTGTCGAAGTACCGCAAGCGCTTTGCTTAGGTCTCTCCGCTCAAGTAACTCGAGATACTTTTGCTGCTTCAAACAGAACAGCATGACTTCGCGATTTGCGCCCTCAGCTAGGGTCAAGCCTGCAGAACGCTGCGAATTTGGGCGTGATCTTGATTTGCCCCATGGCTTTCCGTAAGGCGGGTCCAGACCAACTCCTCCCCCAGAATCAAATGTACTTGACCCGAACAGTAGCTCCTCGGCTTCTTCCCAATCGCCGTTCAGCACCGAGGTTCGAAATGCCGCAACCGTCGGCCCTTCGAGCTGGAAGCCGCTCTCCTTGCACAATGCGCCCGCAGCACTGTGATAGCCCAAGTCGGTGAGGCTCTGTATCAGTATCCGCGTCACTTCTTCCCTGTCATGGCCGAAGAAAGTGGCAGGTACCGTTCCCCCGTTTGCTACCGGCCCTCCATTCGTGTACGAGCCATTGCTCTCGTTTCTGCTATGCGTACTTCCATTCGTACCCTTGGCCAGGGGAGACCTGGGCCCCGATGCCTGCGATGATCCGTTTGCAAAGTTGCGCGATGGTGATTGTGATGATTTGGAGTGGTCGTTATCCAGGCGCATCTTCCCGTCTTGTCTGCGCCTGCGCTTCGAGATGTGACGGGATAAGCTGCCTCTGGGTCCGCTTGTCAGAGGCTCTTCTTCGGCTTCGTCGCTACCAGAGAAGCTGTGCCTGCGCTTCCCGGCTGTAGTGTGTTCGGACGGGATAGTGGTGGCGTTGGCTTGGTACGAGGATCGAGTGGAGGGCGCGGCTTGGTTGGGAGGGGCAGAGATTATGGGGGAAGATGAAGCGGGGGAGTTCGGGGTGGATGGGCGGTCGGAGGCGATTGGGGAGGGAGAGTTTGGGGCGGTTTCGTCTGCCAGGACGAACGCTGGGTCTGGTTACCCGCAGATGACGCGGGTATGGGTTGGTGGCAGCGCTGTGCCTAACAGGGCGTTGTGTTTGGGATTAGGTAGTTGGCATAGGCAGTTCAGAGCGAAGAGACGGTGGTGTAGTGTGCGTGGAGTCGTTGTAGGCCCCGGAGAGCTAGTGAGGTTGCCGACGTGAGCTCGGAGGTTTGGAGCAGCTGGCGATGTCGCGAGCCGAGAGATGACGATGCCGCCGTCGGGGCCGTGGACCCTGGGTGACTACACAACTGCTGGAGCTGCGCTGACAAAGAAAGTGCTGATGTACGGCTGTGTGGAAGCTGCAGGAGCCTCTGGCCGTCGCCTTGGTGGTTGTCAGGTAGTTTATCGAGGTTCCGTAGCTGGGGACCTAGGCGCAACCGGATGCGTCAAGCTCATGTGCCAAGTGGCAGCCGCGATGTGTAATAGGTCACCCAACACGGTGTAAATCACTCGATCCCGCAGGTATTCAAGGCAGACACGTTCACAGTTGAGTCTATTCACCAGAGCATGGTTACAAGCTCTTGTATGGCATTCAAATGCAGGCACGCGCACCAAGATGACCGGGTGGAGCCGTTCTTGTCACAAGGGACCTAATCGCGCGATAAGAAAGCGAGCTAACACACACCAGACATGGCACTGCCCACGGATGCGCCAGAGTGCTCGCTATCCCTTTGATCGCGTCTACTATCGCGGCAAAAGCGCCATTTCTACGCCCCAACATGTCTGTTGACGAAGACAGCCAAGGACAACACGTCATGTGAAACAGGGTATGTACGCGCTGTCATGCTGGTCGACATCCAGCATGGCCTGCACTCTGCCGCTTAATCAACCACAACCTTTGAATTCATCCAACATCCCTCGCCAGTTTCTAGGATAGCATATCTGTTCTTGTCCTTGTTATACTTGATGGTTCGTTACACTCCTGTATTCGCTCTTGATCTTGTCTACATCCTCATTGTCGCGTTCCCACCCGCCTCGTGCTCCTTGAACCAGTTCAGGAACTGGAACAGACTGGCTTTGGGCGTCCTTTCCAGACTCGTGTAGTTCACGTACTGCACTCCGAACCTAACCGACGTACCAAGCGCCCACTCAAAATTATCCAAAATCGACCACCCCCATGCTCCTGTCACGTTGACACCGTCCTCATGTATCGACAGCAGGATGCTGTCTAGATATTGCTGGAAGTAGTCTGCCCTCTTCAGATCCCAGAGCGCCGAGTTCAGGTTTGACCATTGCCCCTCAAAAGGCTCCGCGAAACCAAATTCGCTGACAACAATATCCGGAATCGAAGGGAAGAGAACCTGAGTGATATGCTTTAGATACCGACGGACGCCTGCAGGTGCCGAGTAGAACCAAGACATGGCTGGGTCAGCGGCAGGACCGATGGGGAAGCCGTTCGGGGCCACACTTGCTGAGCCAGCACAATCAGGGAAGGCCGGGTGTGAGCGGTTGCTTGTGCACGACTCCAGCCCGCCGTCGACCTCAAAAGCCAGGAAACTCGAGTAAGGGTCAATGGCGTAGAAGTCGCACGATCCTTTGATCATGTCCTTCTCCTCTTGTGTGAACTCTGGTAATAGGTCGCCAAGTGTGTCTTTAAGTGACTGTGGATAGTCACCATCTGTCCATGGTCCGCCAAACCAGCCAATGCTAAAGTCAAAGTTTCGTTGGCGTGCGACCTCGTCTTCTGGCTTCGTGCTGTTGGCTTCATAATAGTTTCCACTGTTCTTAAAGGTGATGCGGCCCCGACCTTTGAACTCTTCGTGATACCACTTGGATACCTTCGCGTGCGCGAGCAGAGTGTGATGACCACACAGGAAGCGGGCTTCATTGCCACCAGTGACGCCATTCGGTGCAGGGTAATATTCGCCTGCTGGGTAACCTGCATATTGCCAGTTACAGTACTGAGGCTCGTTGATCGTGAACCACTCATCGACGTAGGCGTCGTATCGTGTGATGACAAACTTGGCATAGTCTACATATCGAGGTATCAAGTCAGTGTATGCCTCACCTGCACATCGTAAAACAACACTTACTGAAGAAGTCATCGACAACCCGACGGTCGGTCCAAGCACCGTATTCATTGAATATGGCGAGTGGGGTATCCCAATGGAACAATGTAACAGCGGGGTGAATGCCATTTTCATGCATAGTAGCAATCACGTCATCGTAGTGCGCAATGGCTTCTTCGTTGACTGGACCGTGGCCGAACGGGAAGAATCGCGGCCAAGAGAAACTCGGACTGAAAGCTTTAACTCCTAGACTTGCTAATCTAGCAAAGTCTTGTTTGTATAGATAGTAGTGCTGATCAACGACATCGCCAGTCGTATTGTCGGCCACAAAATTTGGGACTGAAAAAATCAATATACGTCTCAAAATCACTTCTGACACCCAAGACTTACCTCTGTGTGCCAACAGATCCCAGATACTGGGTCCTTTGCCCTCATCCTTAGCCGCACCTTCAATCTGATATGCGGAGGAGCTGAACCCCCATTGAAAGTTCTCGGGAAGTTTCAAGCCCTGTGCTTCTGGGTATCCACTACCCACCAAAGCATGATAGTATTGGGGATCTGGCTGTGGGTATGCCGTTGGCTCTGGAGTTGGTGTGACGGTGGTGGTGATGGGGCCTGTCACAATTGGCCCTACCATATCCCAGAGACTTGCGAGGGCATTGGGCGAGAAATCGGTGCGGTTATAGGCAGTAGGTTGTGCAGAGGCGTTGAAACTTGCGGTTGTGTAGCCCGCAGGCAAAGCATAGGAAATAGTTGCTGTTCCATTGCTCTGAGCACCAACCGGTGTAGAGAGCATCAAAAGGCCAAACAAAGGCAGTAGTTGGTCCATTTTAAGGATTCGGACTGAAACGGCAAAATAGATGCTTCAATAGACAGTACGGACCAGAGGGTACTTAAGGTAAGTACCTCAACGAGGCCTATCCGTATCATACCGGATAGTTTCATAGACCTCCGCGCTGACATGGACCTCTCAGGCACCATTCTCTTGGGTAGATGGACATTACCCGGAAATTTGAGCTCGGCGTGCATGGAACCCCTCAAGCAAATGCTCGAAAAGATCCTCGTACGTCCGATGTAGTGGACTGCGGGAGCCAGCAAAGTCAATCGTTGGTCAATGGCGACGAGCTAAGGCACACTCCAAGCTTCATCGCGGTACAGACCGTTCGTAGGTAAGGATTCACTCGCAGCTTGCGGACGTCATCAATGGATAGGTCGACGGAAGAACCGGCGTGGATTCCGTGCCGAAAAAGGCATAGAGTGAAGATGGGGAGAGATGATTGGTGGAGGCAAAGCTTCTCGAAGCCATGGGCGGAGCTATTGCGGGGAATGGAGCGACCACCTTAACTGATTGCTGAGTCTCCAAGAAATATTGTGCGGAACTGCGTACCTAGACGGCAAGGTGAACGGTCACAAGGAAGGCGAAAGGCATCAGCGGACCGTTGACCGGAGCTTGGCCAGAGCATTGGTGAAGCAAACGACAAAGGAAGATGCGGATATAACAAGCGCAGATTAACGAGTGGTGAAGTCGATTATTAGCGACACAGATATCGAAGATGTAAAAGATTGGTATTGTAGTTCGTTGTATTTCGCCGCGACTGTCGCATCCTTCGCGTACAACATTCGGTATCGACCAAGTATTCTCGTTGAGACCATAGCTACATGAGAGATACGCAGGCGAGATATCGTAAGGTTTGCTGGGTATAAAATCTGCGCCTTACACAGGAAGGATGGGAAATAATGTATGAGGGTATTATCGTGGTAATCATGCTTAAGCCTTGCGCTGCTTCTTCGATGGCGGTTCCTGACCTGACTTGCGACCCTTGCCTACCAACGCGCGGATATCGACTGGTTCTTGGTCATCGCCTTCGTCATCGTCACTGGCATCCATAACATCGAGATCCGACAAATCTTCATCGTCTTCATCCTCGTCGAAGGTGCCCTCTGTGATTTGTCAGTGATATACAAGGTGCGGTCGGGTGCACGTCAACCTACTGTAGTACTTGATAGCATTTTGCCACATATCTTCGGCGATGATAGTAGCAACCTCGTCACCGCCTGGGAAGACCTCGATCTCCTGAAAGTCCCGCATATTTTCCTCCTCATCATCATCCTCGTCATCGACCTTTTCACCGCGCCTGATCTTCTCAAATCTTTCCTTCTCCTCCTTGGCAGCTTGTGCAGACTCTTCGGCACTCACCCATCGGTAGCCTGATACGAAAGCGAAGAGGCCAAAGAAGCTAACTGAGGCATCTGTAGCTGTTTCAATCTTCCTTGCTAGATCCTGGTATTCGTCGGTCAGGACCTCCTTTTCAAAAGCGGCGCCCTTGGCAGTGTCTGTTGTTATCTTCTTTCTTGTCTCGCCAAGCTTGTATGCTGCGTCTGTTAGACCGGCGGTAAGGTCCTTGCCCTTCTTCCAGTTGATCTTGACAGGCTCGGAAACAAGACCCTGCCAGTCCTTTGTCTTCCTGAACCAAAACTTCTTCTCTAGTACTTTGTCTTCGAAGTATTCGTTGTCGGCGAAGCCGAACTTGAACGAGAAGCTGCGTGGGGAGCCATTGGGGTCGTTAAGCTCGAATCGCGACACCTCGAAGGTCTCGAGGCACTCGGCGAAAACCTTGGAATCGGTGGGTTGAATGAAGTTGTCAATCTCGGGAGGCGCTTGCTCGAAGACGAGCGACCAGAAATGCGGGATCTTCTTAATGAATTCGGCGCGCTTCTGGTAAAGAGGGCTTTGGAGAGCTTCAGCTTGGCGGACTACAGTCGTGTTAGCCACGCCTTGTCTCTTGCTTGAGTGACCACGCAGGCGCACGCCATTGCAGAAACGCGCTGCAAGGGCGCATACTTCGTCACATTGAAATTACGTGCGCGATTGGTGTTGTAGTAGTAGTGGGACTGCGACTTACTGATTTCTTCCTCAACATCCTCAAACTCATGTTCAAGAGCTGCGAGCTCCTCGAAACGAGCAGAGATCTCTTCCGTCATTTTTGTGTCCATGTTATGTGAGCAGTGGCCGCCAGGTGAGCAGCAATCAGACATATCAGATCTGGGATTTGTGTTGAGTGAAGGAGAGTCCAGCTGTGAGCATTTCTCTCAAAATTTCTGGAATGCTGCAGGGATGCTCGCGCGTCACTGACCCCACTTAAAAATGCGGAAGAGTCCCGCCCCACGTGCACGTTCCTTCTATCTTCTCCACCTATCTGGTATCTGGCAGTCGATGATCTAAACCCGGAACACATCAAGTCCATGCTGGTAAAGACGGGAGATATTAATTCAAAGCCATGACAATATCCTCTCCGTAGCAGAAAGGCGTATATGATCGAGCCCCGAAAGGCTTCCGACTTGACTCTGGGAGTCATACCTACCTAGGTGATGACTGACTTTCACTTCGTTCCAGCTCTGCCTGTGCACCTTCGAACTCCCACGATAGGCAACACCCCACTACTCTCATACATTCAGTCGCATCGTTATCAGCGCGTCATTTCATTACTTTGCATAATAGTAACTAGGGCTACAAGACAAGAAATACGATTTTTGCTTCTTTCTGGTGTTCACCATCGGTCTCCATAGTACTTACTAGCTATGGGAGGTCTCGCATTCGCCAACGTCCCAACTGAGTCCGGAAGACCTGTTCAGACTCCCCGTCTACCAACAGCATTGTACCAGACCCTCTCTGGGCATTATCAACGCCTTCTAGAGACGCTATTCGAACGCGTTGGTAAGTTATGCCTCTACGAAATGCACGCGGTACATACACTGACTTGGTGTCTCCACCTCTGCAGTTGTTCCACGCGATGCCCCAGCCAAAGCAGACCATGGGGATATTGACTTCCTGGTAGAGGGCATTCGACCACCGAACACAAAGGACAGGATATGGTCTGTAATACAGGGCACCCTCCAAGCTGATCATCATCTTCCGCGTGGTGGATCGTCTTCCTACGCGGTACCACATCCCGAGTTACCAGATGCACATGTACAAGTTGACGTCGAACTCTCTGTTGGAAATGAAACCCCAGAAAGCGCCGAGCTCTTCGAATGGACACGCTTCATGAAAGGCGACTCTGATCTCTTGCAGATTGTTGGTGTCTCTCATCGTCCGCTGGGCCTTACCTGCAACGATCGGGGCTTGCACGTACGGATAGCAGAGATTGAGCCATACAACAAGAAGAAAGCCTTGCTGTTCCTGACACGAGATCCAGACAAGATGATCAAGTTCTATGGCATGGATGTCGCAAAATACTGGGACGGCTTCACGGATGAGAAGGATCTCTTCGATTGGGCCACCAGCGGTAGGGTTCTCCCGCGTACAAATTGCATGTGAGACATTTAATGACTTCGTACATCCAACTACAGGTAGGTTCTTTTCACATAGGGTCTTCGAAGATCGTATCGAGAAGCACAACGACCGCGCCCGCCAAGCCAAGCGACCCATGTATCAGCGCTTCGTTGAGGATTATATGCCTTTACATTCAGATAGAGGGGCTGCGAACGAGTGGACCAGGCAGCAAGTACTGCAAGAGGCTCTCATGTTGTTCGAAAAGAGGGAAGAGTACGAAGCCATGCTGTTAGAGCATGACCTCAAGACTACAGAAGAAGAGCTCTGGAAGGATATCAAAGTGGCGGTGCCCATACAAAGCAACTCTCTGGCTGTCGTTTTGAAAGGCCTGAAGCGATGGGTCGTATTCGAAGATGACCAGCCGCGCATATCACCCAAGCCCAACCTCGATGAGCCTCTAATTTGGTCAAAGTTTGTTACAGCTGACAACAAAAACGCTGTTCTGGAGTGGGTGAGACAGAATTGGGAACAAGTCAAGTGTGCAGAGAAGGCGCGCGCAAATGCCGCGAAGGAATCGGCCAAGAGGACATCGTGAAAACCAAGTCAGAGAGTAGAGATATGGGAGGGCTTTGGAGGTTTGGGGGCGTGCATATATTGTGCCTCGATCTGGCCTAGGTGCAGAGGTGAAAAGAACAACCTCTGATAGTAGGCTGCAGGTACTATTTCCAGTCGCGCTCACACGTGTCGCTGCACGCATCCGAAATTTCCTATTTTCGTGACGTAACTGCATGTTAAGCCGACACTTCCCATGCAGTGCGGGCCTTTCCAACGCGAGCATGATCTGACCTTGCTTCACGATGCAAATTTTCAGTTTTGTAGGGGTAATAGAATCGAGTTTTGAAGGGGTAATACAGTCGGTTTTGAAGGGGTAACAGAATGCCTAATTGTGGGTCGTCATGGTCGAGCCTGCTAGTTCGGCCCGATGAGGAAGGGAAGACGGATCACAACGATGGTCAAGATTTCTCCGATAGTCAGTGTCCATCGCTGTCACTGAGCTGCGCTACGCTACGCTACGCCACTCGCTATCTTGCCAAGACTACGTTCCAACATTGCTCTTATCTTTTTTGCTTTGTGTGGTACCGAATAGTGACGAAACTTCGAAGGCACTTGTACTGTCGAGCGAATCTCGATCGACAGAACCCAGCTACCACGACGTTACTTTTTCGCAGCGAGTAGCTTGTATCGCATCTACAGACAGCCTTGTATCCGGCCCTCGCTAGATCAAGATAGGCCCTACAACATCCTAGGCCCCATAGTGTTTGAACAAGATGGACGACCAATATCCAGAACTGCAACTGCCGGAATCACGAGTGCTGATCGTTATAACGGGTACACATCTATGGAGAAAACCTCGTGTAATCATCAAGTGCTGACCTCAGTAGGCGGCACAATATGCATGCGAAAATCTCCAGACGGACTGGTACCTGCACGGGGCTTCCTCAAAGCTGGACTTGCACCGAGGCCGGTTTTCAATGATGGATCTTACCCGGAACCTCTGGAGATTGTTACAGACGACAAAGGCACACGCAAAGCCGTGCAAAGTCTCAGGACTCCGGTTAGCACATATGAACGCCGCGTGCGATACTGCGTACTTGAGTTTGAAAAGTTGCTCGATAGTAGCTCCATCGACTCCAATGGCTGGGATCAGATCGCGCGAACGGTCCAACGGAACTACCAACTCTTCGATGGCTTTGTTATATTGCATGGCACAGACTCGCTAGCCTATACATCATCGGCTTTGAGTTTCATGTTCCATAACCTGGGGAAGCCTGTCATTTTGACAGGATCACAAGCGCCAATGATGAACTTGCAAACCGATGCGCAAGATAACCTCTTGAATTCTCTGATCATCGCCGGGCACTTTATGATACCTGAAGTATGTCTTTTCTTCAACTTCAAACTATTCCGAGGAAATCGCGCCACCAAAGTATCCGCAGAAGATTTTGATGCGTTTGGTAGCCCAAACTTACCACCACTGGCAACTGTATCCTCTACAAAGACCAATGTCCTGTGGCATCGCGTTCATAGATCCGTCGATCTCAGACCCTTTACCATCCAGACGAGTCTGGATACAGCACATGTAGCCTGTCTACGCGTGTTCCCAGGCATTACACCAGCGATGGTGGATGCAGTCCTGCGTTTGGAAGGCCTTAAAGGGCTAGTGCTCGAGACCTTTGGAGCCGGAAATACCCCAGGCGGACCAGATAGCGCAATGACTAGATGCTTAGCAGACGCAGTGAAAAGGGGGATTGTGATTGTAAATGTCACACAGTGTTTAAGTGGCAGTGTCAGCGCCCTATACGCACCAGGGGCATTCCTTGGTCGTGCTGGAGTCGTCTTTGGCCAAGATCTAACCTCAGAAGCAGCGCTCACCAAATTAGCCTACCTTCTTGCACTACCGGATGCTACACCCGAGGAAGTTGCGAAGCGCATGTCTGTTTCGCTACGTGGCGAGCTTACTGAGACGACACGAACCCATTTTGAGCACCCATCAAGGAGCGGTGTTCTTACCCCTGAGCTCTCAAGTCTTACAGCGCTCGGCTATGCTGTTCAAAAAGGCGATCTGCAAGCGACGAAAGACATTATTCGAGGAGAGCCTCGATGGCTACTCAACGATGCCGATTATCAGATGAACAGTCCTGTAGTAAGTGCCTCTCCGTCCAGTCAGCACTCATATACCTATCTTTGTTCTTCTTTCTACTTTCCAGGAACCGCACATGTTGCGATGCCTCCGTTGTTCCTGTATCATGTAAGAGCCGGTATCGGAATCGGGCGCACAATATCTAGAGCATGGCTAGCAGCATTCCGAGACAGGCAACGCATACATCATTATCAAGATAAAGATGCGAGAGGCCGTCGGCATCAGAGGAACAGAGCCAAACAGCTCTCAGCCGTGTACCAGTGGTGCGGCAAGACGCAGTCGCTTATCTTTCAGCCCATCACTGCACTGCATCCGGTTCTGGAGTGACTTTATTCCGTCCGCGCGAGATTGCGTTCCTTGCTGACGTGCCCATGTAGCATCTTGCGGCAACAAGCCCGAATGTTGAGATTCTGCGAGACTTTCTAGCTCAAGGCGCCTCCGTGCATCTTCGAAACCGATCAGGAAATACCCCGCTCTTCTTGGCCGCAGCCGCTGGCTTACCAGATCACGTACAGACATTAATCGACGCAGGAGCCCATCTTCACAGCGATGAAGTCAGTGCCGCAAAGCTGCATGCATCAGAGGGCGACGGCAACGCTGAAGTTTGGGCACGTGTGATTGGATAAGCGCGCAGCACGTTGAGTACTGCTGGGAGCACGGGTAATGGTGGCTGCTCGTTGGCTGCAGCCTAGCGACCGGAGTGTCTATCAGATGGGTGCGTGGCGCCTCGAAATGTCGCCATATATGGCACGTCAGTCCCCAGAGTCTGGTGACGCACCGGGATCAGCCCGACGTACGCTGCTTGCTGCGGCGTTGAGAGGCGTGAATCATTGGAGTTACGCGACAATATCCCGGCTGCTATCAATGAGCACAACCCACTCGGAACGTTGCCGCCAACATGAGCAGATGATGTTTGACACCTGTTATACTGTAACGCCGGTCTGGCCAGGGTCGACGTGGACATGAAGATATACACAAATGATGCTGCTGGAGAGGCCAACTATTGGTGTGGGGAAGTTGTCCAAGTGCGTGTCCCCATATAGATTGAGGATGTACATAGACCAGGGCCTCCCGCTAGGGGGATGGAGACCTCGGGAGCTTGTTTCAGTTAGTAAAAGAAATCTCTGTGCCAAGAACTGACACCGTGATGGCCCTTACATTCGGAGTAACTCGATGATAGCACGTTCTCTACAGGTGACGGTGGGTGGCTCCGAGCAGAGCATCGTGGATAGGACAACTGTTTCTGGCGGCTCCATACACCCGTTACTCGCGGTTCCTGAGCTTAGTGTATCCCCCGCATTGACTCGCAGACACTGCCCCTCTTCGATTTCTTTGCGTTACGAGCAGATTCTACTGTGGAGACCTCGTCTATGAGTTAGCCTACCAAGCTCGTTGCAGTCTGAAGATAGTGCACGTTGCTCGCTTGTGTATGCATAGTACTGCGTGTCGAAAAAACGAAACGCGACTTTGAACGATAGCTCCACAATTGCCCAGTATGGCAACTCTAGGAGCCTCGAGTGATGAAGTGGACCATTACGGGCATATTGCGCTGACCGACTGTGGTAAGTACTAGGCGTGGTCAGGTGTTCGCGATGTCAAGCGGAGCCTATTCGCCCTTGTGGGTGGACTATTAGGTAAGGCTTTTCCCAGCAACGCAAATGACGAGCCCAAACTTGGCTGTAATGTCATACAAAAAACGGCTCGGTTTTGGGCTTCTCCTGTTTCTCCGGCCGGCGTCCTCGACCGTAGCTCTGCTCTTTAAGCATTGCGTGTGTCTACGTCAAAGGTAAATGAATCGGACCGCAACCTCAACCTCAGAACACGACAACTAGCTTCGCGCGCAACCCTGTCTAAGTCGCCTCACGTGCCTCCCATCGATCGCACTACCAAAGGCTTGACCACCTTTGTGTGTTGCAAGCACGTTATCGTCTGCCCGCCGAACCGGCATCGCTGACGCCGCCGAACCGAAACCAACCCAAGGTTACGACTACCCTTACACCAAATCCTTATCTCGCCCTCGTCCGCCATTGAGCTGCCGCCTACTTCCCGGAGCCCCAGGTGACAACTCCCCGGTATCCTCGCGCCTTGGCTCTGTTTGCGTTTTATATACCCACGACTATCCTTCCGAAAGTCGCAACCACTACAGGACCCCGAGAAAATTCTCTAGACTACTCTTTTTGTCTTGCCCAACATTCAAATTCAACGACACACGAATGCAAAGGACCGTTGTTACCATTAACAGCAATGGCCGCCAATCGGCGAGCTTCATTCGCGTGGCCGCCGCACTAGGATGGCAAGTTCGAGCGCAAATGCGAGACCTGAACGGAATAGTTGCACGGGAGCTGTCTGAATTGGAAAATGTCACTGTATACATTGGCGCGCTGGAGGACAAGAAATTTCTCGACGATCTATTCAAGAGCGCGCAATGTGCGTTCATAAATACCACACACTGGGGAGACGAGGTTGCTATTGGTCGATCGCTTGCCGATGCCGCAAAGAAAGCCGGAATTCAACACTACATCTATTCGAGCATGCCAGACCACTCTGTGTTCGGCAACAACTGGAGAGCGCTTCCGCTATGGGCACCCAAATTCACAGTCGAACAATACATCCGCCAAATTGGTCTGCCTGCGACTTTCGTTTACTGCGGTATTTACCACAATAATTTTACCGGCCTCGATTTCCCGCTCTTCCGCATGGAGCATCAGTACGATGGAAGTTTCGTTTGGCAAGCTCCTTTTCACCCTGATCAGCCATTACCCTGGCTCGACTCGGAACACGATATAGGGCCAGCCGTATACCAACTATTTAAGGAAGGTCCACGAAAGTGGAATGGCAAGCGGTAAGCGTACTCTGCGTCTGCATGTCCTGGTCCACATCATGCGGACAGTCTCCACAGTGGTTCGATCTGGTGGCGTCGCATCACCGGTCGTCAACCGTCAAATTTTCTGTCATTTTCTCATTTGCTGCTATGACGTGGCTGCGTTGTAGAGAAGCTGAAGTGCACGAGTAATTTTTGATCATGTACTGACTAGTTTAGGATCCCCCTTGCGTTTGCATCCATGACCCCGAGAGAAGTCTGCAAAGCTTTTAGCACTGGTCTCCGGAGACCAGTCCGCTACAAGCGGGGCCCCATAATGATCAACGTGCCCACACCCACAGGTTATCGGGAGCACCTTTCCGCGCTGGAATACACGCTGGGAGAGAAGGGCGCGCCATACTTTGGACCTGATCTTGAGCCAGACGTTCCCAAGGTCTCTCTTGAGCTGTGGGAAGGAAACCGCTCCATGGAGGAGTACGCCCAGGAGGTGTTCCCGGTGGAAGAGGCTGCCAACGGTCTTACATGGATGGAAGAGGTAGAGACGCCTAGGAGAGAGATCGAGATCGACTTTGAACAGATCAATTGCTGACGGCTGGCTTCATCTTCCAGGGCGAGATCTTTCAGCATTCCAACGTTGTCCTAGGTTTAAGCGAGCAACTCAACCAGGCGCGACTTTAATTCCTTCGGTTCGACATGTCACCTTAGTTCCATCGGCGTCGGACGGTAGCATCTCAACGGCGTCTGGCCTTACCTTTCCTTTGGAGTATCGGGGTAGAAAAGCGGTGAATTGCATGGCTATGGGGTGCCTGAGACGGAAGTCCCGGGTTCTCTCCGCGGGCCTGTCTGGTTATCTTTGTCCACTCGTGGTTTTGTTGCCTAACCTCGCGCAAGCATGGTGTTTGGGCTGCCTTTTTTTGTTTAGCATGGGCGGATGCGCTGCAGTATACCAGGACTGGCGGTGATCTGCATTTCCAAAAGTTATTTTCTTTTTAATCCACTCCACTAGGGAGACGTGCACATGACTGTTTGATAGAAGCGATACGGAAGTGCAAGCGACGTTCACACCGGTTGTGGTCAGTGCACTGCACAACGGTGGTCTGGCATACATTTTAGTTTGAAAAGATACATGGACACATACGATGACGAGATAAAAATGCAAGATATCAGTGAAACATGTGGTTGTGATGGGAAAGCGAATCAATGCAAGCTGTGCGGAATGGATGAATGCTGACATAAGCGACATCGAATTTCCTGAAGCTGAACTTCATGTCGACTACTCCACCTCCGCCCGCCAATGTCAGCCGCCATACCCTGCACGCGGGCTGCAGCCCAGCGTGTCGCCTTCAGAGCCATACGATGTAAACGATTCGCGAGTACTGATGCAGTTGCTGTCGATGCAACGCCCACGACACCCATATTGCCCGCCAAGCGTGAACAGCGATTATCAACACGGAAGCCAGACCTGAGTCAACAGTTGCACAGGGCCTTGTACCCAACGTTATATGGAGAAGATGGCCAATTCAAGGATGGAGAGTTGGTGACCATCAAGCGTCGGAAACAGAAAAAGCCTATCGATTCCAAGTGGCAGCCGGTAATGAAGGAGAAGAGCGTGGACCGGAGATTGAGTACGACCGCCCTTTTCGTCGCCAGTCACGTCAATGCATGCATTACAAGATTGGATTGTATATATCAACAAAAGTGCTAATTCCACCCTATAGGCCATCAATTCGGCGTCCCCGTCCTCAGACCGACAGCCTCCAACATCAAAAAGACTTGTCCAGATCCCATCTCCGCGGTAAACGCCTCGCAAATAAGCTTGCTCGATCCCACAGGCGCACGAACCCGCCTCTTCGCAAAGGACAACCCAGAATGCGCGCGAGTCGGCGACATTCTACTTGTACGCCAACGCACCGGCGATCCCTTTGCTGGTGTATGCATCAACATCCGACGCCGTGGTACCGACACCGCTATCCTCCTACGTGGCCAACTCACTCGCGTGGGTGTAGAGATGTGGTACAAGGTCTATAGCCCATTGGTAGAGGGTATCGAGGTTGTGCAGCGTGCTGCTAAGAGGGCGAGACGCGCCAGGTTGACGTACATGAGGACTGTCAAGCACGACAGGGGGAGTGTGGAGAATGTCGTCAGGATGTATCTCAGGCAGAAGGCTGCGCTGGGTACGGCAGAAGGACAGAAAAAGAAGGGTGCTGGCGCTGCAGCCGCCATGATGGGTGGCAAGAAGAAGGGCAGAGGCAAGAAGAGGTAGAGTCACGAGCGTGTATCACAACAAAGCAGCTCGGGTACCAGGGTACCATGGCGAGCATACTGTACATATATGTACAATACCACGAGCAATAACTGACGACCCGTTGCTTGGTGTATGATGTGCGGAGAAACAAGTGAGTTACATTATGAAGAACTCGGATATCTCAAAACGAGTGGTATCGCAAGAATCAAAGCTAAGCTCAAGCTCAACGCCTATTATCCTGTCTACATGCATGCGCATGCCCAACACATTCTACCGACAACCCTGACCCCAGGCCCCATTACCTCATGTTCCAACCTTCACTTCAACCCTCAACTCTTCTGTTCATAGCCTAATGCACCGTTCCGTATCCCTGCTGCTGCTCCTGAACATAGCCTTGTTGTGCCGGTACACCCCCATATCCTGCCTCGACTCCGGCAGGTGCGGGCGCAACAGGCACCGTCTTATGACCACCATTTTGCACTTTTTGGCTGTAGATACCCGGCGCAGGACGCGCTTCGTAGATGCTGGCGCGTATCTCGTCGCGTCGCTTAATGTATACGTATTCGACGTAGAAGGCGTGGATGTGGCCGGGAAAGTAGCCGAGAATTGTGAGGAGCAGGTTGATGAAGAAGTCGGCGCCGCATCCCGCTACGAGGAAGACTCCGACAGGTGGAACTGTAGATTCGTTAACAAAGGTTTCGCGCATGAAATGGACAGGGGAAGGGCTTACTGAAGATAGTGATCAGGATCAAGAGGAGTGTTTTAATCATCTTCGTAATTTCTTTCTTTCTCGCGCCTTGATGTACTCGGTGATGTGTTCGCGATATTCCAAAGTTGACGGCTGTTTGCGCTTTGAGTCGTACAACGGAGTGTGTGTGTGAAAGAATAAAAGCAACCGTATCCTTTGAATGACTATCGTTCCCTGGGGCACTCACGCGCTTATAAACAATCGTATGGCAACCACGCCCATGCGTAAACCTTACTGAGCGCATGCTCAAACGTCATGATCCTAGTCGTAATGTGGCTGATTGGCCAGCCACAGTGTGGCGCACAGACGTGGCGGTGGAGGCCACGTAAGTTTGACGGTGTTTCATACGAAAACGCCAGGATACGACTGGCCCCACGGGTGTTTAGAATTGCCTTGAGGTCTTCTTGAGGGGGCTTGACGGGGCCCGATGTGTATGGCAACGGTCATTGGTTGGTGCTTTGGGTCAAGATACGACTGGCGACTGGGTGGGTTAAGAAGCTTGCACCTCTTTCACATCCACTCGCCCCTCAGCTTCGAATCCTTATTTTTGTCTAAGAAGAGGAATTCTATCTCACGTGTGTAGCTTATCATCCTCTCATGGCGGCCATACCTTTCTTGCCGCAGTCAGGATGACCTAGACACGTCTTCTGCACTGCCCTTACTTCTCTCTTCCAGCACATGTTCATAGCTGAAGGTGATCTCCTCCACAATTGAGACTACAAAGATAATCAGTCTTTGGGACGCCTAGCTTACCCCAACATACGCCGAAGCCCCAGGGTATGCCTCGACCGAGCATGCAGACTGCTGTTGTACTTGCACGCTCTCATTCGCGTGATTGCGCCAACCCAAGTCTTCCGACTGATCAGGATACAATTACTCGGCACCAGTCTCGGAACGGATTATCCTCACAGTAGGCTTGCGAAGGGACTCTTCGTCGGATTGCCTCTGAACTTGGCATGATAGTCGATTGAAGCGCGTAGCGTCATATGCCCGACCAATTTATCATGCGGGTATGCGGCATGGAGACAGCCCTACGAGGCTGAATGTACCAAGCCATTGCGCAACAGGATCCCAGCCCATATGTCACGCGCTTCATGAAAAAGGGCTTGCACGGTAACGCCAATGGCGTTCCCACCAATCCTGCAAATGCACCCTCTCGGTTATGGAACTCGAGGCCGGAACACCAAGTTTTGTGTACGCTGTGGCGTTCCATACGATAACGATACGGTTCTTGGTATTCCTAAAAGGTAAAAGTTACAACTTCACAACTCGGTGCCTGGAGGCATATATAGTATGGCTTTCGTCCTGTCAAGACTTCGAGATAATGGCGCGCATTTTGATTCACCAGCCACCATAGTAACAGTCATGATCGCGAATATTCCTAAACTCCAATTTCCTGCTCCAGGACCAGATCCACCGTCTTGGCCAGCATTCACCAATGAACCATTCAAACCCGGCAACAACCCGTCTGATTACATGAGGATATACCTGCAATATCTGCTTGACGACAGAGACAATTACCCTGTCGATGGCTTTGGACCAGGGACCGCTCCCGTTCAGATACACGACATCATAGATCCGCTTTTCATCGGATCGAATCCGGAGTCCGATACTACATGGACAGGTTATATCCATTCCGTACAGATATATTGTTTGGTGTGTCCTCCTTTGGAGAGCGGCGGCAAAAGAGGAGAAACAGACGATTTAGGCTGGCCCTTCTGCGGCGGCGACATCCAAGCCATCCAATCGACGTCTCCGGCATCCGATGAGATAGCTGGCTGGACTTCACAAGGTGAAGTTGATCAAGGACTTGTAGTGCCAAAACCAAGTGACGGATGGGAGAACACAAGTTTGGCATGTACACTTGCTATGTACACGACTTTCGACGTAATAGATGCGACAGTCCCGCTCTACATGAATCGACCAAGTGTTAGGAGTCAATTGTTCGTTGTGTCTAGCACACCACGAGACGGCGCATCGGACTTTGGTGTGCTGATGCCATACCGATACAGCGCGTACTGTACCCATGGCACACAAAACGGGACTGCCTGCAATGAAGCAGAGCCTCCTTACTCGACAAGCACTTATGATTCTGCACCTACATCAACCCAGGACACGTGGGATACGTTGTTCCCCACTTCTATTTATCCAGCTCCAGCTCGAAACTCCATCGATGTCTGTGTCCCATCGAGGTTCAACAACTGTCGGAAAGACGGATGGTATGGATGGCCGATTGGCCAGCGTGTTGGAGTTATCATTGGCGTGGTAGTCGGTGTCATCGTTGTCATACTACTATTGCGCCGTGTCCCCCCGTCCGCGTGGTCTCATAAGCGTGAAAAGGCAAGACCGCTACTCTTGAGCGAGTTGCGTAGCCAACAGGCTATAGAAGAGGGAGCTGCAGCTGAGCGACGTTATGTTGAAAGGACACGTGGGGAACACGCAAGTACTTCGAGAGGCAGCGGAGACGCAGTAGAATCACCCGTAGAAGATGTGCCCCCAACATACAAAGAAGCGATGAAGGATCGTAGGCGTACGTCAGGTGTAGGTCGTCCGCGAATGAACGAACATACATCCACAGGATGGCCACCAGTTTACGCAGACGCTGTACAACAACCTGCACCTGTTGCAAACACTCCACTGCGAGTTCCCTATCCGAGCCTTCCCGCGTCCCCGCCAAGAAGATAAAAAAGAAGCCAACTGCATGCGGTGTTGATGCCCATTCGACCGCCGTAAACACCTCACCCTTCGCCATGTGTGCAATAGTAAGCATGCCAAGTCCCTTTGTTGATACAATCGCTCACCGATCTCGGTATCCGAGCCAAGAGATGAGGCTCGAGTCCAACCAACAACGGCGATGAGCGGCCAGTCTGCAGACCCAAAAAAGAGGGGAAACTCGACGCATGCAGCTTCTGCGTCAAGCCTTCATCTGGGCCAACGCGCCTTTGGGGGCCGTTTTGGCATATGTTTTGTCGCAATTGGTGGGACAAGAGACCAACCGGTCTGGCTGAGAAGATGATTGGGCATAGATCGGTGTGGATGCTGTGTAACATCAAGCATCAGCCTTACGTTGTGAGATCAGCGTGGTGTAGATGTATACTAATTCATGGGACGAGCAGAGCTTGTGCCTCCTATATATTCTACTAGCAATACCCGTTTTATGTTTCTTCTAATGGATGGTCTACACATCTGTTGAATTACCGTTGTTGTAAGCTATTGTTCTTGTTCCATCTGTAGTGTTTAGTGACAGGTCGAGTACTGACAAATGGTCAGTCAGAAGATATAAGAATTCGGATTGCGTCTTCACGTCCACCATATCTCCTGATTGGGTGTAGCAAGATTCTGTTTCGTCTTACTGGGGGTACATCTTTCAAAGCAGTCTGCATGTACTTAGAAGTCTCGTCCTTACACAAGAGCAAGCAGTAATCGGTCCACCACTGCTCGAAGCGCGTGTCTCGCATTGTTATAGCTATGCCGTCCACACGCCCTCGACCTTCTCGGGAGCCTACCAAAGAGTCAATTCGCACCGCCGTTATTGTCGGGCTCGTCATCGGTCTTCTCGGTCTCATCGTGTTGAGTTCTCTCCTCTACCAGCGCCGCCTACGGCGAAACATAAAAGCTGGTACTATCATTGGAAAGTGGGGAGTCGAAAGACAAGAAAGAGGGGGTAAGACAACATGGAAGGCAGATGTAGAGAAGGGCTTAGAAGTCGGTATAATTCAAGAGCCTTTGCCAGTTTACGCGAAAGAAGCTGTGAGGGGTGAGAAGCGATTAGAGATGGGTATGGTGAGGTAAAAAACTCGTAATTTCTTGTATTTGCGGCGATGTTGTTCTGAACTCATGTGAGAATGGTTGTGTTAAGGGTGGTAGGACAAGTGGTCACTCACAGCCAATGCTACTAAAGCCACATGAAAGTTTTGCCCGGGGTATCATTCTGTCGTTCATTGTTGACGTTGTGATGTCTCTTCACTCTCTCCATGTAAACAGCTTCAGCCGGTGCGATAGTACTTCCCTTCGTGCCCGTCTGTACCATTCAAACCATTGGCGCCTTCCTCGGTGTCTTCCCTTGCTCTCACTGTTCCGGCACCAGGTCCCAGCTCTTCTCCAATCACCATGCCACTGAAGTTACCATTCTCATCCATATACTCGTCCATGTTCTCAGCCGTTATCCAACCCGACGCACCGGGTGCTGTGTCGTCCAGTATGTCTTCGCCATCGTCATCACTGGCATCTGGGTCGGGATGCAGGTCTGCGCAGGTGTTCAGCGCGGTGAATAGGTCTGTAATGCATGTCTCGGTGGGTTTCGAGGTGTACGACGGGGGCAGTAGGGTGACCTCGAGCATGTGAATATCGTCGTCCTCATTTACGGTGTCGGCGTCGTTGAGTGATATGTTCACGTATAGCGCCTCAATCGTAGTCTTGTACTTCATGGTCGCATGGAGGGCGAGAGAAGGATATGGGATCGAAACGCCGACAGGAGAGGGCGTGCTCTGAAACAAAACCACATTTCTAGAGCTCTGAGTTAGCATCTTCTGTGGGTAGCCAAATGGAATACCTACTCAGAGGACACCCAGACGTCAATGCCATCTACAAAGTCTTCTTCACCCTCGCGTCTTGAGCTGAACTTGCTAAACGCCGCGTCTTGCTTTAGCTGGTCAGCAGCGGCCACCAGAGTCATGCCCTCATAGTGAGCATGGAGAACGGGCTTTGCGCTGAAAAAGGACGTCGGGGTCTGCGATTGGTGTTCTGATAGTGGGGTGAAGTCGTCGGCCTTGGGGGCGTTGTCGAGTTGCTGGAAGGACATGGTCGGTTATCTCCAGGTCGTTGCTATGGCTTGTGTGAAGTCCTGGAAGAGAGAGGAGTGACTGATGTACGTATAGACTGCGTAGCCTTGGGGATTGTTGACAAGATGTGCATAGGCAGCGATCAACCAAGGCCCCAAAAAGTCGCGGGAGCTAATCGAGCGTCATCGCCCCACCTCGGCCTGGGCAGGTACCGGATGCATTGCGCATGTCTCCATTCCCAGCGTCTTCACATGTTTGCAGGTTTTTTGCGCAATAGCGATGCGCGTCTTTGTCTCGCCATAGAGTCTCGCTAGAGATACGGCCAGCAAGAGCGCAACAGCTTCTCTCCTTACCTTGTTCCAATCTGCTTCACCTCACCATGCCTTGAGCGCCTGTCCTCTATAGCTGCGGCATCTAACACATACACCGACTATCCTCCAACGACGCAGACGCATTCGCAGACGCCCGTGGATACCCTAATCTTACTGTAACCAGTGTGCTGGTGTCGACCACATCGACATGTCTTTCCCGACAAAACCTATCGCACGATTGACTGGCCACGCCGGCATTGTCCATGCCGTCGCCTACTCTTCCGGCTCTCAAACCTACATTCTCACCGGCGCCTCCGACCGTACCATCCGTCTTTACAACCCATCGAAAGCGCCGCCTACCTCAACCGCTCCTACCACGTCCTCACAATCGCCCCCGGGTCTCGTGAACAAATATACCGCGCACGGCTATGAAGTCCTCAGCATTGACGTCAACTCGGCCAACGACAAGTTTGTGAGCACAGGCGGCGACAAAACAGTTTTCCTCTGGGACGTGCAGACGGCGCAGACGGTGCGCCGTTGGACTGGCCATGCTGGGCGTGTGAACCGCGGCGTTTTCGGAGGCGAGGGCGACAGCATCATAGCGACCGGGTCATACGATGGGACGGTCAGAATCTGGGATACCAAGTCCAACGCGTACAAGCCCATCATGACACTTTCAGACGCCAAAGACAGTATTTCTGATGTTACGATACACGACGCGGATATTCTGGCTGCGAGCGTCGACGGTCGCGTCAGGAATTATGATCTCAGAATGGGCATGTGTCAGGTTGATGTTATAGGACCGAGTTGCACGAGTTTGGCTGTCAGTAAAAAGGGTACTGAGGTTCTGGTCGGATCCCTGGATTCTACTGTGAGGCTCATGGACCGGACGAATGGGGAAGTACTCAAAACCTACAAGGACGACGCCTTCGTGAACAAGCATTTGAGAGTCAGGAGCACGCTAGGCCTGAATGATAGCGTAGTACTTAGTGGAAGTGACGACGGCATGGTGTTTGCGTGGGATATGTTGGAGGGAACGTGTTTGTATAAGTTTAAGCATTCCGAGATGAGGGAAGTAAGAGGTGCAGCGCCTGTCATACCAACAAAAGCAAACAAGGACGTCGTGTCTGCTGTGGCCTTCTGTAAAACAAGGAGGGAGTGGTGTAGTGGTGGTGGCGATGGCAATGTCATTGTTTGGGGCATGGGAAGCTGAAGAGCAGAAATAAGGTGTTCGGCCGTTTGTGATACCCATAAAGATTGATTTTTCAAATCATGCGTCGGCTTATGAATGTATCAGAATACGGTCAAGTCGATAACAGCTGGGGCATTCACTGTGCTCATCAGAAATGTGTGCTTAGAATCGGACTAATGATGTTGTATTCAGAAAACGTTTGATAGCTAGCTTGGTTCATAACTGACGTAATGGTAGTTTGCAGTTTGTGAAAGAAAATAACAGATGGCAGAGCCAAAATAATTGAGGTACCTACCAGGAGAGACCAAGTACAAAAGACGCGGAAAGGAAAGGAAGAATCCGACTAATCAAGAATCGCGTGAAACCGACAGGCCAGGATAGTTTACCAAAGTATGATCTCTACAATTGGTGTGACGTATGTCTGAACCATCGGAGCGAGGCGTTGCAAGTGAGAGTTGAATCGGTTACCGGTAATGCTGTAGAACCGACAAGACGAAGTGCAGTCACCGGTCCTAGCACAGACGACGTCGTCCCCATCCGAGATACCAGCATAGTCTTCAGTGGAAGTACTTGACAGTTTGACCGATCTCATAGTTGTATAAATCAGTGAACGTGGAGCCTGTGGGTCTCTGCGGATAAGAACCTGCTGGACAGTTGTACACTTTGACGACTACACCACGCTTTTCAGTTCCTGTAATAGTCAGTATGAGAATGCGTGTGTTCAAAAGTCAGGTGACATACTCTTGAACTGCCAGGTGTGCGAGGGTACCCAGTTCCCTCTAGTGAACAGATGGGGCAGAACAGAGGGGAGGTATTCTCGAGAGGTCGTAAAGGCCATCAGAGCTAGAAAAATTGGTAACTCGCCTACAAGTCCACCGTACTGTGGGCTTGAGGGAGCAGCACTAGTGTGGTATATGTCAGGCAGGAGCAGATTCGCCCATGGATCCTGGGGTTGCACACGGAGCATGTTGTATTGACCGGAAGAAGTCAGATAAGACGATTCGGGAGGGTGCTGGTAATAGTTGAACTGCAATTTGTGGAAAACATCGTCACCTGGTGGATTGCGTGCATCTCCTTTCAGGACCCAAAATCCGGCTCCAGATGCGTAATAAACCGAGTACGTCTTGTACCATTGGGCAGTCGTTGGGAACATGACTTCGCGTATCTGCAAGCCATCGCAGAGCCAGGTCTTGCCCGAGGCACCCACCCCGGGAGTATAGTCATGACTCGCATTAGGGGCTGTAGTAGGTTGCCATATGCCATGACGATCCAGCTGGTCAGGAGCATCCCCCAGATTCTCGAAGATCTCGTCAACCTGAAAGATGAATGGTGGCTGGAAAGATGGTTTAGCAAACGTCACGTGTTTGAGCCAATGCAACTTACCACTGAGTTGGGAGAATTGCCCGCCATCGTGCGTCTTCGTGCGTCTCCGTGCAGTGTACCCTATATGAACGGTGTGGTGTGTTTGGCTTTGTTTCGGATGCGTCTGCTCTACTCCAACCCGCTGTGGTCTCCTCACTTTGACACGCCTTTATCCTTCTCTTCGCCATGCGGCTCTGCGATCTACTGCTTGCAAGACGACTCATCCCAGTCACAGAGGTCAGACGACGAGCTCCTAAATGACAACAGTGCGGGATGGGGCTTGTCGAACAGTTTCGGAGCAGCCTCTGATAAGCTAGAGATGCTCTCGAACAGGCATGGCGCAGGATCCTGCATCGGCTACAGCAAGCGTATACGTAGGCCATAGGTTATCAGCCCAGTATTCCCTACCCCGCTGTGGGCAGTTTCATCTACTCGCCGCTGATCAGTGTTGATGTATAGCTGTCTCGGGTCACCGGAGGGACGGTATGGACGAGCGACTTCTGCCGACTATGTATCAAGACTCGTTGCTTCTTGAAGATGATAATACGTCGGGACCATGTTGTACTATGGCAGCATTGTGGAAACCTCGGGTCTCGACAGCTGTTAACTTTGTCAGCTGCATCTCAGCAAAAAGCATCGGTGCCAACCGGCCGTGGATGGCGCTCAACATGTCCCATCGCCTGCAGCATAACAGCCGGTGCCAACCGACGAACCAACAGGATGGAGTCGCACAGCGCCAACCTAAGAGAGATCAAGGGTGGATCCCTTCTAGCGAAGCGCCCTGTATGTGTGCCGTCTGCCGCCACGGCACTTATTGCCAGACAATCAAAAGGCGACCTAGCGAACCGTTTGAGCAGGAAGCTTGCCTAAGTCTTAGACCAGGTCGATGTCATGGCTGCAATGCAAAGACCGTGTCAATGTTGTGTAGAGTTACCACCCAAAATGTATTGCGGTCGCATGTGTTTTGTTTGGTAACCGATTAGTGATATGCTGTAGGAGACATCGAGACACCGTTCTTTTTCCGTTGATCAAGCTTGTGAATGGTAAAGAAATGGTGATGCCTGCCCTTGCTCTTCTTGTATGGCCAGACCATTGCCATGATAAGATATGCATGTGTGTCGAGGCGACAATTGTAGAGATGCGGCTCTGCGAGAAAGAGGGGTTATAAGCAGGCGTCCGGGCACTGTGTTTCTCCATGGGCGCTTATTATGTTGACCAACGGCAAGCGTATCCAATCGTTTATGCCCGTTCGGCGGCTTTGCGAAGCGGTATTTGTAAGTTGACTCCAATCTCTTTCGAAATATGGTGAATCTTGCGACTTCTTGAGTTCCAGAGAGGAAGGGTATGCCAGATTTAAGTAGACACCCATAGGACACGGCTGACATACTAAGGCGTGCGGCGTCAAGGCCACCTAAAGGGCCACCTGCAAGTTTGCCTTCTTTCCTTTCTTCCACACTGTTCTGCAGACTTTCGATTGGCGAGTTCGCTGAACTAATGGAGCAACCGGCTGCAGCGGTGATGTACCCTTACCTAAACGGCGGCAAGGCAAAGCAGATTCCTGCGACGTGCATCGTAGACCTTTCTTCACCGGACGGCAATCCTTGTCATTTGACATAACACGCTCAACAGCGACGCAAACAGGCGAGATTGCGAGCAGGAACTCACCGGTCGACATATAGCGGCACGCTGGGTGAAGTCGCAAGTCATGCGCACACACCTTGACGGCTCAATGCCCCCAATCGAAGGGCACGTTGCCTCCAGTACTCGCACCGAACGGAACGCTTTCCATCAAATCGATCCCCCACTGCCGCACACGCGGCCCCCTTCGAATCTAGAAGCCGGTCAGATAAGGCACACTCATAGTATAACCCCGCACCGAGATCTCGAGCGCCTGAACAGTCAGCACCCAGCCGTCGCCGGGCAAGGGGCAAATTGTATCGTGCACTCGGTATGTGTGGTCTCGTCACCTTGGATGCTTATGCTTCTATCCAGAACAAGTCACTACGGAATCCCTACCAAAGCAAAGAAACGCTCACCGTAGCCTGGAACTGTTCCTGCAACGACGTAAATCAGTATCGAGGAGCTACCCAGTGGGCAAGCCAAGATGAGCACAGCACAGCCAAGCAGATCGTGCGTCCGGGGATATATGCTGCTTGTAGGCGACGGCTGAGCTTGTCCGTAGCGATATGCTCAGCGGCTGGGAAGCAATATCGGAGATACCTTTAGTTCAGACAAGGCCTTCAGACCTCGAGAGCCCAAGGACTTTTCACGATTGGTCAGGAACCAAAGGCCGCTATCAGAGACCAGTCGCAAGAGCTAGATCTAGATCATGACAAAAGGATCTGGAAAGACGCGCTATTGGCGCCATAGGCGCAAGCTTGGAGCTACATGCCAAGACAGTGCTGGCGGGACGACAACGGCTACAGTCTTACGTGTCCCGCTGTGAACACTTTGGATGAAGAGACTGGTGCAATACGAGATGAAGGCCGACTGAGCTCGGGAGAGATCACGCCCAGGACGGTTTCATCCCGAGGGTCGGGATCCAGGAGCCTTATGTCGCTTCCCAGCATCCGATGGTAGGTGACTATCGTCGGGGACTTGGACCAACCGGGCATTGGTGCGAGACATCTATTATCCACGCGCTTCCAGCCCAGCTACCAGCTCCGGCGACTCTCGAATCGGGCGCCCTTTGAACAGCTCAGCTCCGAGAAGTCGTCCGTCAATATCGCGATCATCGCATGACCCCGGTATCATATGTGGGCGCACCCGTACTCCGGCGTACAAGCGTATACGAGTTGAAAGGGGGCGGACAGGCTTTCGGAGCATGTCGGTAAGCGGCGTGGGCATCGAAGAAGCGCTTCAGTCGAGTCAAGCACGACGCTTGCTTATGAGTGTAGTCATCAAGAGGAGCGTTGCGCTTGCTCATAGACATTGGCAGGAGTATGAAGTTGGGGTCTGAACAACGCATGAGGTCCAATCTAAAATCGGGTTGAGATCTGATACCGGCTGCGGAAGCTAAGACAAAGGCACGTTCTCTCCTCGTCGAAGATGTAGACCTCGCGATCCGACCAATCACGGCTCACCGGCATCATGCCCATTGTTTGCCTGAAAACGGTCCGCACGACGACACACGATGCTCCACTCCACTCCAGAAATTCGTACTCCAAACATCCATACCCCCAAACAGAGCATAGTTCCAGCGCTTCTTAGCGCCGCGGTCGAGGACAAGCACGCGAACGCCCTCGTGCCTCTTGGTCTGTCAATAGTGGCCATAGCTCTCACAAAGCGTGGAACCTCGTATCGCTGCTTCAAAGCCGAGCGCAGTCAAAGAGCTCGCGCTGGCAGTGAGTGTCATGAATCAGATCATTGTTCTTTCCGGCTGGGGCAGGATTCAATCTGTCTCGATCACGAATACACGGCGCCGTAAGCTCTTTGGGTGGAACGAAAAATAGTAGATAGACTACGGAACGCCCATGAAAGCCTCTCCACTTTAATCGATCGTGTCGTTCCTGTTCACAGCGCGATGCCTCACCAGACAGCCTGCCCGATACAACGTCTTCAGTAACCAGACTCTATAACACGACGCGGAAACTGCAGTCCATCTCGCTCATCCTTGCTGCCGACATATTACGCGGAATCTTAAGTCTAGTATAACGTCAGCACGCTCCTTTATGCAAATCGCAGGAAACTCACGAATAAACCATATGTCCGACCAATACATCTTTACATCCGCCGACAAGCGTCTCGATATCGCGCTTAATCTGCTCAGACTCCTGAGCATGTGCCTTGAGCAGTCGCCTCTCTCCGTCCAACAGTCTCGCCCAGCTCTCTTCCACCATCCTCACACATCGATCGACGGCGACTTGTGCACTGCATCCATCATTCCAGACCATGACTGGGATTGCAGAATCAATGTCGCCATCATCGGTTTCCTTCCGTAAGCTTACGATGTCGTTCCAGAGGAAGTCCGAAATGGCTACCTCGCGTTGTATGGCTAACAAAGCCTCGTGGTCCCATACCGATGGAGGCAGTGTAAGGCTGTAGGCCCATTGCATAACAGCGATGCAAGGGTTGGTCCCGACCGTTCTTAGGCGACGCGCCGTGTATTCCTCTAGGGTGGACATCCCCTAAAAAGTGCACATAGGGAATCAGTTCAGGCCTCACATTCACTTCGTCGAGGAATGACTCCTACCTGTTCCCATGTAGCCTGAGATGTTTGAACGCCAAGAATAAAGTCGTAAATGGCTTCGGCGAATCGGTCGCGTGCTTCTGCGACATCTATTAGCTGATGCACATGATACAGATGTTAATTGGTCGTACCCTTCGATTGCCCTTCCTGCATCGCTTTTCCCATATTGACCCATGGCCCGCAGTTGTGCAATCGCCCTGGCGCTGGAACTTCGCCATCGAGTTCTGGTTGCAAACAATATCGGATGAAGTTGAGTGTATCGTTACAGTACGCTTCCGTCTTGTCGCGGTCGTCGGTGAGAATGCCGCAATCAATTTCATCATCCCAGAAAAAGAACTACCGCTTCATATTAGCAAAGAACTATCGGAATGATGGAACAAATCTACCCAAGCTACAAGTTCTCCTAGTACGATGAACTTCTCTGGCTCAACATGGGTCCAGAAGTATCCCACGCAAAGGCCGTTGTCTACTCTGCGTTGTTTCCTTCTTTGGCTCTCCGTGCTGATGAACTCTTGGAAGTATCCTTCTAGATGATCTCTCAACACTTGGACATCAGGATGCACTTTGGAAAGCCAATCGGTATATATGTAATACACATCCGGAACGTAAATTTCTTGGCCACGGAGACGAGCAATGATCTCTGTACGGTGGTCGCAAGGCTTCGACGATCCATTCTTGGTCGCGGAGGGGACGAGCTGTCTAGGGCTCTCGGTCCGTTCAGGGGCGTATAGAGGTCTAGATAGCTGGGATAAGGTAAGTACTATGTTCACAGAGATAACAAGGAGGAACGATACAAGAAAACATACAGTTCTCAGATATGATATAGGAAGCGACGTCCAAGAGCTGAGGATACTAAGAATCGTCATGGCAACAACAAGAGACTACCACGGTATACTCCAGACAGCACAATCAAGTTAATTACGGCTTTTACGATGCGATGGAGAGCACGAAGCTCCTTTTAGGTTTCTGGACCATGCTATCCACGTGATCGGCCTCTCGGTATCGTAGTTCTTCTACGTTCAGGATCTCGAGGCGCCCCATCATCCACTTGACGCGCCCTTTCACACCGCACTGCCAACATACGTCCATTGCCTCGAAGACCGAGCCGCAGTTGCATTGCCAGGGTTATCCAGAGCCAATCATGATATCTCTAGCTGGATGCATTTGACGTAAGCGAGGCGTTCGGGCGCAGTCCACGTGAGTGCTATGTAAGGGTTATGTGTCGCACGAATTCGGCTGTCACTATACGCCACGTTTCTACGGTTGGGAAACACGAAAGCGTGCACCTCCGGATGACGACATACTACTGGTCTAACGAGATATATACCGGTCGCCTGAACTCGTATGCCGCCATCAGCTTGAGGTTGGGTCTGGAAACATATCACAGCCATCATGGGAATATCATCGCTGACTACGAGCTGATTCTACACCAAACCAATGCATGTGACCTTTGCGAGATCATAAGGAGCTGAGTGGGTTTACGCCACTTTGTCGCTGCTGAGCCACTTTTGAGCAACTCCGGCCATGCAAGCCGGGATACCATACAATACTATTGTTTTCCACAAACCCGATAGCAGGCTATGGAGGCATCCTGTCATTGAGATTGATTGAATCACAACCTGGTAGCCTACGACCTGCCACTTGGGGCATTTAAAACGGATGAAGCTTGGAATATAGGTGTAAAGTGTCGAGTTGGAAAAATTGCTTTGCAGCTTGCAGCACTTGCCCGCGCCTGAAAGGAGCCACGTATCGAGCCGCGCGATCAGTTGAACAGTTCGCAGGCTACTGCGAAAACTGACATGATGCGTAGAACTTGCTCAATCGATACCAACATACAAGCGCCCGTGCGTAGAGATTCAACCCTTACATAGAAGACCAAGGATCGGCAAGATATCTTACCTCCACCGATGTTTTACGGAAATTTGTTAAGTGGCATGGTTACAGGGGCAGGAATGTGGTCTGGCAACTAAGAAGATAGGCCAGTATAAAGCTAGTATATGACTCGTTGGATGGCGACATGTGGATGCATGCACTGTGATATCTTTGAAGATGCTTCGAACATACAAAGTTGCGGTGAAAAGGAGAAGGATCAAGCAAGTTCGGTGAGTAATTCTTTCGTAAGGTGATTAGACGTGGGTTGATCTACAGTTGAACGAGATCAAGGAAAACAGGTGCGGCATGTGGAAGTAGTAAATATGAACTTTTAGCATATCGTTCGTCTATCTGAGACATGAATTCCGGCGATCCATCAATCGAGGCCCAACACCATTCGCCATATTCCATTGCGCCCCCAATCCCAAAGAATTGGACAACCCGATCCTCCCATGCACCACCTCAAATCGTCCAAATCCACTTATGCCAGTGCCTATACACCCTCAGCTACCTTCGATTCAGGCCGCTCACATCAGCGGTCTAAGCCCTCTTCTTTGAATTGACGTTCTTGCCCGCACCCACCTTGACTCTGCCACCAGCCCTACCCCGATCACCTGTCAAGATGCCCGGCAGATAGTTCTCGTCCATGAGATCCCTTGTTCTAGTCCGCTTATCTTCCTCTGTACGCCTTGTGTATTCCTTCTGGTCCTCCGCCAGGATAAGATCCCTGCCCCAGCCACCCTTGCCTCCGCCCTGACCATGACTCCACTTGGTGTTCGCAGTACCAGCAATGGGCTTAGGGATACTGTATTTGTCGCCTCGCTTGTTGTATTGGTAGTTCTTGGCCAGGTGGATCTTAAACTCTCCGGCCGCGTTTGTGGAGCAGGTCACACGCTGCAGGGTTGCTTGACCGCAGCGGGGACAGAATTGCTTGTCCATCTGCTTTACGATGTTGAAGCATGCGTGGCAGCGGAGCACCTTTGTGTTGACGTTTTTGATCCGCTGCATGTTTGTTGAGAGGAGTTGGAGATTCATCTGGAGTAGCACGTTTTGCATCGCAAAATCGATAGTCATGGTTGCTACATCCAGTTGGCGATTGGCGGCTATGTGGATCTGGGGCTGCATGACACCGTCTTTGGCTTGGTGCTCGGTGAGATTCTGAGGGGTTATCCAGTCACCATCTGAATCTGAGTCCGCAGCAGAGTCATCGGTTGTTGGGGGCGTGGGTTGTTGAGTAGCACCATGAGAGATCGAGAGATCCTCCATGTCTCGCTCAAGGTTTGGCTCATCTGGGCTGACCTCTTGGCCTGACTGCTGCTCATTCCCAGGTTGCTCAGAAGCGAGTGAAAGCTCTGCTTCCTGTTCGATGTGGATGTTGGTGGTGGGTACCTCGACTGTCGCTGACTGTTCGATCGGCCCTTGGTCACCAGCCTGTTCTCGAAGTTGCTCCTGAATTTGTTCTTGGACCTGCTCTTCGAGTTTCTCCTCAACTTGCTCTACAGCATGAGGATCGAGCTCCCCCTGAACCTGCTTGTCGAGCTGCTCTTGAACTTGGTCTTGCACTTGTTCGTGGACTTGGTCTTGAACCTGTGCAACGACCTGCTCATGTATCTGTTCCTCAACCTGCTCTTGGGTAACTTTTACACCGCCGTCTTCTTCGTCTATCTCGACTGATTCGGGTTGCTCTTCCGATCGGTTTGCCTGTTCTGGGTTGTTTTCGACCTCCTCGGCAGGCTTGAAGTTGAATTTGGTGGACTTGGGCGCTCTGGCCTTCGCTGCCCGCTTGCCTGTAGGCTGTTCCCAACCCTCATCTTCCGCCTCTGGCTCGGCAGATTCGGCGTCAATCTGGCCGCCCTCTGTCGCTTCTTCAGCTGCATCTTCGGCAGCATTGCTGGCTAATTTGCCCGCCCTTCGCCTATTCTTGCGCTTCTTTGTGGAACTTGAAGAGCCCTCTCTTTGCGCCTTTTCCTCGTTCTCCCTTTCGATTTCCTCGGGCCTTCTCTTGATTTCTCCCTTCGGTACCTCTCTTAAACCCCAGTTTCCACCGTTCCTTTCACAGTGCACCTCATAAGCCAGAGCTAAGATACCCAAATCCTGTCTACTCAGAACTGCATGATCACCCGTCTTTTTACTGAACGCAATAACCGCATCGTAGCTTGCTGGACTAGGGTTCCTGATTTTCAGAAAAGGAATCAGCGTTGTCTGCACACGTGATCGTGTCGCTTCATCGCGGATCTCAGAGAGAATGGCAGGGGTGGTCCAAAGTTCCTCGGCAGCGTTGATAATTGTAGATATCGAGACGGTATTCTTGATCAAGGGACCAGTATCTAGAATGAGCGAGTGGATTGGTTTCTGCTGAGTTGCACTAGGTGTCGCCATTATGCTGTAATCTGGGCAGCAATCGCAGCCTAGTTGTGGAAATTCGTCTGCTTGTCCTAGGTGGGCGGGATATCGAGACAGTTTGATGCCACGATATGGTACGAATTTTTGATCGTTAATATGTGACTAGGCCGTGCCGCTGGCGTGGTGGAAGATTTCACGCTGGTGGCGGTGGGGCGCAACTTTTTTGTCGTGAAACCCCTCGCGAATTTTGATTGGCTGGTTCCACCAGAGACAGCAACGGGAACGCTGCGGGAGCCAACTACGACTGTCGATTGACTATCAAGTCAATCTGCATGCACTATACATCTGTAGTCATGGCCTCGATTGCTACGTGGTAATTCTGACTCGCCCTCAGTAAAAGTTGTGAGATGTTCATGAAATGTTTCATTCAAACGCCGCCCAATGCTGAAGTTGCGAGCCCATCCTCACGTCGCTTGTGGTATACAGTACACATACATGAATTACATCAACGCCGTCCTAGCTCTTTGTCGTGATGCTCGAGATTCGTTTCAAGGCGAAGACTTAAGCGATAGGTTTGCTCCTCTCGTCTTCTGGCATACGCATGTACGCATCAATCGCCGCACTAAAGACTGCGAAACCTGCACATCCCACAGCCACAGCCTGTGGCCCGGCATTTCTGGCTAGTATTCCACCTGTCAAACAGCCCCCAGCCACTCCGTTGTACAAGTCGTTCTTGGCTCGTAGGCCCTCGATGGCGCATTCAGTGCCTGAAAATATGGCGCCCACTTTAGCGAAGTTGCGTCCACTGGAAATAGAGGATCGATACATGTCGCGCAGACCAGCTCGTAGTTGCTGGCGGAGTGGAAGGTCTTTGACATCGACGACTCCGGTAACGGTTGGATTTGGGAGGGTAGCGGTGGCGGACGCAGAGGGCGCTGTGGTGAGGGTAGCTGCGGAAGCGGAGTTGACGTTGCTTGTAGCTATGGTTGATGGCTTGACGCCTGCTGTTGGTGTTGTGCCGGAGACTGCGGTGGCAGGCTTAGAAGCCGGTGTATTGACAGCGAGGGGTTGTGACATTGGGGTATCGTATCGCATCTGGCCATGTCAGTCATGTCTGCTCTAATGCAATCGTTCCAATACATACCGAGGCCATAAAGAGTCCAAACATAGCACCCAAACCACCACCCATGACGCCTGCCATTACCGTCTTGCCAATGCAAGACTCCATGCCCATTTGCATGGCTTTCACCATCTGCTGCTCCTGCTCGCTCATGCCAGCATTAGGGTTCATGGCGGCTGGCAATGCGCCAACCCCTCCTATTCCTCCTGGAAAAGACATGTTGGAGATAGTTGATCACCACTGCGTTGGAAAGCGGATGTGGCACAGGAGCAATGCTGTTGCGAAGGCGGTGCGATGCGCCGCCGCTGCCTGGAACTTTTGCGGAGTTGGAGCGGAGGACGGAACATGCCGCACATGTGGGGCTTGGCACCCGCTCGAGCACAATCACGTACAATCTAATCAAGTTGCTTGCTGGATGCGGTAAAGAGTATTCGGTTTCTCATTATGCTTCTAACGACGGTACATGTCTACCCGAAGCTAGGTCCAAGAATATGCCATTACGCCGACGCCATGCTATCTCTAGAACTTTTCCACACTTCAAGCCACCTCTTCAACAAGTTCTGCAATACTGAATTAGACAATGCTGTTAATGGCGTTGCGTCATAATGCTAAATCGCTAAAAGCAACTACCGTATCAAACGTTCAGTTCATAAAATCGCCGTGCGAGTAGTCCTCAGTCCTCGACTCCGGAGGTGGCGTGAGTTGCTTCTCCCATTCCCTCATCAGATGCGATGCGGTACGCTTCAAGTTGCTCGGCGACACTTTGGTCATATCAGGCCAAGGAATGGAGCTGCGCTTCTGGTCTCGAGGAGTCATGTCTTCTTGGGTAATCGAGGTAAGCGATGATGCTTTGGAGTCGTGACGCCTCGAGTGGTACCTGGTGCTGGTACTTGTTCGCGAGCTACCTGGACCAGAAACCGGCGATGTCTGCGCATCCGATTCGTCTGAGCTGTCCTTGGAGTCTCCCAAATCGACGAGGAGTGACTCGTTTGGTGTGTCCCAGTTGTCCCAATCCTCTTCTGATGCAACCTTGCGAATCTGTTTTTGCGGGGTAGTTGTGTTCTTGAGAGCGTGCGTCTTCTTGTTGACCGTAGTGGTCTTGGGCTCGCTTAGACCCATCTCCTTCCAGAAGTCGTCGCCGATGGATCCTAGCTGTTGGGTGTTTTTCTTCGAGCTGGCGGACCGACTAAGGGCTGGGCGACCGTCGGACGATTTTCGGCCAGACTTTGAAAGGCTCTTGACACTTGTCATGCCGGGGTTACCTTCTGCCGTGTTGACAGCCTCATCGCCCACAGTTGCTTGTCGGATATCCTCCATAAATGTAAACAGCCCCTTCTTGAAGTCTGCCGCCATCTGTGTGCCGGCGCGGATGAGCTGTTCACGCTGTATCGTTGGCATGCCACCCATGTCATACCGGTCGTGTTCACCAGCGTTGACAACTTGTCGTGTGATATCTGACGAAGTGGAAGCCCTCGTAGGGAGCTGTGGTCGAGAGTCGGCAGAGTGGTCATCCTGTAAATCGAGTGGCTGGGGGAATGACGGCGACTGGAGACGATCGGGGGAAAGCAGGGATAGCGTTCGTAGATGTCGCGAACCGCTAAAGACCTTTCTTTGAGACGTCTTGGTGGGGTTCAGCAGGGCCCTTCTACGCTCCATCTCTTTCTGCATCCACAGGTTTGAACCGTCGTCCTCATATTGGCCCGCTGGAGTATTGGCAAGCGACGTGTCCAGTGGTTGCAGCGCAGCAACCTTGCGCACCTCGTTGCGACGCTTGTTAGCTTCGTGATGGGCCCAATGTGTCTTGAGCATGTTCAAATCCGCCTCGGCTTTTGTCAGCTCTTCCTTCAGTTCGAGCACATAGCGCTCTTGAGCAGCAAGAACCGCCATGATGTTTGTCTCGGAGGTGGCATCCTCAGGCTCTGGTGAATGCACAGACGTTGCTCCATTCATCCATGATTGCGGGCGCGATCGTGTCGACGAAGTCGGGGAACTGATGCTTGCGCTTGGCTGAATAGGGAACTGCAGCGATAGGCGTTTGCCTTGGCCAACGATGTCGACCGTCTTGGATCGAGAATGCGACGGCATCGTCTTGGTTGGTGAGGGTTGAAAAGAAGTGTTCGAGTTGGGGGCGTCGGGAGATATTAATGTCGACTGGGATGACGGGTCCGCCCCTTTGTCATGCAGGGTTGTCGGTGTCTGTGCTCTGTCCATGGAGTCTGCTCCTCCAAGGTAGAAGATGGAATTGCTCGTATACTGTCCCTCCTTGAGAGCACAGAGAATGGTTGAGAGACGAGCGCGGCGAGCGAGTCGGTGAAGAATAAGCGAGGCGGCGGCTGGGGAGCTGCCGTAGACTTCGAGATAAAGGGCTAGAAGCGCTGTGGGTAGGCCGACCAATCGGAGGAGGAGAGACCCTCTAAACCACGAGAACCAAGACCTGAAGAGCGTTGGGCCAGTGGCGCAAGAACTCATACCAAAGACATTGAAGAAAGCATGCCACAGTTCAAAGCAGTAACGAGTATCTAGAGATTCCTGCAGCCGAACCCGTAGTCTTTGTGCAGCAGGTCGCTCACGCGCACAGTGCTCAGGCCATCAACAACCCAATTCAGGAACCCATCTCCTGGCTGCATGTTCCAAGGGACTGCTTGCGCGGCTAGTTTGGTTACGGAGAGGATGTGTGGAGACGGTGAACGAACATCCGTCTGCTGAGGTTGACGTTTGCCCTGTCTTTTTACCATCGCCCTTTCGTTACTCATTCAAGTACTTCAAGGCACCTGTCACCACACGTGCAGGTTGCTGCTGTCAAACACGTTCGTGGATGCTGAGTCCCATATTTTCCGAGACGACGCGCGATGTTGCGGAAATGAGGGGGTCAGGCCACGCAAGTTGACACCTCAAAAGATGATCCATGTAGCAACAACTTCAGAGCTAGCTGGGGACGCGCCTTGGGTGTTCCGGTCAAAGGCGGGTTCGTGGTCATCTCATACTAAGCATTGAATCTACGGTTGCTGAGGGGAACAGAAGCGGAAAACATGGTGCGCTTCGCTTTGACAGTCGGTCAACATGGAAGTCCATCCACGGCCTTCTCCCCAAATTACCGCAACGGGTACGAGTGCGTTGTCCGAACGGCCTGTTTCACGCTATTAGGGCTTTCCGCAGTTGAGCCTAGCGGTGAGTGGGATGGTAGGTTTGGGAATGCCTGGAGTGCCTTGTAGCACGATGCCGTTAGCTCGTGTTTCCCTCAGCAACCGCAAAAGTAAACCCCGGCGGGAAGAGCAGGCGCAGGTGATGCGCCACCACAACGACGATAGATCCAATTGGTGATTCGACTGATGACTGTAGTATCCGCTGCTGCATGTTACCCGCAGTGTGGATCTTATGCAGGGCAACTTTGGTGAGCGATGGAATTGGAATGCTCCAGCTATGGGGACGGCAAACTGGTTTGTAAGGCTTGAAAGCCGAGCGACATGACTCCCAAGACTGGTGTGCTATCTTGGGTATCCATCCTCAGTCTCTGTTGTTCTTCTGCAGCATTGATACCTGGCGACGTCATACCAATCTCGCCAATTCCCAGGTGGCGGCGGGGTTGTGCGTTTGTTGATGATCATTCTCGTTGCCTCGGCGATGATAGGGCTGGACCCTGCGCGATACTCTGATATACACCACAACGGCGACGCCATTGAGCAGCCCAGCACCACGAACAATTCTTATTTCTATCCCAGTAGCCCTACGCTGAAACACGCTTTCGTCCATCTTCGCCTGACCGCCGACCACCTACCGAAATTCCCAAGCCATTGCGCTTCCACTCAGCGATATCACAATCGCCCGCCATGGCCGAAAACTACCAAGTCATGGAGGAGCTGGGCAGTACGTTGTGGATTGCCCCCAATTGGGTTCACGTTTACTGACATGTCCAGGTGGGAGCTTTGGAAAGGTGTTCAAGGCCATTGACCGTACTACCGGCGAGACGGTCGCTATCAAGCACATCGACCTCGAGGACAGCAGCGAGGAGCTGGCCGACATCCAGGCCGAGATTTCACTGTTGAGCACATGCCACAGCCCGTACATCACCGAATACAAGACCAGCTTTGTCAAGGGCGTAAAGTTATGGATAGTCATGGAATATCTGGGCGGAGGATCGGCCGCAGACTTGGTATGCAGACTCACAGATGGACATGAACTTCACGAACTAACAGTTGCAGTTGGCACCAGGAACTTTCAGCGAAGCCCACATCGCCATCACTTGCCGAGAACTCCTGCTTGGACTAGACTACCTACATTCCACCGGCAAGATTCATCGGGACATCAAGGCCGCCAACGTACTACTCACAGACCAGGGCAAAGTCAAGCTCGCTGACTTCGGTGTCGCCGCACAACTCACAAACATCAAATCGCAACGCATGACGTTTGTCGGCACACCGTTCTGGATGGCACCAGAGGTTATCCAAGAGGCTGGCTATGATTTCAGGGCCGATATCTGGTCACTCGGTATCACCGCTATGGAGTTGGCAGAGGGCGCACCACCACATGCTGGATCACATCCCATGAAGGTGCTCTTTACTATCCCGAAGAACCCAGCACCAAGACTAGAGGGCGACGAGTGGAGCAAAGACTTCAAAGACTTCATTGCCCAATGCCTCATCAAGGACCCGGACCGACGTGCGACCGCCAAGGAGCTCCTCAAACATCGATTTGTCCAGCGTGCGGGCAAGGTGGAGGCACTGCGTGAGCTGGTCGAGCGCAAGCAGATGTTCGACGCCCAAAGGGAACAGCAAGCGGCATCGCACCCCAAGTACTACGAAGAGACCATGGTTGATCTTTCCCCTAGAGCTGAGGAAGACGATTGGGACTTCGACACTGTTAAGCGGGGTACTGTTCAGGCACGGCAAACTATGAAACAACGTCGCAAACTGGCCCGTATACCCTCCTCTGGTAATGAAGAGGTTGAGAGTGTGATGCAACGAATGGATCTCAATGCAGCACCTTTGGGCGACATTACTGATTCACCACTTCCAGCACGCCGACGGCCGTCTTCTCGACGATCTTCCCAAGCCACGGCTTTCCGTGTTCCTTCAGGCGATACGCCCACCGCTCGTCGCGTCAGCAACTTCAACAAGTCGCCCCTAGGCGTTGACATGACATTCGGAAACTCGCCCTCGACTGTACGGCATTTCAAACGTGTCTCCTCGGACGAGCGCCGTGCAGCACTCCGCTCAAATCCTCCACCAGTAGCTCAGAACAATCAGTCTTTCCAACCAAATCCCGAAGCACGAACCTTCCGTCCATCACCTCCGACATCTAATCATCCACTGGATATGAACAACGAGAACGAACCGCCTGCTCCCGATGGTCATATGCCTATCACGAAGGATGCTCTATACGGTCGCCGAGCGTACAGCAAGGTCCTAGATTCGGTTTTCCAGGAGGCACATGCCGATACAGCATCGCCTCATCAACGGGACGCTATCGGACGTGTTGCGCAAGCCTGGCAGCATCTTGACGAGGTCGATCCCCACGGGGAGTTCATGCTATTGAAAGCCATGGTCGACCGTCTCAAGAATGACACCAAGCTTGCGTACGCTCTCGGCATCGAAGTCTCAGCTGTGCAATCACCGTTGAAGCACAACACCAAGACTAGTGACACTAGTTTGGGCGGCACAACTGTCCATGGCACTGGCACAACACGTATCCGGTCTAGTACTACAAGTGCGGCCACTTCAACCGTCAGTAAATCTTCGGAAGAGTACGACCACACACCGATATCAACACCGACGCGGAACAACACACCCATCGCCAATTCAGGCTCTCCGTTGAAGGGGCCTAAGCTGGTGATGGCGAAGAACAACCCTCACCTAAAGTCACATAAGCGCCGTCAAAGCGCATTTGTAGTTGGCGAGAAGGGCTTCGGTGCCGACGGTCACGGTTATTTCGATGAGAAGAAGCTACCTGGCTATGTCGAGCCTGGTATGGAGCAACAAGGGTTGCTAGCTGACATTCTTTATGGGCAATGGACACAAGGCCTGCGCACTCGGTGGCCTATCGCATAATCTTTCTCGTCTGGTTGGACAGACGTTGGCGTGAGTGTTTCTTTTTTTTGCATGTTCCTTTTGCCTTGCTGCTCTCGCGTTGGATTCTGAGTTATGGTCGGGTTCGCAAGTTTGAAATCGGCGTTTGTGGGTCACATACTAATGACTGACGATATGGTGGTTGCGGGTCGTTGCTGGGGTCTTCACATCAGTCATTCTAGACAGTGCTAATCTGCTGCATCTCTGCGTTGCATTCGCACTGACACTGGCGTTTCGCGGTCTCTCAGGTCTAATAGGGAAGGATACCTGAAGGTCGTGTGTGTATAAATAGTTTATGGATATGTAATGACGATACCAACGTCTCTTGTTAACGAGAGAACAAAGTATAATGACTTGCGTGTCGTGACGAATTGAGTGTATTGTCTGACGTTCGCGGCAATCGATTAGAGTGACTTCTTCTCGCATGCTTGCACCTCAATCTTTCTGCCCTGGTACTTTGCTGCTGAAGGCTATTGGCGACGGAACCTAACCTGCCAACGTGGTCTGCTTGTGGAATGCTCATTGCTTCCAGGTACTAGGAACGCCGGCGTACGGCACAGAGATAGACCCTTGTCGATCGGGGGGTAGTCCGTTGCAGACCAGCAATCACGAGCTGCACAGCTTTCCCAGATGAACCTGTACTTACCACATCTGGTACCTGTACGCCCTGGTTTCCGGGTCCCGTAGACGTCAGCGCTGTCATCGAAGCGGTGACATCCTTGCTGCCGAAGTATTGGGCGACGCATGTGTTCACAAGCCCGGATCCCATTGGCCACGCGACGCTTGTTATGAGCCGCGTGTATTTCCTCGGTAGCGATATGCAGAAGTCTAACGCAGTTCCCCGCGGGTGCAAGACCTTGAGAATATAAAATGGGCCTCTGGCGCTCCCACATTGCTGGGCATCAAGGCTTATCATTGCTTGGTCTTCTTGGTATACTTCTTTGGGCATTGCTGCGAACACTAAGATGCAATTCGCGATAAACACCGCCCACAAGGGTGCACTGCTTGCACTCATTGCAAGCGCTAGAGCTGCGCCGACGACCACCATATCCGCTGCTGAAAATGCAGGTGCAAGCAGTGCGGATGTGTATCCTCCTGCCGGCAGTAAGTTTGGATGGAATTGCGCAGAAAGCGGAGTGCTGATGGCTTGGTTGCGTAGCCGAGGTCAACTCTCAACTCTTCCCGCCCGAGTCTGTAGTCGGCTTCCCTGGACGTGAGTCGCGTACCCTCCTGGATGTTTTGTTCCAGACTAATCTGGATCTCCGTCAGCAACACCAACAGGAGCCGAGCCTAATGCCATTCAGACAGCGCCGTCATATCCCTACAATGATGGCGATGCGTCTTCGTACCCACTCATCAAGCCTCAGCCGCATGGCAGTGGTTCACAGTCGCCAAACTTTGACATCACAAAGTACTGGGGCAACTTGAGTCCCTGGTATTCTGTTCGAAGTGCAGACTATGGTCTTCCTGATGCTAGTCCTCTGATTCCTGATGGTTGCGACATCACGCAAATGCATCTTCTTTACCGTCATGGCGCTCGGTACCCAACTAGTGGTGCAGCGCCTGCGACCTTTGCCCAAAAGATTGCGAATGCTACGAAGACTGGCCTTGCTGTCTCTGGAGAGCTTTCCTTCCTAAGCGACTGGACGTACAAGTTGGGCGCAGAGCTTCTCACGCCATCTGGCCGCAGCATGAACTTCCTACTAGGTGTCGAGTACCGTGAGTTGTATGGTCATTTGCTCAACAACTTCACAGAAGCTGGTACTATCCCGGTCTTCCGAACACAGTCTCAAGATCGTATGGTGAAGACTGCGGAGAACTTCGCTGCCGGCTTCTTTGGCGTGCCTGAGTACATGGACGAAGTCAGCATTGAATTGCTCGTCGAGACTCAAGGTGTCAACAACTCTGGTGCACCCTACGAAATCTGCAACAACTCGAACATTGCCACACGAGGAAGCATCGGCAGCCGTGTCGCGGCACAATTCGCGAACAACGCTTTCAATGCCACTATCGCTCGTCTCCAGTCGCAGGCTAGCGGCATTAACTTTACCTCCACTGATGCCATCGCTATGCTTCAGCTTTGCTCATACGAGACACACGCTCTCGGCTACTCCGCTTTCTGCAATCTGTTTAACGAAGAAGACTTCTTGAATTACGAGTACTATTTTGACCTCTCGTTCTATTACAACAACGGCCCTGGTTCACCTGTCTCGGCAGCGCAAGGCAAAGGCTTTCTTGACGAGTTTATCGCGCGCTTCACTCATCAATATCCTGGGCCCAACTCGGCATTGAATGAGACATTCGACAACTCCTCAACATACTTTCCGCTTAACCAGTCCATCTACGCAGACGCCACCCACGAAGTGGTAGTCCTTGATACGCTCACCGCTTTCAACCTGACAGCTCTGTTCAAAGGTCCACCATTAAATCCTCAAGGCAATCAAGGCCAAAACAGTTTTGTAGCCAGCAAACTGGTACCATTCGCGACGCATTTTACTACACAAGTGCTTTCTTGCCCAGCTATGCAACCATCTAAGCAGATCCGCTTTATTGTGTACGTATCTTCCTTCCTCTTCGAGTTTGATGCGCAACTGACGGTAGTGCTCAGCAATGACGCTGTCGTTCCAATCGACGAATCATACCCGGGCTGCCCAGCTAATCCCAACGGTCTCTGTTCGTTCGACAATGTAGTCGAAGTTTTGCAGAAACGCAGTGCTGAGATCGACTTTGATTATGATTGTTTTGCAAACTATACAGCCGCTCCTGGACAGGATTATAATGGCAGGGCACCAAGGTCTTAGATCATATCGGGAAGCAAAAGCAGCTCTAGAATCAGAAGAAAATGATAATGCAATATAATGCAACGAAACTTGATGGAATTGTCATTCGCGCTCTATCCTCATTGAGGATTCACTCGCTAGTTGCTACGGCGTGCACAGCTATAGAGGGGTAACTGCGCGGCCATGCCAATTATCATGAGCTGTTCTTCACGCTTTTCGTGTATGGTTTGTCCGCAACTTTGGAAGTGGTTCAGCTCTTAATCACCTGCGTTCTCCTTTTGTGCAAGGCATTAGGTGCCTCCGGCTAAGCTAGATATTAGCGACTTCACGCATTCGGGTGTCGTGTTTCTGCAAGATTCTGGTACAGTTCTCCAGTACCTAAGTCGATACCTAAGTTAGTGCCTAGAACTCCAAATAAATCTTCGGCTGCTCCTTGCGCCCCGCACAAAATAGTCATACGGATATGATAGGATCGTTCTCTCCACTGGGTAAGAGGAAGACGAGTCATAGAAGCGGATTATCAGATATCGTGGCGGAGAGTGAGGAGAAAAGTAAGGAGTAGGAAGATGAAGAACAGTTTCTGAAGGATTAGCACATGATGAGACGTTATAACGGGGTTTAAACCAAGTCATGAAGCATTTTTGCTGCTTTCGGAAATGTGATGGGATGCGGAATGTTGAGATTGGGCAAGTTGCCAGCAGAGAAGGACCTGTTAAGTACAGTGTGCTTTTCAGCCACTACGCATAACCCAGCTTCAGATCGCTTGTCAGATCCAGATTGATAGCGAGTATCGAATTAATCACGACAAAGGATGTTATTTCTCTTGATACGACGGTAAGCATGCACAGTGAGCGCAGTGAGTGCTGCACTGGTCGTTGGAGAAGCCGAAAGGCCGTTAAATACCAGTAGATAGCACATACAAGGTCTTAGGTTAATCGGTGCTGTAGACGACTAGAGTGTCTCGTAGATGCTCCGCCACAGCTTGTTCACATGAAGTGGAACGATAAGAAATTGGAACTAAGTACGAAAGTCAAAGTGCTGCCGTTTGCTTCTGCAATACAGGGATATCCTCTTTCCAAATTTAGTCTAGTCCTGACCTGTCTCAGTCGCGAAGTCTCCCAAGAAACTTGGCGGCGTAGTTTCAGCCAGCAAGATGTTCATAGGATTATGGTTCACGATCTGCATAACTTCGTCGCGAATCAACTCATCTGTGCCTGCAAAGACCTTCTCTACCCATAATACACTCTTAACAATTAACATGATATCGTCCCACTCATGTAGCTGCATACCACTCATCAGAATTCCAAGCATGAACACAAATTGGCTTCGTTCTGCAAGGTCTTTGGTCTCGACGGCAGCAGAGTACAGCACCCAAATTAAAAAAGGCTTCAAGTCGTTCCATTCGATCATGTTCTTCGTGAGTACAAGTAGGAGATTGCGAGATATGGCGGCTGTCCATACGGGCGATTGACCAAAATTTCTCCAGAGCGGTGCCAGAAAGAGTAATGTTCCAAGTCTACACACTTCTTCGATGACTATCTCTCTGTCATCGCCGTGATTTAGAGGCCGAATAGCCAACAGGCGGTATATGGTTGGTTCCATCCAACTACCGCTCGTGATCGCTAGCATCAGCTGCTGTTCGTTGAAAGCTCGATCAAGAGAGATCAGTTGTACTACATCATCGAAGATTGTGATAAAGTCGAGCTGCATGGGTAGTACTTGTTTCCATGCAAGGGATACAGCACTACAAGGTCGTGGAGAATTCGGTGGAGATTTGGAGTCTGCTATCCACTGTGGTGGCATAGGAACAATTGGCGAGTGGTCTTGATAGAAGTTTCCTATAAGATCTGCCCTACTCGCATGTCAGTGGGTATTCCAGCTCAATTGTACTCCGTTCAGACCTACCAACTGATTGTGATTCGCAAGTACTCTTTCGCGATGGCATCGTAGCCGCCACGGAGTTCCACTATTCTGACTAATGCGCTACTGTGTTTATGCCAGTCATCGCCAGTGAAGTTTCCCATCAGAGCCTGGGAGATGTCAGCCTCGCCACTGTCATTGTAATACATATTACCCACAAAGTGGATCATGAAAGATACCACGGCACCTATGACCTCGTCACTTAGACGCTTGCTAGGATCATTCATCATCTGGGCGGTATGACCAAGCGCTTTGTTATGATATCTTAGCGCTATGGCATCGTCTTGGGAGGGATAGTATCCGTTGCGTTTCTGGAATAAGAAGTTCTGGGAATTTGACAGCATGTTGTAGAAAGCAGCTGCATCGCTCAGTCCAACGGGGTACCATGAGCCGCGAAGCTGACTAGGATGATTGTTGTCCTCAGTACTGAATACTACATCAAGTCAGGAAAGAGTCTGGCCACAACGGGGAAATGCGCCTACCGTTCGCTAGCAACGCTCGATCGGAGTCATTCAGTTCGATTGGATAAGGATTGAATGGGTCAAGCTGACCGCCACCAAACCGATCAATGTCTACGCGACTTTCGAATGGATTTCGGAATTCAAGGATGATCTCGTTGCGTGCCCTCTTCGCTTTGGGTTTCCTCCTGGCTTTGCCGACCTCAGTCATAGCCAAACGTCGGATGCGAAGTTGGGTTTCTTCATTCTTTAAATCGTCCGGATGTGTGAGGTTCACAAAGTTGAAACTTGGTTTGGTGGAGCGATCCATGGCGGAGAATTGAGGGTCGCGATGGCAGTGCGTCTCCAGACGACTCTGTACTTTTATTTATATACTGGACACAAACGAGCGCGGCGACAACCTTATGTCATCGACAGTACAAATCTAGCGCCATGATAGAGACGGCACTGGGCGAGAGTGTAGTAGAGCTGAAGGTCATGCCGACGGCCTGCAGGGCAATCGCACAAGAGGGGCGTCATATCCAAGGCGGCGACAAGCGAACAGGCCACTCAAAGACTGGCAACACGAAGTCGAACCCCGTCGAAGCGAATACAGAACTCGGTGTCAAACAGAACAATGATGGACGTTACAGTTCGGATCAGCGACTGATGCGCTTCCGGGGGGGGCGTGTGTGAATTAGTAATTGAGTTTACCTGTCAAGCTGGTGAATAAGCAACGAGAGCTGGGCAGCCATGCTCGTCCGTTTGCCTTGATGCAGTTGGTATGACTAATGTTGTGACCGAGTCATCGATGAACAGCACAACCTATTTTGTGATAGGTTGCGGCAAACTACTTGTAAATATGGTGTTGCAAATTGTTCCCATGCTGTCCATGAGCCTCAAAGCAGCGACACCAATCCCTGCATTGTGCGCTGTGACCTTATTCAGCAGCGCCAGCAGCGCCTGGAGATCTCTAGGCGCCAACGCGTACTCCCATTTCCAATTTCACGACTGCGTCGTCTCGATTTCCATTGAGTCTTACTTCCTCCATCAGATCAGGTTCACCAAGCAGTAGCGCCTTAGCTACGATTCTCCAGCTCACCACCTTGTCTTCCTTGATCTCCAATGGTTGCAATATCCATATCCTTAGCGGTATACAACTCACACCAAGCAGATCCACAGGGATTGCGGCTTGGAGCTCCTCAAACACAGCGCCTTCCCAATGTTCGTTGATGTGCGTGCTAGTCATAAGAGCATGACGGCCATCGATCGTGCATTGCAAGCGAACCGTTAGATAGCCAATGTAATACATCGAACGAGGATCGGTTACCCACGTCAGGAAGAGTTTAGCGTCTTCTACATCGAACGCAATCCTTTCCACTATTTCTGCATTTGCATTCCGATGTAGTTGTTCCAAAAATTTCTGAGCTGATACACTCAGCGCTGCGTTCGGCTGAAAATCTTGGTGTCCGCCTTGGTTATAGTTGGGATGCACGACATCACGCTTGGGCTGCTCCCACAGGGCAGCGGTGAATTCAAGGCCATTTTCGATACATATGGCGATGAACTTTCGTCGGCGCTCATCGTACTCGCTGTCTGGCCGTACTGTGAGTGGGCTCACAATGACTCCGTCTGGAGTGTGCCTCAGTGGCTCCGTGGTTTCTATCATTTCGGGAAAAACCCGATTAGCAGTTTCCAATTGTGCATCTTGCTGTCTCAATCCCCAAGGCGCCCTGAGAAAGATCATGTCGAGCTCGATGAACTCCGTAGAGATATGTCGGATGCCCTGCACGCTTCCGAGGATATAATTTGGAATTGTGGTATCCTGAGCAGCAATACTTGGTGATAACCACGTTGTGTTGCCGTCGAGCTTGATCGATTTGCTGTCCATCATACTGAGTGGGTGTGCCTCTCCTGCTGCAAGAGCTAAGAGTGCGCTGACATACAGAATCTTCTCTTTATCGGACGAACCATCGCCATTATAAGCTAAAGCAAGCCCACTAATGTTCAACATGATACTGACCTAAAGATCGGTGTACAAAGTCAGTAGTTGTCTCACGCGAGATTCTACAGAGATGTTACTGACACGGTCTTCGAAATATTGGCATCCTTTCTGTGCAACGCCATTGTGACGAGCCATGATGCTTGGCCTCGACACCTCTCCATTGCGTGTTGTCGGATCTTCACCACTAGTAACATATCCTGTAAGAATCACACTGGTCTTGGCGTGGGTCAGGTCGAAGCCCTGCTCAGCATATAAAAATTCCACCCCCATGGACAAAATAAGGCGGAGGTCTAGCCATTTCACCTTCACAGTGGAGCCATCAGGACCATTCATGACAAAGGTCGCTTCGTGGACATCAAGATGCCTCATAACACTCTGAGGTTCGTTTAAACAGAACTCATGATAGCACCAGGCTCGGTCCCACTACATGAGGTGGGCGCAAAGTCAGTGTACGTCCAAGATACATCTCTAATATATACACGTACCCATCGCGCTTTCTCCACCTTACGCCATACAGACACATAAAGGTGCCTGACATCAGGTTCAGGTACCCAAGATCTTTTGTATCGCATTGCAATACCGGTGCAATCCTTCACAAGTCGCGTTTCTGCCTCGTCCAACGTTACATCTTCCAGCAGAACCAACAACCGGATACACGATCGGTAAATTACGTCCATGGCAGCAACCGATTTCTGTTTATCGAGACTATCCTCCTGGTCGATACAGAGCTGATCAATCCATATCCCCTCGCGAGGATGGTCCTTGTCGCTCAGAATCGCATCTACGAAGGGTTTGCTAAATGGCCAGCAATCGTACGGTTCACAGCCTGGATACGGATAATCTGCTGAGTGCCAGCAGTAAGAGATCGCTACATATTGGCGCACATACAGGCCGTTGTCGAATGATTCTCGAGCATCAGCCGGGAAGATCAGGCGAAACGGGGTATCCAAGATTGTTGTTGACGAACGTTTGGAGAACTGAGCGGCGATATCCGGGCACCATGCTGTCAGGTTTCGAAGAATCAAGTCGGCTTCTTCTGCACTCTCATCAAGCTTGGAGAGACCGTGAGCGAAGATCTCGTCCTTATTTTCTGTCGTCAGTGTCAATTGAAAGATGTTGTCGCTGATGTACTCAATGCTCGCATCCCTGGGGGGTACGGCTGGTTGCGTGTCCATGTTTGTCAGGCAGCTGGAGGTCTTGCGTGTACATAGCTCTGTCGCTTCCTTCGCCATAGACCGTCGATGGTTGCAATGGTGGGGCAAGTCATAAAGAACACCTGAGCCTGCTGAATCCGTATCTAGAGGTGGCTGAATCTACATCAGGTGGCTGGGGAGGGGCCTCAAGTGGACCCATTTGGAGGGTTGACGCTAACACCTATGCAGAGTAGCGCGCCAAGCAATATCATGATAACATCGAAAATTTGCCGTGCTTCTTTTCTGTTTCCTTACGCACCATCAGACAGTTCAAACACCTATCTCATCCGCATCTTTACGTCTTGTATCGATGCGAACCGAGTTTACCTATTGGGTGATTGCGATATAGCGCTGCGGAGAAGGAACCAAGTGCTCCATTAGAGCTGGCTGCGCATTTTTTCGGTTGCGCAGGCGGTGTCATAGGAGCGGTACATGCCCCATCAACCACAATCACCATAGTTTTTCAGCGAATAGCCTTAAGAGCGAGATTTTGCAATGCTGGCTGACCCACCATGCTGATGATAGCATTCAAGCGACGGGAGCAGCAAAAGTTCAATCGTAATTTTGCGCTTTTACAATTGCGTGTCCGTCCAGGTGCTTACATCTCTCGATTGACTTAGGAGCGTACTGCAGTTGCGTTCCGCGTCCAGGCAGATGAGTTGTACATCGTGTTGTCGTCGCGCGCCTACCATGATATACGATCCTAACATTGAAAGGAGATTCGTCTCAGTCATCTCATACAAGTATATAGGCCATCGGTCTATTTCTTCGACTTGTTTGCGAGCTGCGTCGTGATCTAGCGCATAAGGATTTTGAATTCACTTGGGAGCCGCAGATCGGTCTGAAAGAGATACACGGATATAAAAGTATGAACAGAGAAGGGTCGAGGTTCAAGACTTTTGCCTACGTGTATAGACGAGCTCGTGCTCCCCGTTTGTTTACTGAGTGTGTTGTAGTGGGATACATTTGATTGAAGAGAGTCTGTAACGTATAGCTTCTGCAGTAGTCACACACACACCTGCCCTTTTGAAGGAGTACGATACATTTCATTCTTTTTATAGAATTAAACTCGAGAAGGTAGCCACCAAACCCAGTCTCAGACTCTTCAATCTCGCGTTCAAGGATATTGGAGACATAGCTGAGGACGTTGCCCAAGAGCTCTGCGGTTAGAGCCTTGGAGTCGGAGGTTGGAGTCGGGGCTGGCATCGTGGCTAGGCGAGTGTGATTGGATTTGCACGTTGAAAAACGGACATGGCATAGCTATCAAGTACGAGTTTGGTATCACATAACGCGACTGAAATAGTGCTTTCCTTGCAGGCTGCTTAGAAGGTAAGTGACGCTCGCCTAAGTGCATCCAAATTGACAATCGTTACACGCCTTCTTCAGGCAAGCTCCACTTCTCTCCCCCTTCTTTTCAGGATGACTTGTATACAATCAACCTTGGCCATACCCGCTTGACCTTTCGTCTGCTGTTCCGTATCTTTGGCCTCCCAAACATGCTCAATATCACGCATGACTCGTTTCAGGCTCGGAAAGCGCTTTACAGCATACATCTCTTCGAATCGAACACGAACAAAATGCCTCTGAGTGCTATCAATCGCCTCGCAGCCAGCGGTGAAAAGCGGCCAGATGTGTGATGATGTAAGAGGTGAATGTGCATCGACTTGTTGTAGTTGTGATAGACACTGGTTGATGTGCTCCATGCTTATCGGGTTGGGAGCACCTATATCAAGCCAGGTCCGATACAAATATATGAAAGCGGCATGGCGGTAGGCTTCAGCTGTCGAGCTGATATCAGTATTTTCTTGGGTTTCCTCCTGCTTACATGCAACGAAGTCCATAGCTAGCAATGTTTGCTGGATTCGCCGGCCGGTAGTGTTCTCATCTTCCGACAAAGCCGGGCATGTTGGTGATTCTGCCTTTCTCATCTTTATAGCGTGCTGTAGCTGACTGATCTGTGCAACCACCAAAAGCACATTTGCAATGCTTTCTAGCTGTTGTTCTCCTTCGACGGCGGTAAAGCCCGTTTTGTGATCCAACAATGGCTGTGAACCCCTCGAAACAGATGAGAGTATATCATGATATGCGAAAAGACTCATGAGGAATCGGGCATTCGACGAAGCAAGCCAGCCATCTCCTTCATGTCTCGATATCATAGCTTTAGCACCGATCAGATGATTTGCAACGTGAGCTTCATCGTCATCGCCAAATAATCGTGCTGATACCTGCATCATCATAACAGTGGCTAGCGCCGGCTCAGCATCTATCTCTACTGGATCTTGAATCATCTGCTGAAGCTCGCGAATGGCGTTGCGCTGGAAACGGTAGCCTTGTAGGTGTAGCGAAGCATTATTTGAGGTTAATGCGAGGTGATTTGCGGCCATTGAAAGAATCGTTGATCTAAGCGCCGGAGACTCGTAAGCCATAGCTGTCAAGTGTCGCTGAAATGGTGTTGCAACGCCATGTCTAGGTGCTACCGATATCAACGTGGAGAGCTGCTCAACCCAGTAATTAAGGAGCCATCGATCATCTAGGGACAAGCCGTACGACAAACCAGGACTGTTCAGCGGCAATGTAGGCATGGTGTTTGTCGATTCAGGCGATGAGAAGACAAACTCAGGACTTGACAGTGCCATCGGTGTTGATGCAAAGCTGACGATCGATGTCGGGCTGGGCGCTTGGACCTGATCAATGGTCTTCTTCTTCCGACCCTTCCGTGGTGGTTTTGCCAATGTGCTGACGCCGTCGTCTTGCCATTTCAGCTTGATCCCGTAGCCTTTGCAAGTTATCCTCAGTCTTGTGCAACGTCCACAAAAAGGTTTCAGCTCGTCGCACTTGTAGCCAGCTTCCCTACATGTCCAACAACCAGTCCTCGATCTCTTGTGTGTCGCCATCTGGGCGTGTCAAACATCTTCGTTGATACTCTGCTAAAGACACCTCTGAATCGCCATCGTCATCTATGGCATAGTGTGTCGCGGGAGAGGGTGATGTATGGGAATCGGAAGCTGTTCCGTAAATTGTCGAGGATCGAGAGTAACGGGTGGCAAACTGCACACTAACGTTAGCTCCCGCTTTAGTTCTCCTGGGCCGAGGCCTTCGAAGATATTGTTACCAACGCGAACACCAACAACTGTCCTTCCGAAACTTCATATTATAAAAGATCTCGGAATGCCAAACATGAGGTTGTGGTGGCAAGTCTACTAATCAATACTAAGCTTCATCCAGGAACTCTATCTCGCCCTCCTCAAAAGCCCGCACCCATCTGAATACACCCTCTTTTGGATCCATCACACACACGAAATGTGTAACCTCATTGCAAACGGGGTATTGCATTAGCCACTCGGTTAGCTTCTCCGGGCTAATGCCTTTCGCTGCAGTTTGTCCTCGCCTCGTTTTACGATCTTGCTCCTGGCTCCAATCCAGCCACTTCTGCTTCAGACACTGTTTCCGCGCGATGCTTTCGTCAAGCACTTCTTGCATACCCGCATTAAGGAAGTTGTGATTCCGACCCTGATTATGAACGGCATGATTCTGAATGGCTTGTGGGTTGTCTGTAGCCTCCAATGACGCATCATGATTGGTGGTGCTGATGAAAGTCGAAGAGCGTAAAGTTCTCGCACTTTCAAAGTCTTTCTCTAGAACCACTGTTTCTGCCCCCGTGCAGAATATCAGGTATGCTACTGACGTATGCATGTGAGGGATGATGTTGAATAGTTCGGGTGCATCGTATGGTGAAATGGTTGTGGATGTCAGTGTTTCCTCTTCCTGGGCAGACCTTTTGGAAAGCCTTTGTCGTCTTCGAGGTGCGCCTAGTCTAGGTAGGAGACAATCGCGTAACAGGTTGGAGATACTCGGCTTCCGTCCCAGAAGCACCATCAGAGTATTCCAGTAATATCTGATGTTTGGCCCCGACAGTCCGTGGGTATTGTGGTAGGGCCGGAAGTTGAGTGACATGCTCAGTCCATTCCTTACGCCTGTAAGTACACCCACAAACCCCACATAGCCCACAGTCCTTGCTATCACGTCGCCACCTGTTCTGCTAACGTACTCAAACTGTACGATGACCTGCCGTAAAAGAGGCATGGACCAATCCAACGTTCGGAAATGCATCATCGTTGGCTCGACTCTAGGCTCCTTGACCATGACGCCACCGCTTGTGCAGCCCATAAGAAGGTCCAGGAAGACGTTGTAAGCGACGAGTAAATACATGGGAATCCCACATGCCTGACTGATTCCTCTGAGTTCCTCGGTCTGTTCATCGCTATGAAGACGACGCAAGAGCATACGGCCTAAGAGATGGAAGAACCCAATAGGAAGCTTCAAATGCTCTACTGCTTCGTCGTAGAGAACTGGCATCTGACGCAGAGCATGGGCGTAGTCAGTGGCGACTAACACATAGCGCTCACGTGGTGGTAGTGAGAGATCGATGGTGTAGATTGGAGGTGTGCAGTTTACTAAACTTTCTGTATGTTCAGACATGAGGAGGCGAGTTTGACTTGAAGAGGGGTTTGAAGCAAGAGCATAAGATTCAGGTTTGATGCGCGATGTGCGCTGTCTTAACTGAGGAGGCATGATGTGGTTGGGGACAGCGGGTGGTCGCGATCATAGAAGGAAGCCACGTCTGTTATCGAGCGGTTGATCAAAGAGCTATGACTCCAAAGTAGCAACAGTTACCTATACGACGCTTTTGGATTGTTGTCAGATCGCTCTGGCAGACAGATAGGCGCTGATGCCTAATGCTACCAGTCGTAGAAAAGTGGGGAAACGCACATCGTGCCTGGGCAAATACACATTATTTGGCATGCCAGACTACATCAGCCTCAAGTCGATAGACCTAAAGTGAGAGGAGTGTTTAACGATGGTCGGTATACGAGTGCGTGTGGATGCAAACAAACAAATCAAACGCGAAGGCGGACGAGGAAGCTACCCCAGCTTTCCAGCTCGCGATATCCGCACCTCGGCTTCCCCGCGGACGTCCTTAGCCGGCCGCCGCAACAACTAACTATGTCGACGTCGAGCATGTGTACCACCAGATTCGCGTCAATCTCTTTTGACTTGCATCACTTCAATCGTCCCAAGTAGCACGTCGTACCCAACAGCGACTTCACCATGACAACAGCACATCAACCGCCCCCGCTGGCGGACATCCGCGTCCTCGAATTCGCAGGACTCGCTCCAGGTAACCCTAAGCTTGTTTGCCCAGATAAAGCTGTAAGAGTAGCGTCTAATAGCATTCAGGGCCCTTCGCCGGCATGCTCCTAGCAGACTATGGCGCAACAGTCCTCCGCCTCGACCGCGCACCTGCAACCCCGTCCACCGACCAACTAACGCGCCGCAAAACTTCGATATGCGTAAACCTCAAGTCTCCTGCGGGCCTCGCGCTAATCAAGAAGATTGTCGCGAATGTCGACGTTGTAATCGATCCCTTCCGACCCGGCGTGTTGGAGAAGGCCGGTCTCGACCCCGACAAAGTGCTGTTGAAGTTGAATAAGCGGTTAATCGTGGCGCGCATGACCGGCTTCCGTCGAGACGGAAAATACAGTCAAATGGCTGGGCACGACATCAACTACATTGCTGTTTCGGGCGTGTTGAGTATGTTTGGGCGCAAAGGGGAGAGGCCGTATGCACCAGGCAATGTAGTTGGAGATTTTGCGGGAGGCGGCGCCATGTGTTTCATGGGTATAGTGCTGGCACTGCTGGCGAGGGAAAGGAGCGGATTTGGACAAATCGTCGAGGCAAACATGGTGGATGGGAGTGCCATATTGGCGACTATGCCACGATTAGGACTAAAAACGGAGGTCTGGAAAAGGGAGAGGGGAACAAATATGCTCGATGGTGGAGCGCCGTTTTACGATACATACGAGACCAAGGACGGGAAGTACATGGCAGTAGGCGCGATCGAACCACAGTTCTACGCCGCGTTGCTCAAGGGTATGGGCCTTGAGCCGTCGGATCTACCTGGGAATAGAGATGACAAGGCAGATTGGCCAAAACTCAAAGACTTCTTCACATTAGAATTCAAGAAGAAGACGCGCGAGGAGTGGGAGGCTATATTTGACGGTACGGATGCATGTTGCACTCCTGTGCTTACACAGGGTGAGCTCGAGACCCAAGGTTTCGATCAACGGCCGGCTGTAACCTTGAAGTCTACCCCTGGATATGCGATCAAGGACGGTGATGATGGACGATCGGCTGCAGAGGGTCAGGGTATAGGATTGGACGGCAGTGGGTGGAGCGAGAAGGGCTTGAGGCCTGGCCATGGGGGTGAAGATACGTTAAGCACATGGATGGGATGGACAAAGGGGAGGCATTATATCGAAGACCAAGGAGGATTGGTCTGGAAGGATTCTGCAAGGTTATAGCCGTGCTAAACACTTTCTTCCTGATAATCTGCTCACTCTATTGCTTCTCAGGTTGGTACAGGGCCAAAACAGGCTTCATGTCTTCAGTATACACATGTATTCATACAAGCCAAAGTATGTCGTCTCACTACTCTACGCTCTCGCCTTCCTCGCCTTGGGCTTGCTAGTCTTCTTGCCCGCATTCCTGAGTCTCTTCCTCTCCATGTTAGCCTTGATCCTTGTGCTCCTCTTCCGCCACGCTGTCCATCGGTCGCCAGGCACAAACTCCTTGACCTGTACACCCGCTCTCTCTGCCGCACGTCCAATCTGCCAGTTGGCCTCGCGGTACGCGTATCCCTTGCCCTTGGTCAAGGTCAATCCCTTCCTTGTCGCTTCGCGCGGGGTATCGCGGACGCTGCTTGGGCTGCCTGTGCCGTCGCCAACTTGTAGATCGGTTACAACGACTGCATCAGCAGAGGGGTTTGTGGGTGATGTGATGGGAACAGCGAGCATGTTTAGTCGTCTCCGCCTTGCCGCGTTTGGTGGATATGGAAGGGTGTGGTCTTTCTCAAGGGCGACACCAATGTACTGTCTCTTTGGGTGTTTCCTTGGGTCACGGTAGTACCGGACATAACCAGACTCTGTAGCGAAGATGCAGTGATCGCGACCGAATTTGCAGTTCTCGCCGGGAAACCACGCTGTGCCTCGTTGGCGGAAGATGATGTTTCCTGGGATAACATACTCTCCTGCATTGCAGTTAGCCATGCCTGTCTGACAAAACGCCTAGTTGACGAGACACACCTCCACTCTTCTTGGCTCCTAACCGTTTTCCAGGCCCATCTTTTGCTCCGTTGGCTCGTCCTTGGGCCTGATGCGCTGAATGTCTTACGAAGGAGAGGACCGGGGTAGGGGCCGAGGCGCCATTGGCTACGCGGAGGGCATCGAGAACACGGGTAGATGGGGCGATGAACGTCGTCGATGTCGCTAACGATGCGCGGACAGGCGCAAATATTCGTGGGAGCAGCATGGCCGCTCTGGTGCTGAAGAGGCGTGCATCTCAGTCCATTGCGACTTTTCGAGATGCTCGGTGGCCTGTGCGTTCTCCGCACGCCGCCCAACAGCCACACGGTAGGAACACCATCATGCATCCCACATAGAGCACAGTGATTTACGACATATATATTTTGCCTGCATCATCGCATAGGTGACTACACTATGAGCAAGCTCAAGACAGGAACATAACAAGCTAGCACCCAAAACACCTTGCATACCATGGTAGAATGCCAAATCCGGAGAACACACAAGTCTAGCAGCAAGACCGTCCCAGATATGCGCCCATCTACTGCACTTGATTCACAATCTCTTGCGCCTTAGACAAGCTCTCCACCATCTGCTGGCAGTCCTTCCGCCTCTTGACAGTGTACTCTGACTCCTTCAGTAGCTCGTCGAGCTCGTCTGTCTTGTACATGTTGGTGAGAAGCTCGCCTTGCATGTTCTCCTTGGTCCACTGGACAAGGTTCAGCATAATGGCCTTGGGTACCATATCGATCATTGTTCGACGGACAATGTTGAAGTATGAGGTGATCAGTAGTTCTGGATATCGTTAGTCATGTACAAAATCGTCGCCAGGGGAGCCTTACTGATAACTTCAACTTCTTGCGACTCCTTTTCGGAAAGGGTGCCTGAAGCCTTCAGTGTAGGGGGCGGAGGCTCCATAGCTGCCATCTTCTTCTTGTTCTTGCTAGCGAAGAATGATCCAAAGAAGCCACCGCCCTCATTAGGATCGAGCGATGGAGATATCGACCGCGGCGGGACACTAGGTGGGAGTGGCTTTCCAGTCTTGGGGTCTACTTGCTGAGGCCTACTGCTATTGTGTCGCTCGTGTACAATCGCCATAGCACGCGAACCGTTGATGAAGTCAGGGTGACCAGTGTTGATGTAGACCGACTCCATAGCGACAAGATCCTTTACGAGCTTGTTGGTGGGCTCCATGGCCTTCTTAAAGAAGCTAACAACGACCTGGTGCAGCTTCTCTTTCAATCCTGGGTATCTGCGGAAAGCGTTTTTGTTGAGAAGTTGGCTGAGAATCCTTATCAACTCATCATAGACGAGACTGACACACTTCAAGCTAGGTTCTTCTAGTCGCTTGATTTGCTGCTTCACAATGAGTTCGAAAGCAGTAGTACCAACGAACAGCGCGGGGGATGAACCAGACGAGTTGTAGAGAACGGTCCGGATGTCCATGTCTTTGACCTGATCGAAGGGATCAACGGCCTTTACACCGTTGGCGTACAATTCGTGGTAGACGAAAGAGATACGGGCTCCACCTGAAAGTTCAACTGCGGAAAGCTCTTGGTTGTTGCCCTCTAGCACTCCCCGGTATTCGTTGGTGAATTCTGTAATCATGTTTAGGACAATGTTGGAGCTGTTGCCGAGCATGGAGTTGCCCAGCGAAGAAAGTTCTGCCTGATATTTTTGTAGCGACGAAGCGATGCGAGCTTTGATATCGGGAAGAGTTTGTTTGATGTGCATCATAAGGATCTGTAGCTGTTAGCTGTTGACTGCCCAAGTACACAAGAGCTTGAACCTACCAAATTCAGCTTCCGTGCCAAGTAAGGTGTACCGCAGTATGCTGCCTTGTTGCGGTATGCCTTGTGGTTCTCGAAATATTGCCTCTCGTGCTCGAGCGCGTATGAGATGGCCTTTTTGTTCTCGATGTCCCTCTGTCCTCGGTTGACAACTGGTACATAGCCCAACCGCAATGGGATAATGCGACCGGCGAGAATGTCTACGACGTCGGTTCCTTCGTCCATCAGATCTACCTTGGTCAACACACCAATGGTTCGTTGTCCCTCAGGGTCTACTTCACGAGCCAGCTTCAGACCGTCAGAGTTGGCCAAATCGGTGTTCGCAGCGGTGACAGCGAGAATGATGGCATTGGGCTTGCTGATCTGCTTGAGAACCATCTCTCGGATCTGACGTTCGATATCCCTTGGCTGATCTCCAACAGGCACCTTTGTTAGACCGGGCAAGTCAACCAGCGTGAGCGTGAGGACGTTTGGCGAGTATATCCTCAAGTTGATGGGTGCGGGCGAGATACCAGCATTTCGACCAGTCTTGGACTCCGTCTCCCTTACAATCTCGTCCCGTATCTTGCTGAAGTCGTGGAACTTCTGGCCAGGAATGTGCAGGAACTCGCCCCACTCGTCGGAATTGTTCTCCTGGTCTGTTGTCTTTGCTCCTTCGGTAGTGCCGTTCGGTTGCGAGGATGTGCGGTTGATGAGCTGGAGAATGAGTGGTCTTCGAGTAACGATACCAGTCCCTCGGGGCAGACTGTAGAGCTACCGTCAGTATATTCCGCTCACGCCTTGATGCAGTTGCGAACACTCACAAGTCTCTCCCAACAATGTTCTCAAGCACTGAACTCTTTCCGCTGGACTGCGATCCTACGACAGCGATCTGAGGCAAGTCTATGGGATTTTGGACCTAACTTAGGCATCAGTACGGGTGTTTGGGCTTGGGTTGCAGACAGTTGCGCGCGAGTGGGCGGAAGGGAGCGACGTACTCCGACTGTGGTGAAGACATCCTGGAGCTTGTTTACGAGAGTGATCAGCCCGGGGTCGTTCACGTTGATGCTGGACACCTGTTATCTTTCCGCAATGCGAGGGGCTGTTCCAGACATGTGCGTACGCATTTGGGTTTGTCGCCATGGTCGGCGAAGCGTGAGTGGAGGTTGTTTGAATACGCTCAGTGTTCGCGGATAACCGTGTATACGGGTGTAGGTGGTATCAAAGTTGTTGGAGGCGAAAGTGTCTGAGATCCGGGGTTGTTGCTTGCGGGTTGCGTAGCTGCTGCAAGTGCCAACGTCGGAGAGAGCCCAAGCTTCGATACGCCACACGACTCAGCCCCACGAAATGCGACTTTGGCATTTTCTCGACATGCGTACGTCACCAAACTGTCAGATGCATCACATGGGAGATGCGCTCAATCACTCCGATACGCCACTTTTATTCACATGGAGCTATCTCGACACTCCCAGTACAACGATGTCGGGGCAGGCGCACATGATGCGCATTGTGGTCACAAGACGCGAAACAGCGTCGTCAGCGGTTCAGGCAGCAGTATTGGTATCTTGGTACAATTCGCATTCTATAATCATGGAGATATACTAGACAGACGCGCTATGGGAAAATCACCTTCAAGCACACACATTTACTCGTCGACAACCGATGCAAACTTGTCGGTCATCTTCTGTAGAAGTTCTTCGTACTGTTTGAACATTAGCATTTATACGATAACAACAGTTGACTGAACTTACCTTCTTGGTGACCTTCTCCTGGCCGTCGCTGGGCAGCTCGAACTTCATCGAACGGAGCTGGCTCTGGATCTCCGAGGTCGCGTCGCGGACCTTGGGCCATGCATGCCCTTGGGAGACAGCCTTCTGAGCCTCGTCGTGGAATGCCATCATGTTCTTCATCATCCATTCAGTCTTCCACAGCGGACAGAACTGGTCGTAGTCTGAGTAACCGTTTTGTTGCAAGAAGTCCTCCTTGAGTAGTGTAGCAACGTCAAGCGTAATCTTGTCACCGTCACCCAGAGCTGATTTACCGACAAGTTGCACAACTTGGTCGAGGTCGTCTGAAGTGGTCAGAAGCTCCTTGATGCGATCGCGCAGACGGGGGAACTCGGGGTTGTTCTTGGCGTAGTACTTGTCGAGCGGGGTTGTGTACTTGCTGTAACTGATCGATGTGTTGACAGACGGGAAATGCTTTCGCTGAGCAAGCTTCTTGTCGAGACCCCAGAAGACCTGCACAATGTTGAGGGTACTAGTAGTGACGGGATCCGAGAAGTCGCCACCTGGAGGGCTGACAGCACCGACAATAGACACACTGCCGAAACGCTCAGGGCTACCCAGAGCCTGGACGCGACCAGCACGCTCGTAGAAAGACGCAAGCTTAGCACCAAGGTAAGCAGGGAAACCTTGGTCAGCAGGCATCTCTCCGAGACGTCCGGAAATCTCACGAAGAGCCTCAGCCCATCGCGACGACGAGTCAGCCATCATAGCTACGTCCTTACCCTGGTCGCGGAAGTACCTAAAGATTGGAGTACGAAGTCAGTGCCTGTTTCACATGCAGTTCGTACAGGAAATATTACGTACTCGGCGACTGTGATACCAGTATAGATGGAGGCTTCACGGGCAGCCACAGGCATGTTGGAGGTGTTGGCGATGAGTGTTGTTCGCTTCATGATAGGCTCCTTCTTGCCATTGACATCGATGGTAAGTTCTGGGAAGTCCATCAGGACTTCAGCCATCTCGTTTCCTCGCTCACCGCATCCAACGTAAACGATAATGTCACTGTTGGAGAACTTGGATAGAGACTGGGAAATGACAGTCTTGCCGCATCCAAAAGCGCCTGGGATGCACACGGTACCACCCTGGACACTGGGGAACAAAGAGTCGAGGACACGTTGACCGACAATGAGTGGCTGGTCGGACGACAACTTCTCGTTGGATGGACGGGGCACCCGTACGGGCCACTTGTGCATCATGCTGTACTCGGTCTTGGTGCCGTTGAAGTCAAGCTCCAGGATCTTCTCGTCAACGGTGTAGCTACCCTTCTCGGCGATGCGGGTGATGGTACCCTTGGCACGGGGAGGCAGCAGAACCCTATGTTCGCTGAGGAGACTGTTCTCGAAGACAGTACCAAAGACGTCACCACCAGTGATGTGGTCTCCAACCTTTAGGGAACCGGGTGTAAACTCCCACTTCTTCTTGCGGTCGAGAGCAGGCAAGTTGATGCCGCGGGGAATGTAAATGCTGTTCGCGTCGTCGGCAATACCCTTGAGGGGACGCTGGATACCATCGTAGATGGTTTCCATAAGACCGGGACCAAGCTCGACAGACAATGGCTGTCCGGTCCTGTATACGGGGTCGCCTACAGTTACACCAGCTATGCGATATTAGCCACGTCCTGCCGTGTGTATGTGTGTGTGGTGTGCGTACCAGTCTCTTCGTAGACCTGGATGGTGGCCTTGTCGGCTTCGATTCGAATGACCTCACCAACGAGGTTGTCGTGACCAACACGAACCTAGACGAGTCAGCATTCTCCCATCTCAGCGCATTTCAATCAACATACAAGCTCGTACATAGCACATCCGATCATGTTCTCGGCAATGATGACAGGGCTGGGTGGATCAGTATGCGACTCGAGCACTGTACAGTGGTGACGTACCCAGAAATGGAGTAGATGGCGCCTACACAGAGTTAGCGATGTCTTCCAACAGACTTTGCACATGTGCGTAGAGTGCTCGAGCTTACCATGCTCCTCGCCCTCCGACTTCTGCTCCTGCTTCTTCTGTTGCTTCTGCGCCCACGAATTAGCTGCATGCGCCACATGCCCCTCGATAGCTGATGCTGCTTACAGGAGGCATCTTGTCTACCGGTGTGTCTTTCTCGTCGTCACTGGCTTCTTGTAGGGTGATATGAGGTGGCGGCGGCTGGGTGGGAAGCTCGCCTCGTGGTGATATCAGCGGGCTCGCGGGAAGCGGTATTCGGTGTGGCTCAACGTCGTCGGGGCCGGCGGCGGGGTGAGCTCCAGATATCGAGATCTGGTCAATGTTCTTCTTCTGAACAAGATCGTACAAAGATGGCCGTGTTCGCAAACGAGGACGCAGACCGAGTTGCATTCAATCGTTGTTGGATGCAGGTTGAGGTTGAGCACGGCCGACAAGCTAAGCTGCCGCGCTAGCGCCTGGTGGGGGCATTCCTTGTCATCTGCCTGCGAGCTCTCCAGAGTCGTGGAGAAATATGACATTCATCGTGTCCTTGGACACTGCAATGCCCCAAGGCACGTAACTGACCTATCTTCTCTTGTCATGACAGCATATTGGTAGCGCAACAATGTATCAAGCTGCGATGTTGACATACGTCATAGCAGAAGCTACATCCCGTCTTCGGTAAGCTATATTGTGTTTCGCTTGCTACTCCCCAGCCTCTCCATCTCTTTGGCCGTGGCAACCCGCGGAGGGAACCCATTCGTCGCAACCAGAGTGTCTCGCCGCCTGTTACCTCGGCAGTTTTGCAGGTCATCATCTGTGCCTCTGCGAAGTACATGTAGCCCAGTCCAGGTTCTGCAAGTCTTTGCATCTTCTGCAGCTGAAGGACTGCTCCGAGATGAAAGCCGGAAGGAAGCGCGTGAAGAGCAGCGATGCACGGATAACTGCGACATTGACTTCGATTTCTGAAAGGATCATGGCGTAGCGAGGTTAGTCGCCAGATGGCAGAGGATAGTCTGGGCAAGTATAAGCTGCAAACGATCAGCGTACGGAGCGTGACGAGCATCACTTATCTTCAGCATAGCGGAAAGATAGGGTGATTCAAAACTTCCTCGCCTGGAACCATCGCCATGGATACTGCACTCTACATTTCTGTCAGCCTCCCACCCTCTAGGAAGATTCGAGTGAGCATCTTGCTTCCGGCGACCAACACCGTGAAGCCGATAGACAACATCTACGACGATTAGATCAAGGCAAGGGCGGTGAAGGTCACGGTAGAAACCAGGGTCTCGTGGCGTATGCCCGCAGTCGCTTTGAATTTGAGGACGAACCAACTTGGAGATTGGTCATGCATGTTGAAGATGAGGAGACGTGTGTTCAGGTGAAACTTGAAGTGGGCGCATTCGAGCGTTTGCACAACAGCCAGGCAGTGCAGTAGTTGTGGTCTCAAGAAGGGTCCTAATCAGCTAGTCGCCTTTACCTGACGAAAATGCAAACCAGGGCTGGACGGAATCTTTGTGCAACAAGGGGCATTGTGGTTGTGGTTGCTATGATCGGTAGACCCACCGAGGTCTTCTACCAACCATATTCCCATATGAATCTTAGATCCTAGTACAATGCGTGCGGATATGAAAAAAAGAATGCCGTTAAGCAATATTCTTCCCACCGAATTGAAGAACATGCCACAATTGAATCTTGACATACTCAAACAGACGAGTGGGATACAATGACAATGATCACCAACCCAGACCATGAGACAGGTGTTATGTTGGAATGTGGTTCACTAGTGGAATCGGCACGTGCTGAACCAGACATGCGATATGTGTGGAAATCACTTAGAACAGCCACTAGATCCTACTATGAGATTATCCCGTTTGAGGATAGTAACCGTGCATACTGTAACGCTCACGGAAAGTGAATACTGCGTAGGCGCCTTGCGCTCAAGTCGCAGTTGTAACAAACATACAGAAGCCTTGCGACCATCGCAAAACTGCTTAGTGCTGGTTTTACTGTTAGCAGTATGAGTAGTAGGCCATCATTGACTCCATAACATTCATAGGCCACGTGTTGTATAACGCCAAGAGCAACAATTGTATCCAATATTCTAGCGCGATTATGTGATTGAAGGTGAATAGGTTAACAGATGGAAGATCGGACCGATTCATCAGGTGGCTTGAAGAACAGGTGCTGTCAGATGTCGCATCCGGACACTATTTGAGCCGCCTGCGCTTGTGAATTTACCTGAGGCGTCATCTCCTAGTGCCACACGGGATCATGGAAACTTAAATAGCTAGAAGATCTACTTGAACTTAGCTGGACTGAGGTGCATCGGATATCGGGTATGAAAGTTGCCGATACTATGCGGGTACAGATATCGATACTGAAGATGGAATTAATGGCAGTGGATATTCAATTGCACCTTAGTTTCTTTGTATGATTTGTTCCCCAACTTTATGGTGGCATGGGGCCGATGCTAACAGATAAGACATTCGCGATTCGACACACGTATACGTTGCTCTTCAGACTGATTCAACAACCTTACTGGCACTGTACAGTTGTGGAGACTGAGTCCCAGCTGGCACACACTTTGCTGCACAGTAATTTGTCACCGCAGACTGCTTTAGTCCGACGTTTCTGTAGGAGCAAACCTGTGGTGGCTGCCTGAGTGGAGCCTTACCCGGCTGGGTGAACATGTGATAAGCGGTGTGCGCTGTGGGGA